GAAATATAATGATTTTTATGGGAATAAATGAAGCTTGACGTAACAAATCTGAACTTGTTTTGAAAATAAATAAGCTTATCTAAAGAGAAACGCGGATTTACTAGAGCAGGGCTTAATGGCATGATTATCATTCCAGAAAATTGATACGATCCCGTAAATTTGTTTTTATTTAAAACTAAGCTCATTTTGCGACCTCAAACCGATAGCCTTCGTATAGGCAAACAACAACCGTGCGGGTACTTTAACACCTAGTGTCACATAGCAGAGGATGTAGCCGGCACAACAGGCGTAATTTTGGCCAGCGAGTGCTCAGTATTGTCTTGGTGAAAATTATAGCTGCAATCTTTGATTTTTAGGGCGAGGGAAGGCTGTGAAGAAAAAGAAATTGTAGTAAGGGGGCGAGTGACATGGCCAGTCGCGAGCTTGTAATGTTGACTCGCCCGAATAGGACGCCTGCCCTTAGAAGACGCCTGCACTATATGCAGGTCAGCGAGGATAAGGACATCACACCCTCTTGTTACGGCTGTAAAGATATATAGACCACCATGACAGAGGGTAGTAAATGGTTTCTTGGCCGCCTTGTCTACGTCATGCGAAGTATCGATTACAGATGGCTTCATTTACAATACGAGGAGATCTATCAAAGTGAAAACTTGAAAAAGGCTAATTTTGCAAGTTGTTTGTTAGAAAAACATGATATGAAAACTGAGTAAACGGTGGTAAAGACCTAAAGCGGCCCCCATGTCACGTGACCAATCTCATTGTCAAGTCTGTTCGGGGCTAAGGTTCGCGTCGACCATTAACCCTTTAACTCCTATGAGTGACCAAGAAAGAATTTCTCCTTACAGTATCAATACAGTATCAAGCAGACAAGTGATGAGAATAATGAAAAATATTAATTAGGGGATTATTAGTCGATCCAATACCAAATTCTCCAAACTAACATCACGAAAACTTTATGGCAGACCGTAAGGAGAATTACTATGAGATCTTGATCGCTGAAAACTCGGTCTTAAACACTGTGTGTGGCCTAGTGAACTTATTCTGCTGCTTCTGCTGATGTCTCCAATTTTCTGGCTGTTTCAACGCGAATGCATAAATATTACTAATAATAAGATAACTAAAGTGCGTACCATTCAGGGTCGGGTTGTCCAAAGCTGGGTTAGGTAACCCAAAGTTGGTGTGCAATCTGATTTCAGATCAGAAAGCTTTAAAATAGCATAGATTCTTTTGTCAATAATTTGATTTTTTAAATGCTCTAAACTAAACTGAGAAAATAATCCGAAAGAGGCTTTTATATAATGAAATAACATAAAAACTAAAAATACCTTAACACTGTTCGAGATTTCGTTTTCGGGCATAAAGAAGATAACGTTTAAAGAGAAATATATATATTTTCTTAATCTATTTTGACGTGCGCCCAAGCTCACACAGAGCGCCCAAGCTCACACAGAGAGTATCTGTGAATATACAAGTATGTTCACGTTGCGCAATGAGTGAAATTAAAGAATTTGCATGACAATAAATAATCGCGCTCTCAACCTTAAAAAGTTTTAGACTATTTTTGAAGAGGGGCAAATTTCCCCAGCTAAAGTGGTTATTCTTCCGTATCGTGAGCTCACTCAATTTATAACCGCCGTCAATTCCTTTCACCCGGCTCTGAAATATACTTGGGAAATTTCTGACACTTCTTTGGCTTTTGTAGACAGCAAAATTTCAGTTGAAGGCAACGTGCTATGCACTAATGTTTATTAAAAACCCACAGATTCACATAGTTACTTGTTGTATTCATTTTCGTATTCATCACACGTCAAGAATTCCGTGAGAAAAAAGGAAATAATCATCAATTTTAGAAACTTCCAATTTTCAAACAAATTCGCCTTGTCAGTACTATAGGAATCGCAAAGAGAAAAGTATGGTAAATGTTAAAGAGTAACGGGTAATGATCTTGTCACACAATATTGAATGTGCAAAGTCACGCTAACTGCTGCGCGGAAGAGTTCCGGTCAGGTTACTTGGTAACAGATCCATGGTTCAGTTTCGAAGAGGATATTGCAGGTTTGTATATTTCTAGATGTCATTTCTGCATCGCCAACCCCATTAAGAAAGAACTTTTCAACTGTTGCAACCACTTTTTAAATTCAATTTTATCGCGCGATAAAATTGAATTTAAAAAGTGGATAGCGTGTCCTCTATAGGCTACCGTAGTGGGATGCCTGTGGCATACCACAGTAAAACCGGTTGGTTACTTGTACATTGCATGGACAAATTGCAAAGCTAGCCGATAGGAATGCGTAAAATCTTTATCGATTTCATCTTATGTAAACATTGGCGGCTGGATTGATCAAAAGCGTACGAAAATAATCCTGTGCTGTTTTGACACAAGAAACCTGTGGAATTCACTTCCGCATATTTTTAATTTCACTCAGTGACCGAATCCGAGAACACCTTCGCGACGTAGAAAGGAATGACACACATCCAATCCAGTCGCTAAACACTTCAATCTCCCTATCATTCTATGCAGGACATGGCAGTTTGCGGCCTTTCCCTACGTCTAGGCCGTTCGCAAAGCCGCAAAACTCTAGAACAAAAACTTATTTTTCCGTCACCATATTCCCACCAATTGCGTAGCTCCATTTTCTGCATATAAACACACACACCCTTCCAATCGCTCTGGCGAAGGGCTAACGCTTGCAACGCCAACTTTGAAACTCTTTACGGTGGCCAATTTACGCCGTCAACCAGCCGATAATACTAAATTACAAAACTATCGATGAAATAAAAACAATAGGTTCAAATAGGTAGTCTTCGCAAACTGCTCTAACAATAACCATAATTAATGTAATATAATCATCATGAAATTAAATCTTTCCTGCCTGATTTCTCTATTGACCGATTGAATAAGAAACGATATTTAATTTTAGTCCCAGGTTCTGTCTTCTTTGCCATGATAACCGACTGTGAGAAGAAATGGAGGTCATCAGTGGAATGTCAGTTCAAGATGGCGATAAAATCATGACATCGATCGGATAGCAAAGCAGTTCATAACCGTAGTACAATCTCAAAAAACCCTGAGTACAACAAAATAAATGCGTTTCGTTTCGTCGAATGCAAAAATAAATCGAGAACTTTACAGCACTCCACCTCCACTCAGATCTCGGTCTTCTTTATGACAGGGGAAGAAATTAATATTACTATGATAATCATAACCGAACCATTCCACGAAATCCCCAGTTGTCAAGACAGGAAGACACGTCAACTCTGGACATTAGATCGAGTTAGAATTGGAATAAAGAGTGATTCTGAACCAACTCATCTTCTAGAAGCGTAACTCAAAGCTCATTCAAGTACACACACTAAATATTACTGTAGGTATGCTGCATGTCTAAGCGCATCCTTACCTCTAGATTTGATATGTGTTTTTCGAAGTTTGGTTGGTTGCGTCGCAGTCAATAATCAAATTTCTCAAACAAGAAATATATGAAACAAGAGAAGTTTACGGCCGTTTCGATGGTACATCCTATTGAGGAAGCCTGCTTTTGTGCATATTTTTAAAATATCATTTCGAAACTGAACTTTGGATCTGTTACCAAGTCACCTGACCGGAACTCTTCCGCGCAGCAGTTAGCGTGACTTTGCACATTCAATATTGTGTAATAAGATCATTACCCCGTTAACATTTATTTCCTTTTTTCTCGTGACCCTATCGTGTGATCCAAGAGTGATACCGCAAGGTGAAGTTAGAAGTCAGTCTCGGTCATTACAATGAGAGAGATCTGGTCTGGCTACTTTCTAGTAGCATGAAGAGAAATTACGAAAAAAGAAGAGTTGAATTCAGTAGCTGAAAAAAAAAACACAAGCATTTATAACGGGAATCTTGGAATCGCCATAACAACTACAACTTCATCGCGGAACTACTAAATTTCAAAATTGTCTCAATCGCTCTCAGTTCCTGTCTAACCACTTGTTTTTGTTTTACTTTTATTTTAAAATCTTTGTTAGAGATTATTTGATCATCTACAATGATGTCAAACAACACGCATAATTATGCAAAAGACCTTAAAAAACACCTCTTTCGTGTAAGGTGACTAGAAGTTTAAATAACTAATACCTTTCCTACTACACACACTGAATGTATAATAAAGTAACTTGTGCGAACAGCACGTAGCTCTCTTAAGGGCGGTGCCTTGGGAACACCCTTTATTCTCCAAACTCTCTATTTATTTTACTGTTATGTAACACTTTGTAGACCTCTTTTAACGTGTAATTCTAATTTCGTCTGTAAGTTAACTTAAAATTTAAGAAATATTCTGGAATCGTGAATTTGACTTAGAATTTTACCAAAAAAACCAGTCTGAAAGTAATCAATAGTATAAGAAGCAGGAGTTTCCAGGAATTCCTGTACGAGGTTAACTTTTACCAGAGAGATTTACAACTAGAAAATTGACATAATTAAAAACATAGCTTATCACAAAATAGTACAACAAGATCTAATCACCGTAGAAACGGAGCAACTGTTTCTGTACCAAATTCACAACCGCAATAAGAAAAAGGTGAAAGAAATTGTGCTTAGATGAGATCGCCAAAGGAATAAGAAATAATCAACCTGTCTTATTATAATTTTGTATCGAATGGCTTAAAGTAATATAATATTTCCATTCTTTGTCCCAACACCAATATAAGGAAACCCCTACGATATTTCAGATTAAATATAGTAAATATTTACTACTATTAAATATAGTAGTATATTAAATATAGTTATCGTTTAACATCTTAACCGCGAGAGTGTGAAATATTAGGAAGAAAGTCTTCGTAAGGAGTCGATTATTATTTCCCCCTAAGGCTCTGTAGTATTCTAATGATTCCCCCGCCCCCCCCCCAAGCAGTCAGTTTCCAATAGTCCCCGCCTTATACTCTGTTGGCAATGACTGATCTTCACTCCGTTCCCCCCTGAAGACCATGTGATCCCCTCAAAAGTTCTCCACCGGCCCCCAACCCCCCCCCTTCCCACTTACTGGTATCCACTCTAGGAATGAGACGTTTTCAAATCGATGCGATTTTTAAAGACTCCTCTCTTGAAACTGTTTCTAAAATTGTCCACTCTCACCAACTTTACTATGAGTATTTTTGTGGATATGAGAAAGGAAGACAAAAAAGGAAACCGCGGTTTTTCCAAAAAGCATTCGGCGTAGATGGAGCTTAGGTCACAGAACAAAGATGTAGTGAAAATTCTACCACAAAGGTTGGTGATTTTCTTTACTAAACGATGTTTTTCTCTTTCATCGATTCGTTGCTCAATACACGTTCGTAGCCAAGTGCCGAAAGATCAATTGTCTGAAAACCACCGTCCATTATCAACTCACTGACGGCTCGCCCTGCTGCAGGAGACTGCTGTATACCATGACCGCTAAAGCCGTTTACGAAAATAAGATTCCTTATTTGGGGATGACGTCCTATTATGCAATTCTGATCCAGTGTGTTGTATTCATAGTGACCAGCCCAAGCGCTTTGAACCTATATCATGAATCAGAGAAGTATAACAGTTACCAAAAATTTAAGCAAGGTAGAGCAAAATCTACTTTAGTTTGGGCACGAAATCTTAACCAAAACCGGCCTTCTACACCAACCCTTAAAACAATTCTCATTTAACCCTAAAGTATTTACATTGCATACGCTTGACGTATTTTGGTTATTTACATAAGGGGTTCTGATTTTTTCTTAACAGGTTTATGTTTGAGGGCCTGGCCTTTTGTAACCCGTCGATTGGGCTTGTCTCTGTTTACTGCTCGAAAAATCCTTTCCGCCTCCACTTCCGCTTGAAAAAAAAATTAAATAAAGTAAAATAAAACAAAAAATTTCTATCAAAAACAAGTTTCTATCAAATATTCAGATACATTACGTACCTTAATGCACTCAAATAGAGGAATTCTGTGAGCTAACTTTGGCCACATCGTTTCGTAAAAAAAGTCATAGTCTACTTCAAAGTCGGAAGTTTCTATATCCTCTTCCTGTGAACAGAATGTAAAGTAAGAGTCATTTTTTGAAGGTCTGAAAATAAGGAAATTTGCCTTAGGTAGGTGGGACAGGTTAAAGAACCAATGATCATGTTTCGTGTATCATTTAACTCTATCAAAGTAATCTCGTATTAAGAGGGTTGGAAAAAAGTAATCTAACAAGGTGTATGTTTTGTTCCTTCAATCTCTAAATCATCCATGCAAGTACTGGATCAAAATCAGTATCAGGGCAACTGCCTACCTACCCCTCCCCTAACCCAACATTAGCCCTAACTTGTTATCAATTGACTGTTGTTGGATTAGGGGAGGGGTAGGTGGGCAGTTGCCCAGATACTGATATTGATCTCAAGTACTTGCCTCTGGTGGGGACATTCCACATAAGTAAGAGCCACTTTCAGGCCGTATGTAACATCCAGTAGTGTCAACAACCAATGGCATTTGATGTTTGTTTGGAGCGCCTGGACAGCTCAGTACAAACACACAGCGTTTTCTTGGCTCCACAGGCAGATATATCCCAAGCTTCCTTGCGAGATACCCTGCCCTTGCACCTGCAGCATTCACCATGAACCTACAGTGGATGGTTTGTGGATCATTGGAAGATGAACTGGTAACAACCTACAAAGAAGCATCTTCTATGTCAGCCGACTGTATCGCAAGGGTTGTCAAAGCATTACAAAAAGATACAAATGTGTGCGTCCACAAGGCAATTTTCAATTGACAGTTGAAATTAATATGGTCGTAGTTTTGCTTTACCCAGTCAAACACAGAAAATTTACTGGTGGATCATCAGATGCCACACATGCCACAAGTGTCATGTTACAAAATAACAGAGGTACAAGATTAGAAACATGAAATACATTGGGCGTGTGCCGTAAGGTATAGGCTATCTTCTTGAATGTCAGTTTTCATTTGAACAATGGATTCAGGATTTAAGATAAACAAATAAAAACATAAACCTTTAAATAGGAACTAGATATTAGTTGAAACCTTTATACTGCATATTTGTCCATTCTGATCAGTAACAAAGTCCACTGCCTCTCCAGTGATGTAATCCACATTCAAAGAGATAGCCTTCCTCTTGTAGGCATTGAGGAGTGACCATGGATCAAACCAACCTTCCCTTCCTGTTCCTGAAATATTTTAGCAAAAAGCTATGTTACACTTCTGGGATGTGATCCAAAAGATCTACGGTACTCTCTGATAAAATAACTTCAAGTAACAAGAATATTGTTTTTTAGAAAATTATTATCATGAACTCACATGCAACTTAATCTTTCCCTACAGTGGGATCAAAGAAAATGACACTGGTTGTTGAGCTACCAGGCATTCATCTCACACTGACACTGAATGGTATGAACATTTAAGGGTAATTTAATTTTACCAAATGGAAATTGGAAAATTGACTACACCAAAGATTGCCAGCTGGAATCAAGATGTGCCGTCAGATGAAGGCCACACCCTTCACTCTTCAAGCTCCCATTACTACTCCAACTTACCTTTTCTCTTGTTCCTCTAAACCCAACTAGACAAAAAATTTTGAGTCATCCTATTGCTTGTTAGTCTTACAGAACACAAGGGGGTAGGTTTGAATTTATACACTGAATATCTTTGGGTTAAAATTTAACACAAAGACTTAAAGCCTAAAAAATTTGTGTTAAATTGTCAAATCAATAATTGATTAGGAGTCTCACAAAACCATAAATAGCTTCTCAATAGTACATATGCTAACCCAAGGAAGCTAGTGATATGCCATCTGTATTGAGCCATGGAAATCGTTCACTGAGCTCAGAGGGGGAAAGAAGAATAACTTCACATCCAAGCTCCCTGAAATGATTTAAAACAATTCCTAATCAACACCTGCACTCATATTTAATAAAATACTTGTTAACTGATCAGCAGGAATATTTTGCAAACTGCAATGAAAACTCTAATTAAAAAAAAAAAAAACTTAGGATACCTTTCAATAACCCTGGAGAGATAAATATTTTCAGAAATCACTCACTACCTAATCTTCCCCTCTATGAGTGCAGAACAGCCCACATCAAGAAAGAAATTTGGTACTATCAACTGAGTTGATAACGTTAATTGGCCACATAAAGAGTTTCAAAGCTGATGTTTCAAGCGTTAACCATTCACTCTGACAAAGGGCTAACACTTAAAAATATCAGCTTTGAAAGTCTTTATGGTGGCTTATTTACCTTGGGCTATTGCACATGTATTTGAAACAATTTATCTTGAATCATTCAGAAGCTCTGTCAAAGGAACTAACATCAGTGAAGATATAACCCATACTGCAGCCATAAAGCATTATAATTATTTCATCATAATCATAATAAACTGAATTATTTGCTTTACCCCACATATTTTGATTGGTTCCTATTAATAATCTCTTGCAGGGCAGACACATAGATGACCTGAACAGCCTTCCCTTGTTAATTATATAATTAACAAATAGATTCCACGTTGACATGTGTTTATTCAGTTCAAGATCCCAGAAGACATCAAAATGAAGTAAAAACATCAGTGACACACTCAACTGTGCTTCCTGAGCAACCTTTTTGCACTAACCACATTTGATGTCATCTGTCTGTGATCTATTACCAACAGACCACAACAACATGGAAAACTATTGTTAGGTTGACTAGCAATCAACCATCATGGAACTTAAGATGATAAATCCAAGTAAGAAAAAGGTCCCAAAAATTCAGCTATTGTGAATACTACCCCTCATACTTATTAACCCTTGTATCATAGCAACATCACTATCCATATTCCCCATACTCTTTTCTATACATTTCCTTTGGTACTGACAAGGAGAATTTGATTAACAATCAAAGCTTCCTATGTGATCATTTCCTTTATTCCCATAATATTAGTGAATAACTCAGCAGTATTACTGTGAAGAGAAATTAGATGCTTAGGGTTTAAAGGGTTCACTATCTTTCCCTTTTTAAAAAGGTGTTCAAATCTAAAGACTATAACTTTAAAAATTCACCTCTGAGTCACATGATTTTCCTTCATTCTTTCTTCTCCTTCCTTGCTTGCTAAAAACAAATAACCTTGATAATGCAGTTGAACATCAGGGGGGTCGCAACCATCAACGGCTAAATGTTGTTCAATTTCAGATAAAAACTGAAAGCCATATTGTGACATTTGGATATTTTCAGCCATGGAGAACTGCTGCCTTATTGATGCAACCGACAGGGTTGTTGATGCCTTTGAGTACTTTATAGCACAAAAATAAAAAGACAATATAGAATGAAAAATTATAATGAAGGCTATGGTCGCAATCGTTTAAAAAATACTTAAATGATAAAATAAATTTTAAAAAAAAGGAAGTCGCAATAAGGTCTCTTCGATTTTAATTTACGCAGCCCCGTCGCGTGACAACTATGGATGAAAGCAATCTGTTCTGAAAGGAATGTTAACTCACCGTAGGATCACTTTCAATCACGCAAATTTTTCCCTGTCCTTGCATTTTGCTAGCTAGAAAGTACGCTGAAGATGACCCTATTGCACCTCCTCCTACAATTGCAACATCGTAGACACTTTGTTTGTTGGAACTAAAACGTTTTGATGATTTTGAATATTTTACGAGGAAATTTGACGAGAGACAACGGGTTGAAGTCAACTGTAATTTTAAAAAACTGCCGATACTCCTGGTCTTCGGAGGACAGCTTAAAATTGTGCGTAAGAATTTTCTACCAGCAGCCATGTTGAAATTTGAAATCAGTTCGTCCGGATTTATCCCAGTGGAGCTCTAAGTACTAAGGTCCGTTCGTTGCATTACCGCCGCACACCTGTTACGTCACGCAATCGTTCCAAAGTTGTCAGTCAGTTCGGCTTAAAGATGGCGGCGGTTTCTGAATTTGCGTTGTCGAAAAGAGGGTTGATCAAACAGACCCCTCCTAAACCGTTTCTCATAGGAGTTGCTGGTGGATCAGCTTCTGGAAAGGTAAGTGTTTCAGAATATCGCCACTTACAATTCTTGTAAAGGTGTTTAGACGAGTCTTCAAACACCAGGCACTATTATTCTATTGTGTTCTTCTGCTTTTTTCTGTCTTCTTGGTTGCGAACATCGCCTCGATCTGCTCTTCGAGTCGACGCTATAAAGAGAAAGTATCATTATTTAACTTAATAAGAGTATACTACTGTATTTTACGAAATGCATATGATAATTTATTGTTTCGAAAGCTCTAGTTTTCTGGATGCAATTGCGTTTTCAAACTGAACTGTTTCACGACATTATTTCAACTGGCACCATGAAGTATTTAACAGTTTTTATTGCATTGTCAACATAACGCGAGTAATTTTATATTTTTATCATCTGTCAACTTTGACGTCGCATTTTATTCAGAATGTATAATTCAGCATGACAAATTTGAGGGAGGATCGGCTAATGTCCGCCTTTAATCCCTAAATGGGACTCAGTTCGCCTGTGAACAACGACAAAAGGCAAAGACCAGAAGTTGTAAATCGTTTCCTTCAAATGCATTTGGTAAAGCTGCGAAAATTTCTCTCTGAAACCTATGGTAATTGCTTAATACCAATAATATGGCTGTTCCTTGAGGTTGTAGATACAGACCAATACATCACATCAATAATTAATGAATCAAGGGGATTTGAATTAACATGTCCGTTACGAGGAAGTGACTGCCCGCTAACTGCAAATAAAGCGTAGCTTTTGCTTTCCCTCTGCCCCATAAGGCTTTGGGATATATTTAAGTTAGTAATGAGTACTGCTTTACCAAAGACATGGGAGATGTTACTGAAAAATTTTGAGCTCTGGCAGTTTCATGAAGGTTAGATCTAGGAATGTAATCTATCAATCTTCCAAAGTCTCTCAAATGCATATGCTAATTTTTTCGTTTTTTCAAGCAATGAATCATAACACATATTTTTAGCAAGTTTTCAGCCCTTATTCCTGTCTCTTATTTCCTTTCTTTCTCATATTATTACATAAAATTATTCACTGTTGATAATTATTATTATTTATTTAAATCTATGAGGTTCAACGGAATACCATGTTAGTGATGTAGACTCCCCTCAAGATATTTTTACTATTGTTGTCATTGTAATTTTTTCTAATGATGCAGTAATATGAACAAGCTTTGAAAAAAGGTTATGTCCCAAAATTGTTGTGTAGAAAAGACTGTAACTATCATTTAATGCTCCACTCTTTGTAGTCAACAGTTTGTGCCAAGATAATGGAACAACTTGGTCAGGATGCAGTAGAATCCAGAAGAGTTGTTATCATCAGCCAGGAGAGTTTCTACAAAGAACTTTCTGAGGAGGAAGCTGAGGAAGCTAAAGTGGGAAATTTCAACTTTGATCATCCAGGTGACCTGACCTACAACTGTTCTACAATAAGATCCCCCACAATTTCCTCTTTGCCTCATTGAATAAAGATATTTCCGTCAAACAAATCATGATTACAAGCATTTTTTATGTAGAGTGATGCAGTACCCCCATTCCATTTGACCCTTGGATCCCAAAGATGGACCAGCATCTCCTTTCTCCATGGAATATCATCCTGAATAAAAAATTAAGGTCACAAGAATAAAGGAAAGAAGCTCTTGATTGTTGAGCAAATTCTCCTTGTCAGCACCTTAGGAAATATATAAGATCAGTATGGAGAAAATGCATGCAGATATAATGGTGCAAAAGGTTATAAGAGAATAAATTATTTTGAATTACATTTACAGTATATCATTAAATTTCTTTTTCATCAGATGCGTTTGACTTTGAGATGACACTTGATACTTTAAAGAGAGCAAAAGTAGGTGAAACTGTTGAGATACCTCTCTATGACTCCGTCAATGCTACAAGGTGAGTGTTAAAACCTAAAAAGGTGTCAGTGCTGTTGTCTGAAAACTTCTTGGGACTGTTTGGGACAGGGAAACTGTTGAACTCATTTCCCAAAAACTGTACACTCCTCACTGCAAGGAGAAAATTAATTGCCTTACCTAAGAACAGAACACAACATCTTGGGCCTGAATATTATGAGCTTTAGTTCAATGCACTCAACATATTTTTCTCTACTAAAACAGGCACACAGGTTGATGATATTGGTGTGGTTTGATCAGCCAAGTGACCATACCATTTATAAAACACCAATATGCTTACAAAAGTATATTACCATTGAATTAAAATTAATTGCACCAAAGCTGGACACAAAAACCCCTAAAAAAACTAGCAAGTGGAAAAAGGGGGAACATGTACCCCCGACCAAGGCAGTGGTGCCACCCTTGGGGTGTTAGTGTATTATACACATTTGAGTAGATGACAGTTACTTAATATGGAAGTATACAAGTACAGCTCTAAATAAAACCTGACAATATTTCAGAATTAGTAAATAAATTTCAACGAATACAAAATCTAAAAACTTTACATAGCAAAGGCTGACAATAGGATGCTTCACCCCACTAATGACCTCAAATTTTAAACTTCGATCTGATAACTCTTCCAGCACCTCACATCTGCCTCCAGTCCTCTGATGTGCACCAGCAAAATTTAATTTATGTTAATTAGAATTATCACAAATTACATTTGCTACAGCACCATGTCTCCTTAGCTCAATTTGTTAGTCTCGGGTAAAATTACATCCATTTTAGGTTAAAGGTAACAGGAAGTGTTTAATTTTATTTATAATAAGATCAAGTAACTTTTACCTTTATTGATTTTAACAGTTTTGAGGAGTTTTTCGGTCAAGAATCATAATTAAGTGTGTCATTTTTTCCAATGTGGTAATTGTCATGAATCCATAGTATTGACTTCAGTTGTTGGAGAGAGACTAGAACAAAGTGTTCAATAAACAAATCAGAAGAAGGGAGTGGGTGGGGATGTGTATATTAATCAAATATCTCCAGAATTCAGGGCCAGGTTATCAGAATGATGGTCAGCAATAATACAGGATTAAACAGTTAACTTGTCCTTGATTTAACTTAAAATTGAGCATTTTGGCTAACACTCTATTAACTTAATCATGCTTTGCACATCAAGGCCCAGATTTTCAGAGGCTTTCATCTCTGTCATAATTATTCCTCTATCCTTTTTTTTAACTACAGACAAAAAGAATCTGTCACAATATACCCTGCTGATGTGATATTATTTGAAGGAATCTTAACAATCTACTTCAAGGAACTACGTGACCTGCTTGATATGAAGCTTTTTGTGGATTCAGACAGTGATACCAGACTATCAAGAAGAGGTATATATAATTTGTGAAAGTTAGATATATCATTAATTACAAGGATGCAGTCCAGTGTTTTTGGTCTAGAAAAGGTGCTGTACACTCCAATAATATTGTGGTGGCTTTGTCCATCAAAAAGGAATTCTCTGCAACCATGTTTTTCTGTAAAAACTACACCACAGATTCAAACAATTTTTTTTTTGTGATTAATTTTACCCTCACTTGTGGACAGATGTGAACCTTCAGGTTGGTGTGCTTCTTCAGCATTCTATATAAAACTTGCAGATTGAATGAATTTTGAACTGAATTTGTCATTTTTGACTTACCACCTTTTGTGGACAGATGTGAACCTTTTGGTTGGTGTACTGCCTCCTCAACATTCTATATCACAGTAAATGATTCTATGGACTCTAATTTTCAAGTAGTTAATCATATACTGTGTTAACTGCAAACTGAATTTAACTCATAAGAATTAGAGGGAAACTCACCACTTTGTATCTTTGTTGACAGTGTTAAGAGATACTCAGGAACGAGGGCGAGAGCTTGATCAAGTATTGGCCACATACACAAATTTTGTAAAACCAGCATTTGAAGATTTTTGTCTTCCGGTAAGTTTATAAAACTATTGTGAATTATAATGGGTGGAGTTTAAATTTTTTACCAAAAATGTGAGTTGAAAGTTATCAGTAATTAATAATTTGAGGAAATTTTTTTTAAATTTTGTAGACAAAAAAGTATGCAGATGTGATAATACCAAGAGGAGCAGATAACACAGGTGAGGGTTGCTAACAAGTCAAAAGTTTATATCAGGAGCTTAAGATATTTTAACCCTTTAACTCTCAAGATCTGATTGTTAATTCTTCCCTCTTGCTGCCACACATTTCCTTGTAAATTTGTAAATTTGGTGTTTCTTCTACCTGAAAAGTTTTGGGTGTTCTCGTCACTCATTTGCTTTGCTATTTGTTAATTACTTCTGGGAGTCAAAGTGTTAAAGAAAACATCTTTCTGACTGTGAAGCCCACTCCTTATAAGCATTGTTTTGGGGGAATTGGGACTTTTTCATCAAGGGACCTAGTAATTTATTGGGCCTGAAACCATACTTTAAAATCAAAATTCAACCAGTCCATTTTGTTTCTTTAGCTGGTAGTTGTATCTTATAATTTTCATATCTTTTGAAATCCTTATCTTGAATGAAAACGCAGCAGCTAAGAATAACTTTTACAGTCCCACAACCTTTAGGAAACAGGCTCCTGGAGAGTTAAGATTAGCTGGGAATAGCTCTCTAGTTAAATTCATCATGTGCTTCCCCAAGTGACTTTTGATGTAGGTTGAAATTCTTTATGTCTATCATAAAGACATTTGTATCAACTTGGGAGGAGAATTTAGTAGTATATCAGAAATCGCTGATGACCTTCCATGTACACCTTCAGAACAACTTTAGGTCACAAATACATGTTTGAAAAAGTGTTGTAAGCAAGATTGCCAACTAATAATATTTGGCTGCGAATATTTGAAAATAATATAGTATTACATTAACTGTGGATTAACTAATGTATATGAGAGTGATCTAGAAAGTACATTTCCACAACATGTGTTTAACCTGACTGAAATAATTTCTCTCTTCTTAAGTGGCTATTGCCCTCATTGTTCAACACATAAAAGACATTCTGAACGGAAACAAGAGCATTCGATCTGAAGATAGTCATGAGCTTGAACGCCGTCAAAGATGCCTCTCTGACTCAAGTATGAAATCATCCAGACCTCACTGATGACTTGAATTTACCCCAGACATACCCTGTCCTGATGCTGCATAACTTCTTGTAGCAGTTAAAATGGATAGAAAAAGCACATAAATTAACATAAAGTTTGCTTTGTTGTGTTCTGGAAGCACTGTAAGATAAATGGTGAAGTATCTTTACTTAATAACCTAAAGCTGAGTTTGAAATATGCAATTTTAAGTTAATACTTTTCTCTGGTTTTCAATAGCTAGTTCTAACTTGATCTAATTCTATATATATTTTAATTTTAAAGTGAATCAAGAACTAATCCAAATAGCTTGGATATACTCATTTTCTTGGAAACATCTTTGCTATTTTATTCTGTAATTAGCACTAGACAGATTTTAAGATGCTCTTTTAATGGTAACATTCTAATTTTTTGGAGTTAGTAGCCAGTGATGCCATGTAGCAAAATCAAGTACACATGTTTACTGTTGCTGTGGCAGATCTCTTTCAAAGTGCTGTAAATCTTGAGCCTACTTCATGTCTTAAAAAGATATAATTACTCATGATTACACATAGCAACATGTGACAGTTTGGTGCTGCAAGATCATGGAATGTTATATAAAAACAGTTATCAGGCAGGCCTGATAATATCATTACACAGTAGGGTTCCTAGGGATCTTAAATGACTATTTATGATACTTCAATCTACTATTAATTTATTGAAGTTTGACAGAGAATAATCTGAAAATTTAGAAGGCAATTTCTACAGCAAACCTCTGTCGCTGTTTATTATTTCTTACAGTATATTAGAATACAGGAGGTTTTTCTTCTTACAATTTTTAGTTAAATTTTAGTTTTAACATTTGATGGACAAGCTAAGTGTGAATTCATAGGCATTGGAGATTTGTTTCCAGGACCAAATGTCTGGCTTTTTTTTATAGTTGCTTTTACAATATACCTTACATGTTTTTAATCATTTTTAAAATAATGAATGATATTTGCACTGAGTGGCTAATGAAGGGATTAACACTGATTGGAAATTTTTTGTGGGCTTTCATTGCACTGCGTGAGGAGGAAAATTTCAATTGATATTCTAGGTGTATAAATTGGTGGATTTGTTACAACCTGGGTTTTTTCAATCCAGAGATGTTACCCACCAGATGAGGTGAAAATTAATGTCTGTCAGGCCCCAAATTGAAGTTCTTGACTATATCTTTAAAACAGTGGTACTTAACAAAGATTTTGATAACACCCAAGTGTCCAATGTATGATGCCCTCCAAACCTTAATTTTTTTCGGTTGTGTTCTGCATGTTCATAATGATCAGCTTTCCTGTTCTTTTCCAGGCTTTTGTGTTTCTAAAGATGACCTTCGTTCGGAGTGATAGGTGCATGAGTTTTTGGTGTCGATGTTATTGTAAAATATAGGTTGAAAGGTTAATTTATTGAGATAGATGAAATAAGTACATCGATCATTTATTTTGTATTCTTTGGTGTGAATGTCAATAATGTGTGAATAAATTCCCAGTTATGTTTGTACTTTCTTCGTTCTTGTGGTGAGTTTTACCTCTTGGCAAGCGATTGCAATGGAATACGAAACAGTTGTATGTATATGATTTCTTGACCTTAGAAAAAGGTATATATTATTTTTCGTCTACGTACTTTGCCATGGAAACTTTGGAACAGAACTCCACTTTCTAGTTCTCTTCACAACCTAAATATCGATTTTGTCACCTGCCTTATACTGCCTTTTATACTATTCCATGAGAAAATACTGAAGATTGCCCATTAAAATGAAGTCAAACAAAAAACAGGAAGTGATTTAAGAGTCAGGCTAATTAATTGCGTGTTAATTGTGACGTTCCGACTGCTGTACCGTTAGTTCTAATCAAGCAACGAGGTCGAAAGTTTGCGTATCTCTATCTGTAGCACCTTTGTCAGTTGTCGTTGGCGGGTATTGGTGCGCCGTCATATTGGTGCATTTCAGTTCTCATTATTATTCCGAGTATTACAATGTTGTTCCCTCAGAGGTCCTCTTTGTAATTGATCGGCTGTTATGCTTCTTGATCGTAGGCATCCACGCTTTAGGAGTTACGATTCCGTTATCTCTGTTGATGAAATTGGGATGAAGTCTTGAGTGGATGGCTTCTTTAACCTTACGTATGACCAGTGAGAGTCATGATCAATAAAGTTAACCTACTCCTCAACAGGAACATGTCCTGTTTCATTAATGTTTTCCGAAACTGCTGAATTCTGAGTGCGAGCTAGCCGTATTTCTTCTTCGAGTTCTTTAATTCTCTCTTTCATCGCTCCACCTGTTTCTCCAATGTCTACTTTGCCACGTTCACACCGAATTTTGTAAACAACATCGTACGCTTCGCTAGCTCGGAGAGGTCCTTTGGCTGGCACCAGGTGTGACCTAAGCGTCATATCAGATTTGAAGACGGTCCGCACGCCTTGTTGTTGTAGGTAGCGGTGAAGAAGCTCTGAGACACCTTTAATGTAGGGTCGAACCGCAGTAGATTTTGAAATCATGCGTGGGTTCTTCATTGGCTAATGATCTTTACGTCTTTGCAATCTTTCGTATAAATGAGGGTGAATATCCGTTAGAGGCTAGAACCGATGATAGCTGTTTCTTCTCTTGAGAGATGGTTGATGGTTTTGTTATGAGGTGTTTGGCCCGGTCGTATAGACACTTAACAATACTCCGTTGTTGTTGTTTTACCGTGGATTTTCTCTGAGATGTTGTTTGTTAGGCCTGCGCAGCATTTGCACTCTTGTGCACAAAATTGTAACGAACCCGAAAGGACGGATGCGCAGCATTCGAGCACGTGCGAGTTGGTAGTGGTGGTAGTTAATTGGATGTAGGGTCGCACAGTGTTCAGAAGTGATCAGAAGTAACGACTTTGTGCGCTCCTCTGCGCACTCGGTGAAAATGACACGGATTAAATGTTGCGAGGCATTTGCAACCCCCCCCCCCTACGCGCTCAAAGGCAATGACCTCGTTTGAGGGTTGCACAGCACTTGCGCTCCTGTGCCCATCCAATGAAAATAACACGGAATAAAGGTCGCGCAACACTAGCCACCCTTTATGAACTCAGAGGTGATGAACACGACTAGGGTTGCACAGCATTCGCAATCCTTCACAGGCTCAGTGGCAATGACCTCGATTGGCCCCAGCATTTGTAACTCTCTGCGCACATGGTGGTAATGACCACGATTGAGGGTCGTACAGCAATCACGCTCATGGGCGCGTTCAGTGGTATTTACTTTAATTGATTGGAATCAAAACCTGATACCGGCCAGTTTAAATCCACCGAGAGAGATCAATGCTAGGAGAAAGAGAATCTAAGCTATATGTAATCCCTCTCAAGGTGTTTTTAGACTCCAGGTATGTCACTCGTAAATAATGTCACACATACCTCTAAAGTGGCTCGGATATGTTTTGGCGAATAAACCACCCACAAGCTGCCCACATGAGCAAAATTTAAGACGCACAGCTGGTTACTTCAAGATCTACCATGGATCTCCGAAAACGGAATTGATCGCACTATTGCTCGCACTATATAATCGTATAATTTACTTGTGACTTCACCAAATTAAATTCAAACTTTTAATTGCAAAATAATGATTCTAAACGACAAATTAAGTTCGTAATTGTTTTTCTATAGTTATGACATCACGGGTAAGTAATAAATCATTATTTCTACGAGCTTATGGCTAATCGGCCGCATATTTGTTAGCTCTGTGAACAATCAGCCTAAGCGTCCTTAACGGCTTGATTTCGGCGGACAAAACAACAAATCGACTCGCATATTTCGCATCGAAGAATTTTCCTATATTTGCTTGAACTTTCGACGAGGTGTTTCATCCTATATCCCAATGGCCCGAACAAAAATAGCACAATTTTCGCCAAGTACCTCGTGTTCGAGCATAATAATAAGAAGACATAGGTCGTTTGGAAAACAAAGCAAGCGGGCAGCTTCAAGTGGAAGTGACACGTCCGATTCGGCGAAGAGCAGCGATGAAGAAAACAACGTAACTTCTCCTCGCAACAGAAAAGGTATTTTTAAGAAAAAATGTATTTAAAAAGGGCAGAATTGCTGCATACCATGCATTTATTTCTCTGTCAACTCTTAGAGCATGCGCGCGCTCATTCGCTGCCACTTTCAAGCCAAGTAACCCCAACGATCTCATCTGAGGTTTGCCTTGAGTTTTCAAAGTCTCTCATTAAATTCTCGCCATCAAACGTTGTTCATTTGTAATGGAGCAGTAATGTTATAAGGCGAATTATGATCACATTTTCACAACTGATTAGCAGGGAAAAGCGGAAGACTAGCGACAGTAGCCCTAACGTTTTCTTCGAGGATAAAGGTTTGACACTCTGGACCAATTTCCGTGTTGATACTTAATTCAAAATAAGTAATGATGTATTGTTCTAATTTTTAATTCACTGATTACAGCGAATTTGCCTTGCTTGTTACGTATAATTAATTAAGTAGAGCAATCGGTAAGAGAGCATTTAGAAAAGACACTGTTCACATGAAAGTCCAAAGTTGAAAGTCCTTCGGGATTTCATTAGTTCTAATTTGATTGGTTCTGCATCTAATGGGCCTAGTGATTGGCCGAGAAAACACTTGTCACTTAACCAACCAATCAGATGGAAAAAAAAGTCCTTGCGGACCGTAATTACATTCACCCACATTTTTAACATCTTGACAATGTCTACTATAACTACGATAAAGGTTTTTATTGTGCCTTCCAATTGAAACAAACAATCCTATTATACTCCATTAAATCACCGACAGACGAACAGTGATTCAAAAAGCATCGCACTGATTCACCCGAGCAGACAATAGCTGACCATGTAGTTTCCCCGAGTCAGTCGTGAACATTCTATAAACTAGACTAGTTGTAATTTAAGATATGCTACACAACGCACTATTAAAAAATATCAATGAGGTAAAATTCGAATAAAATAAGAGTCCTATCCCACCTCTTTTCCCCACACCAGCCTCCTAATCTTTAAAGGCTCCTTTTTTCTATCTCCCCGTGATGGGGAGGTTTAACGATAAAACAAATCACAATTAGCAAGGTCAATCTCTTCTATGTGTTTAACAGTTATCATATGCTTACAGTATCAAGGTGTGAGTATGAAAGCGATCTTCGCAGTAATGAACACTACTTCCGCAGTAGTGAAAATAAGGCCTGAAAAAAATTCAGGCTTGTACGGGATTTGAACCCATGACCTCTGCGATACCGGTGCAGCGCTCTATCGCAGAGGTCATGGGTTCAAATCCATGCAAATTTTTTTTTTTTCAGGCCTGAATTTTTTCATGCCTTATTTTCACTACTGTTTAAGTAGTGTTCATTACTGAGAAGATCGCTTTCATGCTCACGTCTTTATCCGCAGTTCAAATATATGACTGTCATATATTCACAGTCGAGTATCAAGGTGTACAAAAAAGTTGAAGGGAAAAAAAAGTTAACCACGTTAAATTTGGATATTACCATTACTGATAGTTGTCACTAACGATGCGGGCGTCTTTTGTCGCACTTTTATTTTTTTTAAACCGCACAGGACGCAAGCGAAATCAGGAGGTCAATATTGTACCGTGTAAGAAGAAAAAGCTTCCTAATGAGGACTCAGGTGAAAAGGAAACGAGTAAGCTTGATCTTATCGAGAACAGGATAAGAACGCGGATCAAAGCACGTATCAGAGCGAGACTGAAGGTGAGAGAGGCAGAAGAGTTGCGCCTTCTGGAAATCAAGGCTCTCAAAGAGAATGGATGGTCCAAACTTATTCCTTATGAAATACTGCTGAGGATTTTCAAGCAAGTTGTGAGCGACACCGGACCAGTTCCTTTCTTATGCAGGTACGTTTCATTCCATTTTCCTCATTTTAATGGTTGCAATTAGAGGGCATTGGCTATTAGGTCTCCTGAAGGTGTTGTTTGGTTTACCCTGAACAATTAAACCTAGATTTGTTTAGATCATCAAGATTATCATTTGCAGTTTAAGTCAACACATGCTTCCCCACCCTCAACTAACCTCGCTCTTTTTCAGGTCTATTCCATTTAGTATGGAGTTCTTCTTCCTACTAAGGAGTCATATTTTGTGATCTTCCTTACACCGAAGGCGATTTTATACCATCCAAAAATAAGCATCTAAAAATGTTATGACCTAAAGCCTTTGCATACAACTGAGAGAGGTATTTCGGCATTTTATGTCGAGAAAGACATTATTCAAAGTAGTCTATACTCACGACTTAGCACTACAAACAACTGTGAGCACTTGAAACTGACTGTAACTTACGTACAAAATATGGTATGCTTAAAAAGAACTGCTTCCCTAAGAAATGCGTACGCACTGCGTAAAACCACTTCCTGTCAGGGAAACGCCCCAACTGATTGAATTGAGTAGTATGGGCTTAAGTAGTCCTAAAAAGGACTGTTATTGGTGAGACTAACATTTCGACAATCTGAGCAGGTCATCAACATCGTCAAGTGAAGAATTGTTACTCAGCAGTCGAGCGTTCCAAGTGTATACATGGGGTAAATTTCTGAAGAAACTGTAGTGCTGGGTCAGTGGAAGGGGGCTATTATTACAAAATAATTTGGTTTTATCGGTGAGTTGATTATGTGAATTGCCACCGTAAAGAGTTTTTAAAGCTGAAATTTCGAGCGTCAGCCCCTACTCAGAGGAATTGTGGGTTATGTGTGGTTTGAGGTTTGGTTAATGAAAACCGACTGATTAGTAAGTTTGGCTGTGATATCATTGGCTACAGTATTCGCGTGGTTTTATTATTTACAAATGTCTTTTGCTAATTTTGTGTTTAAATATAAATGCAGGATGTCTAGGGTCTGTCAAAGCTGGAAGCAAGTTGCTTCAGAAACAATGTTGTGGAGAGAAGTCAATTTATCGACAATGAGCATTGAATGTCCAAGATCTGCTATCGACTCCACGATTGTAAAGTTAGCGGTGTCACGACTGAAAATTGTCAGAGAATTGAACCTTGATGGGTGGAGTGAGTTGACAGATGTAGGACTGAAGGTAGGGAAAGAGTGTTCAGCTTCTAAAGATGGAAACTAATTTTGTCTGTGGTTGTGCCCGTAAGTAAGCAGCATATCTATTATGTCCAGCCAGCCTGCCTTATTGTTGCCCAATGCCCCACAGGGAATTCAGCGTCTTGTCAATTGCGTAGCCTATTACATCACAAGTTTTCCGAGAGCTTCTCCTAGTGATGCTGAAACTGTTTGGTGTCGCCGATAAGCGGAGAAGACCGCTGATTATTGATCACCTTCATCCGTTCTATTTCTTTAATTTGTTAACTTAGGCCATAGGAAAACACTGTCACTCTCTGCAGTCCATTGTGTTATCCCAGTGTGGGAGTCTGTCGTCCAAAGGTATCTCTACTCTGGTTTCAAAGTGTCGCCAGCTGAAGATGCTCGATGTCGCTATGACAAAGGTAATACTCATACATAACAAGCAGAAAATTTGTAGCGCAAGCCGCAACGAGTTCTCATGCGTAAGGCAGTTTAGCCTTTCTTTTACGCAACGTTTTAGTTAGGTGTGTCCACAACATTTCTTACACCAATTTTCCATTTACTTATAGCAATCACCAATAAGCATCGTTGTACTACAGAGCGACTTTTCGAAGGATATCCCATGTAATCCTTTTTCCTTAAATTACTGTGCAAATTTGTGTAACAAGTTGGCCAGTTTGAGGACTCTTAGATATTGTATGCCTCAAGAAGTTAGCAGGTGTAGAGCTGAAATTAATCGCTTTGCTCTCGGTTAATGTCATATATTTTGTGTGCAATGTGAAAAAGGTTTTACGCCTTTGATTTTTACGGATTATAGATTGACATCGCAAGTCTCCATCGTGTAACTAAGCGATTAGGAAATCAGCTGGAAGAGCTTTGCTTGATGAACTGCAGTCGGTTGGGAGGCGAACAAGTTCTTCCTATAATACAGGTTTGTTATAAAACCTATTTGTGAACCGTTATTGCTGTTGTTGTCCTGTCAGTCATTAGAACATGGGCTGTAAGAAACGAGGCCACTAAATTCTACGGATAAGTTTCTATAAAATTCTGCGACTCCCGAGATAAAACGTATAAACTTAGGGTTGGGAATCTCCACCACCAGTCAAGAGAGGGTGGAATGTATGTTCTCGTTTTCCGACTCTCGTGGAAACTGAAAAGCTTTGATCCAAACCGGATTGTTTATGGAAGTTACGCCATTCAGCCTCATACCCATCACAGAAATAGAGATGAACCTTTACATAAATCCATAGAATTAACATATTGTATCAGTCTGCTAAAAACTCATCCACGCTGTGTGCCATTTTTTTGCAGGAGCGTTGTCCGAGCTTGACTGTCCTTGATTTAACTGGTACCAATATCAGAAAACTTAATGTAGAAAAGCTCCAGGTAAGAATCAAAGTAAGGTACATTTAAATTCTCCATCCTTTTTCATTTCAGTTTAGTAGAGTAGAGTAGAGCATCGGTACAGGGAATCTGATAAAGGTTCCAGGTTTGATATCCGATGGGAACTTAAATCTTTCAGTTTCTCTGTCCAACGCTCGTGACAATTACGACGAAAAAAAATTTATCTTTCTTTGATTTTCAGGCTGGTTGTCCAAAGCTGAAAGAACTGTTCCTTGCCAACCTACTTCTTCACTCAACTCCTATAAGCACTGATGTGGTAGTATTCCATATAAACTTTAAGATTAATCTAAGATTACAGGACTAGATAATATCTCTGCTAGGTTGATTCGTGAGTGTGCTGGTATTATTTCAGGCCCGTTATGCGGTCTATTTAGTAAATCCCTGATGTCTGGCATATTTCCTGACGACTGGAAATGTGCCAGAGTGACTCCGTTTTTTAAACGAGGCGAGTAATCTGACTTAAACAACTACCGACCTATCTCAGTCATTTCCGTAGTCGCCAATGTGTTCGAGAGGATTGTGTACGATCAGTTATACAACTTCTTGAGTAAACAGTGAAGAAATCAGCTCTAAACAACAATCTGGTTTCCGGTCTCTACACTCAACTGTTACTGCACTTCTAGAAGCCACTGACAGTTAGGCGTTTAATATCGATCATGGCTACGTCAATGCCGTAGTGTTTTTCGACTTAAAAAAGGCATTCGACACTGTTGATCATGAGATGTTACTAACTAAAATGAATCGGTGTAGAATTCAAGGTAAAACTCTTGATTGGTTTACATCGTATTTGACAAATCGTACACAACGGTGCTCAGTTAACGTTTGTCTCTCTGACCTCACCACTGTTAAATGTGGTGTGCCACAGGGAACGATCCTTAGCCCTCCTTTATTTCTAATTTATATCAACGATTTGCCTGACTATCTTTCGTTCAGCATACCTAGAATGTATGCTGATGACACCCACATTACTTATGCTGGTTCTGATTTGCATTGGATTCAGTTTAGTCTATCTCACGACCTTGAAAAGCTAAGCAAATGGCTTGTGTCTAACAGAATTACTTTGAACGCTACAAAAACTGAATTTATGTTGATCGGCTCCAGGCAAAGATTAAGTGCTCTATCTGATACACTCGAACTCTCCATTGATAATATTCCGATTGAACAAGTTTCCTCTATGAAATCACTTGGAATATATATCGATGAAAATTTAACGTGGCATTCCCATATTGATAAACTGTGTAAAAAGATCGCATCTACAATTGGAGCCACTTTGATTACTGCAGCCTAGTCTGGGGTAATTGTGGTAAAACATCATCTAACAAGCTACAAAAACTACAAAACCGTGCTGCACGAGTAATAACTTCGTCAAACTATGACGTAGATGTCGATTCTTTGTTTTACAAACTCAGCTGGAAAGACTTGAAATCTCAACGTTGCTGCCCAACATACCAAAAGGCATAACGGCAGTCAGTTAATGAGTTAGTCATTAAGAAGCAAATTATGGCCGTGACTGTGTTTTAGATATCTTGTATTAATAAGCAAAAATCTTGATGATATTTTGACTTGGTTTGCCTCTTCAGCTAAATGCACACTAATATACGAGGATTCGGTGATTCGCTATCACCGTAGATCGGTAACGTCAAACATTCATAACGCGTTTTCGTCACATATCATTCGCTGACGAGCATTTTTTCCATCTCCAGGAACAGAATGGGTTTCCCCAACTAGAGACACTTTGCCTGGCCTGTGGTTGTTTTGCAGGGGTTCCAAGGGTTGATCGCTTTTTGTTCAGGTTTGTGATATATTTAATTCTGCTCTGCAAAGAAACTGTCGGTAGCCTAATCAAAAATCACTCGATTTGGAAAGAACTTAAACAGAATTTTGGATTTTTCGGCAAATATAGACAATGACTGACATTACTAGTAATGGGAACCAGCTTTCCATTCAACCTTGCTCGTTCCCTGCCTAGAGAATAATGCGCACGTTCCAGAATACGTTCAATATGTTTTTAAAATCGACTGTGTTCACTTTTGTATGATCCGTAGACTCTTGAGAACGTCGACCAATCTCAAAAAGCTAGACGTGAGAGGATTACAGAGAATCACCCCTGAAGGATTACAGGTACAAATAAACCGAACTTTGTCTAAACTCCCTCGATGCCGTCTTTGAGATGTAACGCACCGCTGGCCGAGCGTTGCGTGACATCTCTTTAAAATAGGACTTCATGACACATCGAGCTCAACCAAGCTGAGCGAAAAACAGGGCCACCAACAACTCTTTGACCCAAGCGCACTTGGTGCTTGTTTATGACATTTGTTTAATTGTTTTTGTCTTCCTTTATTATTATTGCTGACTCAGTCTTTTTGAAAATTTATTCAAGAATCTTTCAATTTTTGTTCTGCAGAGTTTACCAGTAACTTCTCTTACGGAGTTGTTTTTCTCGGACACACACGCTACATTTGCTCTGATGTCAGCTGTCATTCAGCAGGTAATATCTTCTATGACGTCATGTGCCGAGAGAAACCTTGGCCAAACACCCGAGAGAGTAGTTTTCTCGATATTCCAGTGGTGATAAACGAAAAAAAAATCTCCTATCTGTGGAAAACTTTTCGATGAAGAGTTGTAAATCAGAACCAATGTATCCATAACGACCGACCATATCCTAAAGAAAATACTTGTTCTCTGAAGCGTGGTGAGATATCTTTGGACCAATCACAGAACGGGGTAGAGTAAAACCACTGTAATTCGAACCTATCCTCTCAACTCGTTCAGAAATCTCTTCATCCTCTGAAAGTTTCACCAATTTTGTCTTTAACTGGTTATAGAGCTTTCCCAAAATTACTTCCGTTTCCACATCAACTTGTTTGTATCTTTTTTAATTTCAGTGGCATCATAGTTTGGAGATTTTGGACATTTCCTCCAACAGTGGTGTTAGTGATGAGTCTATGGTGCTATTGAAAAACTCTGGAATGCCCAAGCTGTACAGTTTAGATCTTAGTAGCACAAATGTTACAGCCGAAGGTGTGAGGTGAGTGCTTACTTCCCTAACGCTTTGTACGTCTGTGTAGAATACAGGGATATAAAAAGTTCTTTTAATGCAATGTTTTCTCAATAAATTAGCGGCGCTCGATATCTGACGGCACAGAGCGTTCTCAATCAAGCCCCGCACCAAAAAATCGATAAACATCATGGCAAGACAATTTTCGCTTTGAGAAAAAAGTCAGAAATGATCTTTGATATGCAGCTGCAGGATTGTAATTTTGTTGTTGCGCACACAGCTAGATTTGAAATTACGAACATGATAAGTTTGGCAGAGTGCATGGGCAGGCTGGTTGCGCCGGCGACATCGCAGACATAATTGAATGCCTCTTTTTCTCACGTGTGTAGAAAAGCTTTAAATGCCAGCCCAAGACTCAGGCATTTAAATTTGACGTCATGTCGTGGAGTTCCCAGAGGTCTGAAGCAATGGCATGGCGGAGCTAAAATTCAAAGTTTGTTGAATACATTGGAAGAACTGGAGTCTGGGGCGAACAGCGAACAGCGACGAAGCGGGTGAAACGGAAAGCACATGACAGGATCACAGCGAGTACATAGTGTGTGGTCTCCGATAAAAACACATAACTCAGCGGTGATCGAACGTAGCGTAAGCGCCGTTGAAGAAGTGCTTGAGATTAGGCATACCAAAGTGCTTGCACCAAAGTACCCTTCTAACCACTAACATACTACCATGTTGAAATACATTTTTGTTATCTTTGCCCTCGTATGCAAAAAGTTAAAGAAAAGTTCTCCTACATGGGACGACCCTTTCATCCGTCTCTAATGTGGTCACTTGCTCTTACTCTACGTGTTTTTAACCACCACTTATCGCGCATGCTCATAAACGCGGATAAACAGGAAGATTTCAAATCTAAAAGAAAGTATGTTTACTTTATTATTGACCTACAAAATAAATCCTCATCTATTCCGATGTGTTTTTAACTACATAGTAATCATAGATACCTCGAAGCAATATTATTGGGCAACTTTAACATGTTTCTAGACTGTCGTGACGATCCATTAAAGATTTCCTGACTCAAAATTTAATTAAAATTGATCTGTAAACGTCATTAGCTGCTGTTCATAGGTGAATGCAGCGGGAAACAATAAAGAATCGTTGAAAATTTTGATAGACCTTGGTTGTGTAACGATAATAAGATAAACTTACTTCTGCATAGCTTGAGGGTGTAGGCAAATTCACCTGTTTCCACCCCACGAAATCGAATGCAGAGATATTCAGTATCATGATTTAACAAAACGAATTTGTATGAAGGTGTTTTTCAACTAAAAGCAAATTTAGGCAAATATCTAACTACAAAATGAACCAAGAGACTAAACCGAATAAACGAACGTGCAATCTATGGCGTAGCCCGGTCCGAACTCTCAGAGAAGAGAATACAAGAGGTAGTGTGTGTTGTAATTCTTAGGTATTTCGGAACGTCCCCAAATTCCTCGGAGATACTCGGGTATAATAGGGTTCCTCATAAAACATATGGCGCGTTTTCCGCAAAATAAGTTAATAGGTATACTAGTGCTATATCTACAACTTTGTGGCCGTTTATGTTCTCCGAAATCATTTTATTTTTGAGATCAATGGAAAGAACACGTCAGCTCAACATGAATCATGTATTTGTTATATCGCTAAGCTTGTCAAACGTCCTTGGAAAACATGCATTTTCTAAACACACAAATGATATTTTATCTAGATAGTGCGTCTAACATGAGACGAAACCTTGCAGCAGCTGTTCTTCAAAAGCTAACTTTCAATGTAAATTAGAAAAGCAAAGTCTTACTAAGGAAGGTCACAGAGAACCGCTAGAGGACTCATCATTCCAACTTCAGTAATCCAGTCCAATTCCCTAACGAAAATTTACCCACAGTTCTTATCGGGCTACTGCTGTAAACAACATGGTGGACAGAGTGAAATATATATCTGCAGCCTTTGTTTGAGTTTTCACAATACAAGAGTCGAAAGTTTTTCAAATTTAGTGCGATTGTCTATTTTATTTTGCAATACTTAAATGTCGAAAAAATCCAAACCGCTAAAGGGTATCCTTGGATTACCGAAAAAAGCAGAAAGACAAGTATTTGTGTTTGGGCGATTTGCAGAAGAACTCCCGTCAGATGACAGCGATGATGCAGATTTTACCATATTGGAAGGTTAGGAGATGTAACACCGATAGTGTAAAGAGACTTATCTTACAATTGCAATGTTTTGAAGAGTTTATCCTTTAAATCCAAGGACAAATTTACTTGCAATTCTTTTGACCTCAATGCGTGATTCAGGAGTGATATATATTGTAAGGATCGAAACATCCGATGCTAGTCCCTGTTAAGGGGTTAAAGGGTTAATGCTCATGAGATAATTTTGAGGGTAACCAGAAATAAGGAATCCTCTGGTACCCCAGGTTGGTTTGGTTGACTCAGACTCTCTCCTTCAACAAGTCTGTTAGAACTGACACCAGATTACGTTAAAGAATGAATGCTAAAAAAATATATATTGTGCAGTGCAATGATTTAAATACATGGTGGAACTGAGGTGAGGTTTGTATTTTTTCTGCATTGATTGTGCAGATAATTGTTGAGAACAAACACAGAGTGAGTGTTAAAAATGTACGACACTCATAAATTTTTTACTGCAGCTTTAATATGTGATTTTAAACTGTCAGGTAATAAAGACAAGGATAAAAGACAAAAGAATACTAAAACAAGAAAGTCTGGTAAAAAGGCAAAATCAAAAACAGTTTCCTCAAATGAGGATGGTGAGGAGGAGAAATTGAAGAAAAAGAAGAGAAATGTCCAGAATGACTCTAGACAAACAGCCTCCAGTAAAAGAGCTAAAATGGTTCTTTCTATAGACAGCAAAGATATTCCTGTAACAACTAAACAACTAAATCAGAAGAGGAATGATACATCGGTGTCTCCATGTATATCAAGTGGATGGACAGAGCTAATTCCTACAGAAATCCTATTATTGATATTCCAGAATGTCATTAAGAGTATCTCTGGGTCATCTGTACCATTTTTGTGCAAGTAAGTGCTCACAAAGTTGAAGCTGAACCTGTATATTTTCACATTCCTTTGGTAACCCTGTGATCAATGCAGCTGTAGTATGAATGATATTTTCTTTGCATTTGAGGATGTCAAGAGTCTGTCGCAGATGGAGAGAAGTTGCCATAGAACCAGTTTTATGGAGAAATGTTGATTTGTCCACTTCATGTGTTATAAAGGCATCCTCTGGCACAATAGAAAAACTGGCACCCAGCAGGTTAACAGCTGTCACAGAGTTAAGTCTTTTAGGGTGGGAAAAACTTACGGATAAAGGAATACAGGTAATCAATTTTGCTTAGAGTTATGGCAGTGGCTGTCTGTTATATTATTTTTAAAAGAGCTATATAAAAACAGAGCTCCCAAGTCTCACGCATTGAGCATGAGACTTGAGAGCTCTGGAAAAACTAGTTCTAGTTAGTTTCCTTGGTATTTGATATTCTCTCTACTTTTCTGGAACTGTTCTTTGGTTTGTAGTCAGCTTCTCTTATGAGTGCTAGTGAACGATCTACAGAGATCTCATGTTCATTCAGAGTTTGTACAATCAAACATGTATCAGCATGCACCAGTTTGATGTGGTTTTGTATCTGATAGGTTGGGAAGATATATATAAAACTGAGAAGCAAAATATAATGAAACTAATCTCAGTTTACTCTGAACATTGCTTTAAATTGTGCTTCATTACTTTTACAACACATAGACATCTAGGTCTTACTTTGATTATCAACTTTGTTGACAGAATAGGTTGTGGTAGACCTAGAAATGAGTTCTCTTTAGTCTGATGACTGCTTAACTGTTTGCTAATACCATAAAGATAGCTTATGATCTAATCAACTAATACTTTTTTTCTGGTACTGTAGGCAATAGGGAAACATTGTAAACAGCTACAATCTATTGTGCTAGCACAATGTGGAAGCTTAACTTCAGCAGGTATTGCAACCCTTGCTGATAACTGTGGTCAGTTGAAGATGATAGATGTTGCATTTACAAAGGTAATGTTTCAATTTCTAATGAAAAACCCGTTACTCTCAAGATAAAAATGTTGGCAGCAGGTTTCAGACCATTTATGTTTTTGTTCAGTTATGTTGCAACACAACAATACAGTTATTACACATGCGTACATTTTAAAATTGTCTAGAATGGATACACATAAGCAAATAAAGGTAGCAATTAAATTTTACCCTATAAAAATGTTCTTTTGGGGGGCTTTCTGTTTTGATTTTTCCCTTGATTTTGGACTACAGTGCACCCTTTTAGTGTCTCCAGTTTATAGGGATAGATTGAGATGAGGGGCCAGCTACAGCACAAAGCAAAATTAAAAACAATTTCAGATACTGAAAAATAGAAATAAATTAGGCACGAGGGTTGAGGTATGTGACCCAAAAATCAAACACTGTGAGACTTCAGATTTCCAATGGGTAGTGGTTTTTCTTTTGGATATCAACTTAAGGTTTAAGGCTTTCAAAATGTTTGTTTAGATTGACATAGCCTGTCTCCAACATCTTGTAAAAGTACTGGGATGTCAGCTGGAGAATCTAAGCTTGAGAAACTGCAATCGCTTGCATGGAGAATCTATTCTTCCACTTGTCCAGGTAAAAATGCAATTGTTGTCACATGTTTTATTCCTTCCAATATTTTACCAGAAGTGTGTAAGAATTTAAAATGTTGTAGCTACTCAGCATTTTTCATAAAAAAAACTGTTCTTTTCTTACAGGAACATTGTCCAAACCTGATCAGTCTTGATCTGAGCAGTACCAGTGTAAGAAAACTTTGTGTGGAAAAGCTACAGGTACAGTTGAGTTTGCTCATGATGGAGTAACAGCCAAAGCAAACATCAGAATTGAAGCTGATCAATTTTTTATCTAGTTTTGATATTTTTTTTCTGTTAATCATTTTTGCTTCAAACATTTTTCTGTAGGCTGGATGCCCCAAACTGAAACACCTCTTTCTTGTCAATCTTTTGCTCACCTCAACACCCATATGTAAAACTCTTGTCAATGGAAAGGTAATTTGAAATTGATGCAAATAGTTCATAAACGCTCTCTTGACAGCATTTAAAACATACAAAATCAAATTTATCTGAAATTTGTTTCTTATCAGAAACCAAATGGCTTTACTGAGCTGGAGACACTGGGTCTGCCTTGTGGATTCGTTGGGTCCGATCAGAGAACTGACCGATTACTGGATAGGTGAGTCACTTATTGAGAAACTAAGTTTGTTTGGAAAATCGCTTCAATCAAACTTCTCCCCAAAAGGGTTTGTCTCATGCTTAGTACTTTTCAGGGATGTAATCAGTGGTGCTTGTGACATCTCCGCCTTTGTGAGATAATTTTTTCCTTTTTCAGTCAATAACATACAAATTTTATACTACAGGCTTTCAAAAAGGTACAAATCCTAACAATCTACATGGCATAAATCTTTGCCAGAGCTAGCTACTCCGTTTACTTTTCCTTCTCGCCGCATTAATAGAGCAACGATATGAGCCAATTCACGTTGGGCGCGCGGAATTAGAGATTAGAGTATGTAACAGGAAGTCCTCTTTAAAAGATCCTAGCTACGCCTGTACGTTTCTGCATTAGTTCTCTTCAGAAAAAAAAAGAACTTACTCTCAGTTCGCTGAGACGTCAGTACACCAACATCAGTCCTTACAGATTTACAAATGACCAAAAATATACACGTCTAACCAGAAAACCAACTGCCCTGACCTTTCAGTTCTCATTTGCGTAAGAAAACGTTTTCCCTCGGCCAATTTCTTTTTCATCGCCGTCCTTAATAGAGTTGGCATTTTCAAAAAGTGAAGCATCACTCATTTCTCATGAGGAGTATTGTAAAATCAGTAGTGTGTTCTACGGAATTTCTATTTATTGTAAAGGGTATTTGGCGTTCATAAAATCACATTCAGCCAATGCTGAAACATAGATGCTGTCTCCGAAGTTGGAGAGAACCCAAAGAAAACAGTGTTATCGACGGAGAATGCCAAGGCATACCATTTTACCTCTAGGCAACACTCCCCATATTACCCTTAGGCCACACCAGCCATATTGCCCATAGGCTACACTGGCCATATTGCCCCTAGGCTACACTCCCGATATTACCCCTTGGCTACACTATCCATGAAGCTCTTAGGCTACAGTAGCCATAATACCCCAAGGTTTACTTGCCATATCACCCCTAAGCTACACTAGCCATATTATCCCTAGGCTACACTATAGCCATATTACCCCTTAGACTCGCTAACCATATTGCCCTAAGGCTTTACTAGCCATATTGCTCTAAGGTACATTTGCCATATTGCCCCTAGCCTATGCTAGCCACGGGAAACGTTAGCTTTATTCCCCCTTGGTAACACCAGATTACATTACCCCATGACGGAGAAACATCGCACTGAAAACGAAATCTATTTTAATTGTAGAATTCTGTGGGCATCGCGCAACCTTAAAATGCTTGACATCAGAGGTCCCAACAGATATAGCCATGATGGATTACGGGTAAGATATTACACATGTAAATTTCTCCATTCTGACTGGCCAAGAGGAATGCAGTTTTCAGGCAACACAATGTAGAAACATGAGGAAATAACTTCAGTGCTGATAAGTGGTATTTGGTGATCGTGGTCTGTTCCGATTAAAGGGGAAAATGGAAATCCACTCGTTTAAAACCTTTCTCGAACGATATTCGAAGCAAAAGATTGATCAATGAGGGCATTTAAGCCCGTTTCGCATTTCTATATCGAAACCTGTCAAACCGCTTTTACAAATCTGGAAAACCTATCAAACCGGTTTTGAAAGTTGAAGTCCACCAAAACTTGGTTTGGGTGTGGTTGAAATTAAATAAAATGTTCGCTTTCCTTCCTAGTTTAACTCTAATTTGTGGTTTTCCTATTTTTCACCGGGAAGTATTTTAGAGACAAGCTTTGAATGAATTTCTCCACATGCAAAGCTGCTTGCATTCAATTCACTTCTTACAGTTTGAGTTTTTTTTTTTTACTATGTTAGAGGCTGCCAGCTTCTTCACTGGAACAGCTGTACTTCACAAACAGCGCCTCATTCAGCAAAGTTGCAGCTATTGTGGAAAAGGTGACAGAGGTTTTTAGGGAAATTTGTCAGGCATTTCCACCCTGTCCATTGATTTAACCTAAAACCCCCTGGAAGTAAATTTTGCTGGGTATTAGAGTCTCAGAACCCATACCCCAATATAGTCTATCTATTGTGTGGCCAATTATAGAACCCATCTTGATCACTTTTAGGAAAATGCGATTTTTTGCGATCCCAGCTCAGTCACTCTCTGTTTATGCATCTACGTTATATTGACTTTTAAGCAAGTCTTCCTACAATTAATTGTCACATTTGACTGCAAATATTCTCATTTTTAAATCCTTGCTTACTAAAATTTTTTGGTAACCGGTGAATTCGTCTAATTGCAAGTTTGCCACCAATCTCCTTTGCGAGTTCGCCCCTTCCCAAATCATTGAACTCGTGTTTGTATTTCTTTGGTCGCCAAGGTTTGATTCCAGATACTCAAATCATACAAACGTTGACCAAAACAATTTCCTCACTGTTATCAATATGAACGAAACTTTTCACTAAACTCAGTCAAGTGGCTTACCTCGTGAGCCTCTAAGTCGACAAAGTGTCTGCGAAAAGAGTTTTTATGTAACGCTGTTGAATGTTTTGGGTCAACGTGAAATTCGAAGAGAAGGCGAAATAACTAGTTCTTTAAAATTGCTGCAAACAAAAGCTCCAAATTGTGTCAAACCTGTTAGATTAAGAATGGAGTAATTAAAGGGCTTTGCATTACTTGTGCATTTGTCGTGCTTTTTTAACACGGCTAGGAATTTGTATGTTGATCGAACCTTGGGATGGTCTCGCTGTGAAAATTGCATGTTGGTCGCAAAAATATCATGATTTCGACAGGAAATTAATACGTTCTTTGGTAGGGAAACGAGTCGGAAGACTTGGGGCAAACCGGTTAAGGTGAGGGCGGAATCGCAAAGGTGGTAGAGGGCTGACTTGTAGTGGGGTGAATTAATCATGAACAGAATTTTCTTACCCCCATTCTAGTAAATCTATTGAAAATTCAACCCCATTTTAGTCAATCCGGACATGAAAATGCGACTCTGTCCAGCAGCACATCCCATTAGTCTATAGGAAGTGCCCCTCACCCGGGCCTAAAGCTTTACTGATTATATCTAAGCCTGTCTAAACCATTCAACACTGAGTCACAGGAATTTCTCATTTGGAAAAAAAAAAAAGAATCTGCTCTCACTCTTTCCAGCACTTTTGAATAACAAGCGACCTCTTGGATTTAGGGCCAAACTTGCAATCTCGTCACACGCTGGCATTTATCATTATCGTAACAGCGATCCAAAATAAAAAACTGACAAAACATGGATAGAAATTCACCAATCACAATACAGAAAACGACCTTAAAATCCCTCTGAAACGTTGTTTGTTTGCCAAGAGATGCGAAGCAGGATGGGCGTTTACGATAAATACAAACATTTCAATGATTCATCCACATCTCCGAAGTTCGCACGTTATTGCAGCACACAGTAAAGATAAACTGACTGCTATTCTTTCTCATGTTAGTGGCACCATAGTCTGGAAGTTCTGGACCTCTCACAGAATAAAAACGTCGAAGATGAAGATATGGAACTGTTGGAAAATTTTGGAATGCCAAAGCTACACACTTTAGATCTCAACAACACCAATATCACTGCTTTAGGCTTAAAGTAAGTGGGATACTTCTCATTGAGGAGACAAGTACACAAGTGACCTTTTCACATCTGTGTGACGTAGAATTAGACTAGGAGAATCGCTACTGATTTCGTCTGGAAAGGATTCTAATCTCTCGCAGGCTACCTCCATTCCCTATTCACAAAATCTAGTAGAAAGTGCCCTCCGTACTTTCTGGTAAATTGAGGCAGTAGAGATAAAGTTTCTCTTTACGTAAAAAAAATCGAGTTCCTCCATTTTTTCTCCTTATGGTATATAATTTTAAGATTATAACTAAAATTATGTGGCTTTCGAATGGCTGTGTGTCAAAGTCACGGCTGAGTAATTCTCCAAGGTTTTTAAAATGTACACGGTTTAGAGCAAGAACTACGATGGATCAGCGCATACGCGCCCTTGTCTCCTCGCTACCGCAGATTTGCTTGCATTGATGTAACCTACAATATTTCTTTAATGCAGGAGGGTGTTGAATGGCTGTCCAAACCTCACAGATCTAAACCTATCTTCATGTCGCGGACTTCCTCGAGGGATCAAACAACGCCACCAAGGAGAGGGTGTTCTTAAACTACCACAGCGACTGGTGGAAAGTGAACAGATTAGTAGTGACAGCGAGTGAACGACTTTAACTAGGCTTACTCTACAGAAGTTCCACGCGGAAGAGGTTGCATAACTCAAGCTCCTAGATAAACCATCCTGTGTTTAAGAATATGTTAGCTAAGAAATTCAGTCAGATCCAGCGGCGTGTTTTTAAGCCAAACGGAACTTACTGTACCAGCAACTTTTGTACAGACGTCTCATGGTTCCTGAGCCACACACATACGTGAAATAAATTCCCTTTTTAGCCTCATATGTGTATGATAAAAATGTGTTTTTACAAAATGCGTTCCTATTGTTTGGTGGGTTGCCCAATTGAGACTGTGGAATGCGTTCGCGATCTCGCTGGTAACAGGCTTGTCTGGTAACTGAATCGGCAGCATGTGTTGTTGCCTCGCTGTAGGAGTGACTACTTTCTCATTTCTCCGTTTCTCCGTACACTATCAAGGTCAGATCAAATACTAAGGTCATGACAATAAATGAAATGGTCACCAACAAAGGAGGTTCTTGATTGTTCAACAAATTCTCCATGGCAGTAGCATAGGAGAGAAATAGAGAAAAGCTAGAATATGCTTAATGACATTAGGGTAGACGGGTTTAAAAACACCAGAGTCTAAATTCAACTCTGTAATAAGGTTGGAAATCGTCAGATCTCAATACTATAAAGTACAATACTCTAACGTACAGTGTTTGATGTTTTTTTTCGTTTCCATATGCAGAAACAAAGAAAAAATGCTTTAGTCTCCTAACAACACAAACCCTTTCCTCGATGACCTGCTGCATAACAAAACCCTGAAACATTATCCAAAGGCGGACTGTAACGCGCGCTACTGCGAGTATCAGGTCCTCCGATTTATGTATTTGCAAAACCAGTTTCGAATTCATTACCATTGATGTTTATTATTTTCGTTCAGTCAAATTCCTAAAGGCGTAAGTTTCGAGGAGGAGTAAATTACATGTAATTTGCACTGTGGCTCGAGGTTTGATACATCTTAGTTCAATTAACTTGTCCCTTTGGACATCTGACGGAATATGTGCGAAATTAGACGGAAGTATCCGAGATCGGAGGGAGGTAATAACGTGAGATACGGCGGCAATGCAGCACGGTGGCCACTGCACGCGCTGAATATATAGCCAACCTGAGATTCGTCATAAATATGTGATTTGGTTTGTAATCGTTGTTACCTTTATTTGGTCATTACACCTGAGACATTCTCCCTCTTGTAAAGTTTATCTCTACTTTTCATCCCCAGTAGCACTCAATCCTATATTTTAATTTTGTTTACATGTAGTTAAGGAGAGAACGCAACTTCTGGCCATACATTCGTGAAATCACCAGGAAAACGAACACCCTGGAACTGCTATGTGTGAAACCCAAACACTCGTGATCCTAGGAAATCAACAGCGTCTGGGGTGACAAATTACCCCACCCTCTCCCTTTCCCCCCTCTCTTGACTTAAAATTAAGAACCATCAACACTTGGGCACCTTATCTCGTCCAAAGCGTTTTCTACCCAAAGTGATTTGTATCTCTTCGCGCCTCAAAGATAAGAAAACGAGGTTTTCGCGTAAGTTAAACGATTCTGTCCAATCATGGCTTCCTTCAGTATGACAATACAAGATGGTGGGCCATTTTACAGCCCCCTAAAAATTCAAACATTTCTGAATTTAAAAGAAAACATTCAGAGACACTGTGCCAGAGAAATATCTCCACTGACCAGTGATTCACTATAGATCTCGTAGTAACAATTATTAATATTATCAGCACTATTAGCTGTGGTATTTTTGGTAAAATATATTTCTCTACACTCTAATTTGGAATTTCCCTGCTTTAGTGAGATATTTCACTCCTTTGAAAGGCTTGTATTTCTGTAGAGAAAGACAGATAGAACAAATGAGCTGTAAGTTGTAATGCTCTGAAACACGACTTTCAATTAATTATCTTCTTTAAAGCCAAGTCTACAGTCAAAGCAATCTTTGACCCATTGACCCCTTATAGTGACCAGGATCAAATTTCTCCTCACAATATCGCCCCTGAATCAAACATTAAGGTCATGAGAACAAAGGAAATGATCACCAACTAAAGAAGCCCTTGATTGTTAAGCAAAACTCCTCGTCATCACCTCAGGAAATGTATAGAGAACAGTGCGGAGAATATGCATACTGATGTTGGGGTGTAAAGGGTGTATTAGAAGAAACACAGTGTTACTCTATAACTGCATGCGAATGGATCTTTAACAATTTTTTAACCCCCCTGACAGAGAGAGAAAAAAACGTAGCCCTTCGGTTGCGCTACATTTCTACGAAGTTGTTTAGGAACATTGAACGCACTTGTCGATTTTCCTGCGACAGCAACGAATAGCCTCTGTTTGGTGATATAAACAGTTTGTATGATCACGCCGATTGCTGAAAATTCACCCCTGAGTCGTGTGCACATTACAATCCAATATTCCTTTGATATCGGTGCTTTTAGATTTCTTTCTTCTAAACCCTTTAAATCTTAGATCTTATTATAATTTTCCCCTTCAGCTGCTACACATAAATTGGTTGAGGAATTTGGCGTTGGATCAAGATAAAAACTTCTCACTGATAATTTTTAGTATTCGAATCACCGGTTTGCTGTATATTGTATTGATATTATAGAGAGAAGTTTTATGTTGATCACTTCTGGGAGTCAAAAGGTTAAAAATATTAACCGATTCGCGTTATGATAGAGAGACCTGGAGGTGGAACTGGTGGTTCTGATGTTTAAAAGGAAACACCTGAAAATTATTCTGACACCAAAGTTTATTCAGTTTACCTCTCCATAAATATCCAATCTGCTGACTTTGAGGCCTGAGGCTGCGAGCTGGGAGATCTTGAATTTAATCTGCGACAAATTTATGAAAATAAGTTAGTGTGCTCGCTTTGTGGAACCAACGGGAGCACTAAAAAGGGCGGTGGGAGGCGGGTCAAGTTTTTTGTTTGACCTACTGAGGTATATGAAGAGGAAGATCGTACTAGATCGTACTAGATTGTACTAGATCGTACTAGATCGTACTAGATCGTACTAGATGCCGTCCGATCACATTATGCTAATTTGCGGCCTGTATAATCCTCCCAAGCATAGCTACCGGGATCTCGACTTGATTAATTATATAATATCCTTTGTGGACATTGTGTTGAACAAACACCCAGAAGCGGCTATTGTCTGTGGTGGCGATGTAAATCGTTTGGATATGCAAGAATTTAAGGCTTTGTCTGGCTGGGATTTCGTGGTTGATTTTCCCACGCGGGGTAACGCGTGCTTGGATAACTGTATGACCAACCGAGCGGATCTGTTCGGTCAAGCATATTCCATACATATGCTTATTAAGACAGACCATGAGGGCTTTGTTTTACCGGCGGGATTAAAGCTTAAACCTATGCGCCGCAAAGTTCTCGTGCGGGACTGTAGGGAACATCGGAAACAGTCATTTTATATGGCACTCACTGCGCTGGACTGGAGTGACGTCCTCAAGGAGGTGGACATAAACAAGGCGGTCGAGGTGCTTGAGGTAAAGATTCGTGCAGTGATGAATAAGTTTAAGCCGCAAAAATCTGTACGCATGTCATCGCGTGACCCAGTTTGGATGTCCCCATTAGTCAAGTGTATGCTGAGGACTAAGTCCCATATATCTTTAAAGAATAAGGAACGCCTGTCTTTATTTAATAAGCGCATTTCTGAGCTGATAACCGAGAACAGAAGAAAACTGGCTGCCATTGGTAGCGGTGAGTGGTGGAAGGGCGTGGACGCCCTATCGCAGCGTCGCAGGTCATCGTTGATAAATTTGGACAAGAACTCCCTAGTTCGTCTGAACGACTACTTCGCCAACCTGTGCTATGATGACACTTACGTTAGACCTAGTGATATGGATATCCCGGACAGTGTAAAGCCCCGAAAATATCTGAGCGGTGTGTCTGGAATACCTTAGTTCATGTAAAGAAAACCGCAACGGGACCAGACGACCTCCCGTACTGGATCTGGAAAGACTGTGCTGAGCTACTCACACCAATCGTCACTCACGTTTGGAATCTGTCGCTGTCTACTCATACATGGCCAGACTCCTGGAAAAGGGCAAATGTTAACCCTCTCCCCAAAGTGAACATGCCTATAGAGGACTCGGACTACCGTGGTATTAATGTTACTCCCGTTATTGCCCGGTTGTTTGAGAAGGTCGTGTATCGTACACAAGCACAGTCAGTCATTGAGAGCAACCTGAGCCACACCCAATTTGCATATAGACAGGCGGGTAGTTGCACAAATGCCTTGCTCGCTATCCAGCACCAGACATACAAGTATTTAGATAGTAGTGACTATAGCGCAGTGCGAATTTTTACCATGGACTTCAGTAAGGCTTTCGATTTTGTGAACCATGCTATTTTGTCTGCCAAACTGAAACAGCTACCTCTAAATCCGTACATTATCAATTGGTATCATAGTTTCCTCTATGCAAGACAACAGCGTGTTGTTAGTTATAATTTTTAGGACAGTGGAAACTTGTCAATAGAGGAACCACACAAGGTAGTGTAAGCGGACCGTATCTTTTTAATATATTTTTGAACGATTTGGAGATTTTTTTTAATGGTTGCCCTGTGCTTTTTAAATATGCCGATGATTCCACTATTCTTTCGCCTATCACTAGGAATAGTGACCCGTCTGCCGACTTAGTAGGACAGTTCTTAACATGGTGTAAAGACAATAGAATGGTCTGCAACCCTTGCAAATGTAAAGAGCTGGTTGTTAGAAAGAAAAATCATAATGTACTCTACTCTCCAATTAATAATATTCCCCAATGTAATAGCTTCGTTTTATTAGGAGTAACTTTACAGAGTGATGGAAAATTTGATGAGCATGTAAGAACTAAACTTGTCAAAGCAAACAAGTGTTTACACGTCCTACGAACATTGAGAAAGGAACATTACTCTCAGGCAGAGATTGATCATCTTTTTATATCGATTGTTTTGGCTAATTTTAGCTATGCACTTTCAGTCTATGGGGCATCTGAGTCCGATCTTACGGTTGTACAAAAATTTTTAGACCGATGTCATGAACGCGGTTTTATCTCATTTCCAGTTTTTATCAAGAACCTTTTAAACAAACAAGACAGAAACATTTTGAAGAAACTAAAATCAACGGATTGCCACCCCTGAAAGATATCATTCCTGTCCAAAAGACATATCTACACAATCTCAGGAATAAAGGCTGCGCGCGCCCGAAAATTAATACACAGCGCTTTATGAACACATTTGTAAATAGGTTGATATTTAAGCTCCATTTATTGTGATGATATACTTTTTAATTCATAATATGTATGTAGATTTCTGTAGTTTTTTCAATTCATTGTAACATAAGATATGTAGTTTTATCTTATGATGGAATAAAGACATTATAGATCGTACTAGATCGTTCTACATCGTTCTACATCGTACTACATCGTACTAGATCACACTAATTGGTACTAGATCGTATTAGATCGTACTAGATCGCACTAATTGGTACCAGATCGTATTAGATCGTGCTAGTTGGTACTAGATCGTATTAGATCGTACTAGATCGCACTAATTGGTACCAGATCGTATTAGATCGTACTAGTTGGTACTAGATCGTATCAGATCGTACTAGATTGTACTAGATCGTAACATCATCCAGTACTATCTCTATACAAAGTGGAGTGTGCTGAAACTCGTCAGGTTACGAAAGTTAGACATTTTACGTCTTCGCAAAAATTAATTCCTGGAAGAGAAAAATTGCCAAGCGTATGACTTTCATGCTTCATGGTGGGTGATTATGTAACGTGAGTCCCACCGGCTGCTAGGATCAGCGGAATGCACTGTCTTATTTGCCGATGAACTGCCTTTCCTAGAGCACGAAATTTAGGGAAGTGAGTATAAAGAATATCACTTACAGACATTGTACAAGATTCGTCGGGCGGAGGGGCTCCAGTCTGAAGAGACATCTGAAAAAAATAAATAAATAAAAACCTCAATTTTAGTTATTGTTGTGCTACAACGTCACTATCAGTATTAATAATAGCTGTTATAAAAGTTACAAATCCCTTTGGCCTATATCGACCCACCATAAATTTTGGAACAGCCCACCATTCATTACCCTGCTTCGCAACTCTTGATTGGTCTTATCTAGAAGAAGACCTTTCTTTCACCGTTGCATTGCGTTGGGTGTTTCAAGACTAAACATCGCGACAAGACTAAAGAACGGCTATGACGGACTTGCGTGTGTATGTGTGTACAATGTGCCGATTGAGGTTGAGTCACGCTTACTTTATCACTGAAAATTTTAGCCAAGATTTTTAAACTTCGCGTAAGAGTGACTAGCATCTAATTTCTCCTTACAAGATCATCCTTGAATCAAGCATTAAGGTCAGGAAAATTAAGGAAATGATCACCAACTACCACCATCTAAAGGTCGCTGGATCTCTTGATTGTTAAGCAATTTCTCCCTTTTCAGCACCTTAGGAAATGTACAGAGAATAGTAGGGAGAATATGCATACTGATGTCACTGTGTAAAGGGTTGATCTTTCTCCTATTGACTTTTTCACTCTTGTAAACAAAACAGCTTATACCCTCATTCCAGTTAAGGGTGATTTTGCAAGGCATAATAAAGTAGCTCTTTAAAAAGTATCCTTATATAAAATTGAACTTACATTTCCTCTTAGATTTGGTAACCTCTGGGGTAGTATTTTACCAATCTAGAGGAGGAAAAGCAATAGGTCACATTACTTAACAACTCAAACAGATCTATGGCTTCATATAGACATACACAGTAGATTTTGAAATTTGACAATCTCTTCGTCAAACAAAACATGTCAGAAAGATTTTGAGTCTCATCAATGACAGAGTTTATAGGATCTATAGAACCTACGGAGCAGCCTTGAAACAGGATACAATTTGACATTCTGTTCTACATGCTATGGGTGCAAACTCATGAACTGTACAGTTACTATGCAAAGCTGAGGCTCAATATACCAGTACATACATACATGTACCACTAAGGAGTAATAGAAATTTAAGGAATCATTCAATAAACCACACTAGAAAAAGCAGCGTTTTTCCCCCTTTAACTTAGATAACTGACTTGTTTAATCCTTAAAGGAATTTGACCATAACCTCGATAAACAAGAAAGACAACACACCACTTTGCAAAAGTAAAGGTTTTTTTTCTTTCACTGAGATCATTGACTTTTTTGGTTGTTGTAGCAAGTACCCTATATAACCTTCTTGCATCATAGTAGTACAGTTTAGGTGTACTAGTATATCAGGCTTGGGTTACCTGTGGTTATGGCAAACCCCACTTGATGACAAGATAGAGGTGGCCAGAAGAGTGAAACGTTCTTATGAGTAAACAAGTAGTTATCCCTCTAACTCTACAATATCCATACATTATCCAGCCAACAGGTTATGAGAATACTCAAACTTCTCAAGTGGAAGTTAATATCTTGATCTAATGCCAAATTCTCTGAACTTGTTACAAAGAAATGTGTAGCAGCTGGAGGGGACAATTAGCAATCAGATCTTGGGAGTTAGAGGGTTAAAGTAGATGTACGAGTGGTTATAAACTTACTTCCCAGACAAGCTCCTTCTTTACAGGATCAAAGGAACATGTTCCCACTGGAATAGTAATAAAAGTAACAAAAAGGTAAACAAAAAAAATAAAGAAATAAAGAAAAAGAAAGAAAGAAATAATTTGAGTTATGTAAGTTATTCTATTCTTGAATTCACTGTTAACATGAGTAGTATGAAAAATGGCATGACTAGCTGGCAAGCAAACTTATTTTTACATGTAGCAAACTAAGCAAGTGAAGAAAGCCCTAATCCCTTGCAACCCCTTGCACATTAACAATGGTAGTTACATTTACAGACTGAAATGTTTTATCTAACAATTCAACCAACCTGATGGAGTAAGATTCACATTCAGGACTTGCTTGGGGAATGGAACTGTCACCACCACATCTTCCACCTCAAAACAAACAGAGAAACCTCAACTGAATGCCAACAACTTGCATCAGTACAATGTATGTATCAGAATAATTTCATTGCTATAACAAACACTTAGGAGTGAAGAATTGTTGCATTAATGTATTCTTTTTGTGGATTAGTTTTTGGTACAACATTTATGTATACTCACCACTTTTCCCATAGTTTGCTTGGGTCCCACAGTGAGATCAAACCTTCCAGAACCACCCTAATAATAACAATGATTACACTTTTAAAGGCATTTTGGGAAGATATCCAAGAGAGTGACTTCTGTACATTGTGCCAAAGCCAAAATCCCACCTTCAACCAATCGTATGATAAATGAAAGGTGTCATCTACTTTATAAGCTCATTCAATTCTAGGATAGGTGTCACCAAAATATGCATGAAATAATTTTGCTCAATCGCAAGAAAATTTTACATGGATGGCACAAAAAATCTACCTACTGGTAGGCCTTAATCTTGCAAAGAAGAAATAAATGTGCAATGCTCTCTGACACATATTGAAAAGGAAATTGAAATCCTGAAGAAATTGCTAATTGGATAATACTATGATTGTCATGATATCTATTGGTTTCAAAATTACTCTGCATAATACACATGTACTGTAGATGTAACTCATTTCACAGATGCCATAACTAGAGTTCTAGAAATTTACTGTAAATACAGAGTATTCTACAACAGGCCAGCTGGTAGCTTATCTACAGTATATGTGCACTGATGAATAAAGGGGGTAAGTTTCTAAAGAAACCATGGTGCTGCATTGGTGGGAGAGTATAACAGGATAATTTGGTATCATCAACTGAGTCGATAAATGTAAATTCGCCACAACAAAGGGTTTCAAAGCTGACATGAGTGTATGCGACTTCATCATTTGCTCTGATGAAGGAATTATGCTAAAAAATGTCAGCTTTGAAACTCTTTATGGTAACCAACTTATGTTATCAACTCACTTGATGATGCCAACTATGTGCATTCATCACTACAGGAATTCTAAAGATATGTTGTTAAGTACATCTTAATCTTTGAAACCTCAGTCAAAAAAGAAAAAAAAATCCACAAAACAGTTTTTCTTACCTCATGATAAGAGATCTGAGGTTTTGCATAAACAGGAATTGCAACAGTTCTATACATGGAAGATAAAGACTAATCAATGGAAAAGCAGACTTATCAACTGAATAATATCACTTTGAATGAAGTAGTAATTGGATAAATACTTAGATAAACAATGGACAAGCACATGGAATGAACTTACCCAGAGGTGATGTGGTAAGACAAAAGTCTATAATTTCCATCAGGAGGAACAAATGACAAAACTTTCTCTCCCTGAAAAATATAGAGGCCTTTGAATCAGAATTAAAGAAGAAGGAACAAAGCCAGCTCTTACAAAAAAGAATAGACGATTCATATATAGAAATCAGAGAAAAATGCATAAGATTACTACCATGCTCTAAAATTGCTGCTGATAACTAGGTCCTGAGTGCAATATGAAATGAAGGAAGTCCTACAAACTAAATGAATTTGTATAACTTTCTGTGTGATGATGATATAGCTGAAAATAGAAGCTTTCAGTCTTTTAATTAGAACATGTAACTGGTATAAGATACTTGTATAATAAAAACTTACTTCCCATCTCTTTAACCTCACACAAGGATGAAAACTTGGATCCTCTAACAATCTTGAGTTCACAAATGAGAGTGAGAGATCTGGCATTCCTGACAGCTTACAACATGAGTCAATCTAAATCAAAGCCAAAAACAATAACTGCATATAAAAAAATGATTTTAATTATAAATTCCTTTCAGATAAAAGCTGTCCAACAATATTCCGAAATTGGGAATTGAATTTCAGTTACAGGAGGAAAAAATTCACATTGTCACTAACCACTCCTTGGATCTCTGTAAAAACTGTTGATCCCTGTAAAGAAAAGACACAAATTCAGTGCTGAGCCATAAATAAAACAGCAATTGCCAAATTTATGATGTATCAAATCTTTGACAGAGTACATACATGTTTGTCAATGATGCAATCAATTTCCTCAATGACATCAAAATAAATCTGCAAAGAACAATAAAACAATTTCCAGTCAGTACATGAGATGATTACTTATTTTCAAGATTCTCTCACTGTATCAAGCAAGAATGAGCAGGACCTAGTTTCATGAAATAGTTTATCTTTATTAGCAAAAAAGCAGTACGAATCAAAAAATCTTTCAGCACCTAACAAACCTTCCCTTAGTGTTGCTCTAAGAATTTGCTTCTACATCCTACAAGGCACATTCATGGCAAAGATCTTGCTGCATTAATAGAAACTGACTGCAAGGGTTGTATCGTCTGCTAACATGACTTTTTTACCTTTTTTACCTTTTTTACCTTAATACTCATATTTTAATGTAGATGTCTTAGTCTTTTAATTCTGTATTATATTTTACACTAATATGTGTCCCCTTATTAGTATGGGTTCTCCCAGGCTACATGGTTTTGACACTTTAATAAAGTTTATTATTATTATTATGTGGCAGTGTATACTTAAGTATGCCTAGGCATGATTACGTTAAGTCGGGCAGGCTAGCTGTGACCGAGAAAACAAAACCTATAAATATATATTTACACATCTAAAACTATATATCTAATTTGTTTATATGCATTAAAAAATTAGTGTCCATAACTGTTCGCTTTTGTCCATCAAAAAAAAAAAAAGAGAGAGAGAGAAAAAAGAGAAAAAAAAAATTTTGAAATTCTTAAAATATTAAAAGATATAAAAAATTTCTATATTTAAGTAATTAGCTAATAAGACTTTTCATAAAAATATTTTAAAACTTGATTAATATTATATGTTTTTATAAGGATTTGTTTGTTGAAATGAACTATTATGAAAGTACTTTAAATGATCTGGTAATGTTCAGTGTACTTGATATTACTGCCTTTTGCATGTTAAATAAGGTCTTGTCAGCTTTTGTCTTGCCAAGAAGTAGTATATTAATTATTATTATTATTATTATTATTATTATTATCCTGTTATGATATGGATGCATGGAAAAATCCTAGACAGCCAGAGACTATGGTTTTCCATAAACTTTTTTTTATCTCAGTTGATTGTTTTCTGCAACTTGAAACAAGAGTTTCATTACACTGGTCTACTGTTATACCTCATTATGACTATATTTGACTCCAGTTCTTCTCCAAGGAACATTAGAAAGTTGACCAGTTGGAAGGTGGGTGCCAACACTAAAATGAAATGTTCATGAAAAAAACAGCATTTGTCAGATTTCAAGTTTTGTAAACATTGCACAAAATGAACTTGTAGGTACTATAGTCCAATCTGCTAATCCTCAAAAGGACAACATAAGACAGTCAAGCTTACTGTGATCCACCAGTCACTGTGTTCATAACTTGTCTGACAATGCTGGGAGGATTAATGAGTTCTCGTAAGATGTTAGGTTCCGTTGCCAAAGGAAAGCCATTATCAAGCATCTCCTCTAATAACTGGAAAAAAAGTTAAAATTGAATCAAAATACATATACTTCAAAGGTATATCAATTTTAAAGCTTAAGGCTTTTTTTCTAAGAGGAATGATATTTAGAGTGCTTCATATACCTCCTCACCTCAAATACTATGACAACATTCTCTTTAATGGATGTTTCAGTACAACTGTTAAAATACTCAGTAAATGTGTCCACAACTCTGTGTAAAAACTCTATCACAAAAAGTGGTGGCACTGAAAAGAAAATGAAAGAACAACAATTATTAAACAATAAATAAATACTTTACATCAGTTTCTGTGTGTTACAACCTCTCAGACCTTCCACTTTACACGCCAAAGTTCTATTATGGCAAAGTCTTCATTTGAGTCCCAAACAATCGGAGAGAAGTGTTCAAAAGTCCCCTGAGACCACCAAAACTACATGTATATCATTTAGTAATAAACCAAATACACCTCTCCAGAATATTCATCGAAAGGCATATTGCATAAGGCAAAAAATGCTTTTTTCTAGTAATTTGAGAGCTTATTTTATCATTAGATTATTACTATTAACTAAAACTTAAAACAGTTATCAAACCACTGCATGTACAATGCCTGTCACCAAGTAAATGGTGCACACTGTATTTCTGTAATATTAGCTGTGAGAGAGTACTTTGCATTAAAAGCCTACATGTACCTTCACTCTGAACTACTGCCAGGAAAAACAGGCTGTTCCTGTAGATGCTTATGAGGTAATGATGGGGAGCTGCAATCACTGCAGGAACATCATCAGGTGAATTAGCCTAATCAAAACAAAGATACAACTTAGCATCACTCTAATTTTTAAATAATTACATACACAAACATAAATGTTTATAAATAGAATAAAGTAAACATGTCTGTAACATTCAAGGAGCAACCCAAGCAGAAGTTAAAAGTGGGTATCTTCCTGAGACATCCCATATCAGAACCATATTTGTTTATGGAAGTCAAAGCCTTTCCAGAAAGAAAACTCTTCCTTACCCAAATGAAGATTCCCTTAAAAAGATTTACCCAATCAAATGTTACCTTTAAAAATGCAGCTTCCTACATATGCTTCAAGATTGAACACTAGTCTGACATACACTGTAAATTCAGTCAAACCATTTTCTCTTACTTTTTAAAGAATCTTGAACAACCATATACATGTTTTATATATTTTTTAAATTTTTAAAGTATCTCAGTGATAGGTGGTAAACACTGTTTTCAGCAATTAGATTTTATTATATTAGTTTTATTGTTATCATTATTATTATCATTATTATTATTAGGACCCAAAATGGTTGAAGCACTGTTGAAGATGTAAGACCCAATACAAAGAGAGTTTTAGCATGAGCTCCCAGGTAGCCAATCAGGTGTTACTCATATATGATCAAGGTATTTGCCATAAACCAGCATGTGATGAAAGAACTACCTTTACATTAACTTTAAAATCATAACCAATGCCATACAGCAAATAAATTTTGTGTCAAAAGATTTGGTAATTAATGGAACCACAAGGATGATGGTTTCAAGGAAATTTTAAGACTTTCAAAAATTTTGAAAACGTCTACCCTCTAATCTAATCGGTAGAACCGTTCAAAGTCTCTTATTTTTCCTGTATTACCCAGGGACACAGTCTTGAAACGATTGTTTGTGTTTGTCACGTGAATGAAACTAGGACCACTTCCACTTTCTGCATGATTTCAAAGCTATAAAGAAGACACTTACTGTTAAATGACTACTACTTTACTAACAAGCCCTTTGTGAAAATCGTTTTTTAATTTACCTTGTTCAGAGCTTCGAAGAAATGATCACATACGGATCTACCAATTACACTTTTCCAGTGCTTTTCAATGAATATGTCACTGTTAGGAGACAGAAATGGAACATGTCAAAAAACATAGCAAGCGCTGAGACAGTTACCGTTATCGATGCAGATACGAATACATGTATCTTTTTGCTTCATGTTTCATACTTACCCGACATTATTGATTACAAATAGGCTGTTTATCATGTTTAAAATCTAAAAAGATAACACAAGTACGATAGCCAAAATGGAGGCGCTGCAAGAAGGAAGGTGAGATATTATATGCATATTACACCATATATAGACTGAGTATCGCAGCGAACCGCTTAGACCTAAGCTCTCCCCAGGACCTACTCAAATGGACGTGAAGCTAATGTCCCATTCTTTAACATTGCCTACTTGCTTATTTCAATCATTGCTCAGATTCTTTCCTGGTTAGAGTAAAAGCATCTATGACTTACTTTCGACAACAAATTCTCCTCTGCTTAATCTTCATGGTTAACATATGTTTGTTGGTCAGAAAGCACAAAATGATGTGTTCGAATAACTAATTTATTTTCCACACAGATATCATCTTAAATCTATACGTAACCCTAATCCATTAATATGGCCATACTTTCCTTTAGCACATGAATAAAACGTCGATCCCATAAGCTAGTTAAGACCTTCATCGTGTACTAAGCATAATTTTATTTAAAATGAGGCAAAAATGAAATAAAATAATGATCTTTCCACACCAAGCCTCACGCGCAGGAAAGTGATCGTGATATTGATTCAAGAAGTCGGAGCGAAAGACGAAGGGCTAACGCTTGAAATGTCAGCTTTAGAAACTCATAACCTGAAAAACAACGGTGGAAATCTACGCATTGTTCCAGCTTAAAACGAATACGGTATTTTGACCCAAGGAAAAGAAGCGGTTACTGAAAAGCCCTCTCCAATTCAAACTAACGCCCACACAGTTTCTGCAACCTCCTCAAAACAACCGACCTTTATCATGCCCGACTACAACGACAAGAAGTTTACTTACATCTTCAAAAGATATTGAAAAGAAACTGTCGATCAATAACAGATGGTCAAAATCGTATCCAAACATCTTTTTCTCAGTTTTTCATAGAAGGCGGAAAAAGTTTCAAATCGGTGGTGAAAGTGTTATTGTAAATCTGGGGTGTGTTTCCTGAAAAAAAATATGATGTTATTTTTTGCGTTTTTGTTATTTTTTTATTTGGAGAGATTCCTGGAGCGATAAAAACTAAACCGACAACATAGAACCGCAGTATTCCGTAAAAAAAAGACAACAAACCTCACATTTTACTTAAACTCTTGAACGCAGTAGTACTTAACCCCTAAGCAGAGCTCTCGAATCAGACTGAGTCAAAGGGCAGGTGAATGACGGCGGCCACATGGTGTCAATGGAGATAACATCGTTCTTATATTTATATTTGCTTTCAAAGAAGACAATTCAGCATCATTTTTTTATGAATTTTTACTTCCAGTTATTTTGAATTTTACTTATTTTATCATCACTCACTTTATTTATTATTCGTCATCGTTTATCACTGTTTTTTCTTTAAACTTGAAAAGTTTCCAGACATCTCTATCAAATCTCCAATTGCAACCGCTTCTATAACAAAATGTTGAGATCCCCCGTTTTGTCATTTAATCAGATCGTTTGATTTTGAAATGCTTTGTTCATCTATAATTAAAAATAATGTTTTTCAACGTTTAGAGTAGCACGGAGATCAGGAAGACGTTTTGAGTCCGTGGGTGTCTTTGGTGTTGACCTGGTAACTTCTTAAAAAAAAAAAAAACAAACTTTTCTCTTTCCTCAAATCTGAGATTACCCCCCATCAAAGTTTATTTTTTGAGGATGCAACCGTCTTTTCGGCAAATTCCCTGCAAATTTGAAGTCCTTATAAATTCCGTCAAATTGCATTTCTTTTCCTCAGATCCCAAAGTTTTCCTAGCATGTTGAAAATAAACAGATTCACGAGTGAAGGACTCTTTTATTTCACTTCATTCATCATCTTTTGATCACCTTACTCACTGTTGACTCTGTGAGGTTCTAATTAGCATATCGCACGGCGAGATTTTTTGCCATTTGTCCGTAAATTGACTCTGGAAATTGACTAGTTCTTCATCTTTTTAAGTTTATCATTATAACAACTGCTCATAGAGGGGTAGAGAATGTTGTTAGACCTTCACTCTGCTACTCTCCAGGTCGGTGAACATTCACAACTATCCACCTTTATTTCGCTAATTAATTTTAAAATGGTGCTGGGGAAATCAAATACATTAGGTTTAAAAAGAAACTTAAAGAGGGTTAACCCGTGAAACAATGCCTACATAAGGTATTTAATTTGTAACTTAGCTCGATCTCTCTTGGTTCTGCTTCACATGACAAACTCATATTTATGCCAGTCTTAAAAGCCGTTTAGTCTTCTCGAATGATCGGCCACTTCTTGACTAGATCTTTTTTTCCCATAATGGGAAACGATATGTGGGCTTACGATGAACCTGACAATTGTCAGCACCATATGCCCGTGTGTCTACAAACTCTGCACATTTCTAAGCCCCAAGATGAATCAAAACATTCGGCACATGTTTATCTCAGACCATGTTAACTCCTATGGTAGACTCAGTTTCATATTTTGTTTCAGAAACTGAACCCTGTCTCCGCCCATATTCAGGCCCCATTCAGGCAAGGATAGGATTACGACGTCTTTAGAGGTATGTTCGTAGACAGTTCGTTTGTAATTAAACAGGGCTGAATTTTGCTGTCTTAGCTGCATTACTCCAGCCAATAGCGTAAGATAGAGGCAGGAATGGGTTGTCAATAGAGAGCCCTGTTTTCTGTCTATGCATTCGGATGTGCGGTAGAAGTTTAGCTCTTATGACAAACATTGGTAATTTTTCCCAAAAGTGGCGCTATAATTCCCACCCTTCCTTAATGTAGTGGGGGTTCATGTGGAGTAAATTATTCATGGTAATACCTGCGCTCAATTGTTGTCTTTGGACCTTTTTTAATAATGAGTGAAATATTATGGCAGATCATATAATGCTTACCTCTCGCACGTCAATAGCAGGGTTCGAAGTCCCGGCGCAGTTATCCTATTCAAGCCACCTTGGCCAAGTCCAAAGTAATCCGAGTAAATTTACTCGCTGTCTTCATCAACGTTTTCGTTTCATTCGAAATACGATTCCGATAAGTTTGACAAGAAAAGCTGCCTTGGTCCCAATAAACGACAAAGCAGTTTCACTAAATGGCCGATAACTAACAAGATAAAAATCGCAAGGCAATATTCCGTCAGTGCCTGAGAAAACTTTTTTTTTGACCATCCAATCAACTTTATTTCGGCTTTCTAATACGCTTCATTTTCCCTGACAGAAACCCCCGTTTATGTGTCAACCGTTAACAGAAAACTAGCTTGAATGACGCTGACTGGTAACAATAGCAGGAATCCATGATGCCACTATGGTGGTCGAATGCCTAGAGTAAAATTTTAAAATGTATAAAAATATAACCATTGAACTATCTTAGATTAATTGAGGCGATTTAGTGATAGGGGATAAAGGAGATATCCTTTTCTCTCAGCACGACTTAGGGTAGAATAAACCAGTCTTAAAAGGCAGTGTGAATGGATCACCACTTCTTGCAATTTTTTTTCAACGAAAACAGAGGTTTCTCCTCTAAATTAAATATAAACTTCATGGAATTGACATCTTTCAGGCTGTGGACTGCATCTCCGGTTGCTTACGTGTTACTTTTCCGTTGGCCGATTCAAAATGTACAAAACAAGTTGTTTTTTTCTAGCAAATATTTCAATAACATATTTCTTCCAAATTTTGCTCCGTTGAAATAATATTTTTACGTCGGTACATGATTTTAAATTTTAATACGTATTCTACATCACCCAGCTCTCGGCCGCTCTTAATTAAATTAACTCGCTGTCAGGGAAAGAAATTTACCTTAAAAGGAATCTACCATTGAGCATCTGTCTGCAAGACCGGTAATACCTGGTCTTAAGAGAGAACACAATGTCCTCTTGTGCGCTTGAGCACGTGCAAAGGTCTTAAGGAATCGTTTTGAATAACATCATACCATAAACACTCAAATCAGCCCCTCTCTGCAATAAAAATCCCTCTCCACTAAGTCGCTCGTTTAAAGGTTCAAGCTTTTCAGCTCTTCCCTCTCTAATACAGCTCCCTCCTATCCCGTCCCACCTAAACAAATCTCCATGTATCGTTATTGATTTTGGCCAGTTAGCGTTTCAGTGAACCTCTAAATAGCATTTGATAGCTTTTGAATTTAGACATTTAATGCGACAATCAGAGGAAAACTAACGAGTGGCACATTGGTACTCACCAATGCTTTACAATAATCCCCCCCCCCTGCTCCCTCTAATAAGCCCCGTTATCCAATTAACCCCCCTCAATGGAAACCCTGCAAATTGATAAGTGCCCCCTTGTGGCTCATCAGGGCGTTTATGTTACGTTACGTTAATAACCACAAGAGGACTCGTGTCTTGTAAATTTATATGCTTTTCATTCCGGGTTTACTTATTCAGAAGTTCCTCGACCTGTTCCAGGTTACAAGCGTAAATAAATTGTACTTCTTGATCTCTTTATTTTTCCTTAATTCCATCGCAAAAGAAAAAAAAACAACGGTATAAAAAAGATTCTTGGCTTCTTCCGCAAATTCTCGATAGATTTCTCTCACCGAACAGTCAGCAGTTACACGTTAGACGAAGTTGGTCAAAATATAGTGATCTGTTTGTGATTAGAAGATCAATTATTTGAAAAATGTGAGGCAACTAATAATACTGAAATGAAAATAATCATAAGGATAATAATAACAGTATGAAAACATTGGATCGATGTCAGTATCTAAGCAATTAACTGCGCACCTACCCGTCCCCAAACTCAACGTTAAAACACTAACTTGTTATTAGTTGATTGTTGTTGTGTTACGGGAGGGGTAGGTGTGCAGCTGCTCAGATGCTGACGTCCAACAAAAAAAATTTATTTGCACCATGTTTAGCCCATTGTGACAAAATATAAAGTTAGACGTAAAATTTACAATTCTAAAATACATTACTAAATGCCTTATCAAATAAAAGGTCTCCTTTTAAAAGTACTTAAAAACGGAAATGATTGAACTGCAGATGAAAGGAGATTGCGGAGTCTGCGGGCGGCACAGCGGATCGATCTATGTCACCTTTAAGGTCCTCAAGTTCCATCTGCGAACCACTGACAAATCTCTTTACTTTTCAACAACCCAATGCAATGACTGTTTCATCACTCAATTTAATTTTTTTTTTTTTGCCTTATTATTTTCAGGGAATCGATCACTCTCTAAAAGCTATGACTGAGTAGCCATCTGTCATTTCCTAAGTACGAGCGTGGACCCAACTACGCATGAGCAAAGCAGAATTTCCAGCTGAAGAAAGTAAGACGGTATTAAGCATGAGTGTACCATTATCTGTGAACGTTTTCTTGCAGATCACTTTATGAGGTCCCGGCCGGTAAAAAAGCAGAAAAATTCACAAACAATGATCCAATTTGTGGTTTACCTACGGGATGATAGCCCGCTAACGCTTTTAGTGTAAAAAAAGGGGGGGGGGCTGTTTCCTCAGAACAAAACATCGATGAAATCGAACCTCTATCATAAATATCAGAAATAGCACAAGTAATCTGGAAAACAATCTATCTTGAAAATGATATTGATTTGACTAGCAGAGGTCAGTCACAACATTTTTTTCAATCACGCAGCATGTAAATCGAAAGAGATGAAACTGAGGGGAGGTTTCGAGTCCGTCAGTTTCAACCAGGTGGATGGAAGGGGATACTGAAGCTTAAGTCGTTGTATTTTTTTTCGAAACAATTTTCGAACTCGGACCTCCCAACTCCTTCAAAAATTGAACACGACAACCGTGGTTTTTTTTGGCACAATTTCCGTTTATGTTTAAAATTTGCCGTCAGTCACTCTGTCACTCATTATAAGCAAACACACCTCATTAAAAATTCTTCATTCATATGAACTCAGTCTTTCGCCCCAGGTAAAATAACATTGAACTCAAATGGAGCTGGGGTTAATTGTAACTTTAACGGAAAATTTGTGCAAGCCCGAAGATGCATAGCTTATATTTCACGCGGCCTGTGTCCATAATCATTTACAATGGGAAATATGACAGTTCTACTCTTTTTAGATGGCATTGATGCTAGCTTTGTCTTCGCGTGATTTGTACCCGACTTATTTTCAAAACGCCTCAGGCATAGATCCTATGAAACATTATCTTTAGTCCTCCAGGCATAGGAAAGCAGCTGAAAGTCAGCTGAAGTGCTATCAAAAATATAATTTGTCTCCCAAAAACGTTAGCCCTGGGGCTTTTTGTCTTGAGGGCATCAGTGAAGTATTCTTTACGACGAAAAGCAGAGCGAAACTCACATCTCAAAAAAAACCCCCCGGACATTAGGCGCATCAATTTGCGAGCGTTTGATGTCGATTTACCCTGTGTTGTAGTTTCGTTGGCCGTGTTGTCCATGCTCGTTCGGCACCAGCTGAGCCTCAGGTACTATAGAAGATTTCTAAGCAGGTAAGACAGTGCTAAATGAAGATACAGTTGTGCAGTTAATTCAAATCATTGCGTCTAAGAAACTGTTTTCGTTCTCGTGATATTCACATCTACGTACAAAACAGCGATAAGGCCAGGATAACAAGGTGTCTTTGTCGATCGTCACGAAATATTTTTCGAAGTAACTCTCCACTTCCACTCAGGTTACACATATCATCCCCGTTTCAAAACACGGTGCATGATTACAACATCAGATCTTAGAACAACGTAGACATTTGCACGATACTTTCGCACCAAAACCTGCTTTATGTGAAGATATCGGTCAATGTTACTGCATAGAAAATGTGTTTAATTATTTTCTAAAAATTTTACAGGTTGGAAGATCAATAACACATGCGGGCATAGCATGTACTCGGATTTTCTAGGCTTTTTTCAGTGAAAGCACCTTTTTTGTGAATATTGCTGATAATTCGGACGTTAACAGTTTTTTTTCTTTCATTATTTTATTTTTGTGCAACTACGTGGTAATAATCTCTTGGCTGGTAACTAATGATTAAAAGTTTGCTTCAAACTTATCACTTTCCTTGCTTGAAAAAAGCTTAATTTCCAAGCGAAACTACGCGTTAGGACTGGATAGTAGAACTTCTTTAATACGTCATGTGATTTAAGTCTTTCACGTGATCAGTGTATTTGTTATAGAGGAAAATTAGAAAGCTAAAATACATCCTGACGTACCCAGGGGGTATCAGGAGGTCTTTGCAGGACTCACAATGGGTAAACAGAGAATCAATCCACTTTGGAAACTAAGATTGCTTCTGTCTCACGCACATCTTTTACATCTTTACTAGACATGTAAATTGCGGAATTAACAAAATTATCAGACAAATTTGAGTGTCTCAATTTCAGTCTTGAACATATGATGAAGACTAAAACTCATGTACGTAAAGCACTCGCATGGATAAATTACCCACACAAATGATTATTTATGGTTAACTTCAACTTGAGTGAAGGCCTTTAATATGTACTTCCCCGGGATTTTGAGTTGAAGCGAATTCTTCTTTTTTTTTTCGCTCTCCGTGCAAAAGGTATTCTTCTCTGTTAATAAAAGGGGTCTGTTTCTAAAGAAACTGTGGTGCTGCGGTTGTGCTGCGTCGGTGGGTGGTATTACAAGATAATTTGGCGTCATCAACTGAGTTGATAACGGCTCTGACGAAGCATGGGTTAACGCTCGAAAAGTCAGCTTTAGAGACTGAAACGGCGCACAATTTACGTTATTTATTCCGTTGATAAGACCGTATTTTCTAGTATTCTACGTAAGTTTTTCGAAGGAACTATGTCAACGAATATATTCAATTTAGAAGGAAGCCGGATTAAAAAAAAAAATTATGTAAAAAGAGTTTTTTTTACTCCTTACTATATTTGTTTTTCAAGGCTTCGCCAACGTCGCGTGTTGAAGCCTACCTGGTAAAAACCCCGGCTCACGGGCTACAGCGGATTCACCTTTAAACGCAATAAAGTAAAAGTAAACATCGGTCATATGTGCTCGGGCCGGTCTTGGGTTTATAAAATTTGTAATGGAGGATAGCGGTTAACTCACAGTTTCGCATTTTGGCAATTGTAATTTGCTTAGAGTATATAGGCTAAGTAAACCTTCTTTAGTTCAAATGCATCAATACAAATGAATGTGAAGTCTAATAAGTGATAAACATTCCTTACAGTCGCTCAATCAAAATCATTGTCGTAATTTTAAAACCGTTTGTTGTGCGAAAATGTATCTCGTAATATCTGACATATACTCATCGATCCAAAGATTGAGCTAGGTAGTAACGTTTGGAAGGTCACGTGGTTCAACCACGTGACTTCCCCTTCATTGGGCTTGTACTTGATCCTCATCCATCCTCAGTCGATATCTCAGGTAAGATATTTTCCTGCCAAATATGGAAAGGACGTCACAGAGTGAGTCAATCAAAACCTAACGTTGAATTTCTCACAAACTAATCTATGCTACCTGTCTGAATAATCCATTAACATTTCTGTGTTGAGGTGATCCAATAAATTACATCAACTCCCATGAAACCCAACCAGACAACACGATTTTCTCGAAATATAGAAATAACAAATTATTCAAAGCTCAGTGAGTGAATGGAAAGAGGTTTTCAAAAAAGGTCGCAGAGAGAGACTGGTCATGTTCCGGTTCAAGAGCATGAGGTGTGCGCCATGCACCCGGCTGATAATGCTGTGGGCACTACCAAAACATTCAATCACGGTGCCTCGGAAACGCTGGCGGCTTGCTCTAAAAATACCATAGTGTTTCAACGAGGAGGTGAACGAACATCGAATATTTGTTCGCCAAATGCCACCACCTCCACAGGGCTGATTATTTTGCGTGGTTGATTACGGAAGTTTCTGATGCATTTGCATGGCCTATCAGTTTCCTTTTCTTCTTTTGTATTGACGCTCTTTTCATTCTCTGTAGTTAGTTTGTTTCCCCATCCACATCTTTCTCTTCTTATTTTGGCATTTAGTTCGTTTAGTTCTTAGCAGAACAGATCCAGAGTAAAGAACAGGAGTTAGGAATAGCATCACGATAAATAAATTGCCGCAGGCAGGCTTTGATGAGTTCAGCGTCGAAAACTGAAAGTTGAACGAAGAAACACATTGAACCACTGAGAAAAATTAATTGTCAAGTACGTGCATGGTTTGATTGATCCGATTAAAGAGTATCTACTTGGGCAATGACACCAATTTTAGTTTGACGCCTTGGTGTCTTGGGCCCCTATTGAGATGTTAAGAGTGCTAGCATTTTAATGCCAATAACTTGTCTAAAAAAGGCTGACATGCCTGAAGGCGCAGAAAATTTATAACTTACTTCAATAAATCCTTGGTCTACAGATTCCATGTTCAGAGATCTTTAAGTTGAAATGCGTCGGAATGGAAACTTTTAATTAAAATGGAGAACTTCGAGCACTAATTTTTTTCTGGATCAGTCTCGCGAAGCTTTTGGAGAAATAACTGAATGAATAGATTTTTGATCAACGTTTTTAAGATAGCCTCAAGCAAGATATCAATAACATGCCAGCGTTCATGCATTAACATGAAAAAAGATGTTTTAGATTTTGAAGAAGGTTCTAGCGTTGGTCAAGATGGATCGTTTGTTGATTAATGTCCTTATATCATGGGATAGTTACATCGTCCCTCTAAGTACGAAAGTTAGTCAATATAAGTAGGACTTTCGTCCATGGTAACATGAGAGCAATAGTGAACTTTTCTTTAAAATATTGTGTCTTACAACAAGAGGATGCTTTGTATCTCTTTTCTATAAATAACCAAACAGCAAAACAGCACCAAACTTTTACTGCAAGTACAGTATCTATTTTATTTTCAGAGAAAGCAAGCAGTCAAACGTAAGTGGTTTGAAGTAGCCCTCACAGAGCTTAAAGATTAGAAATTGTCAGATTTTTTCGGCGAGGAAAATAGGACATCTAACAGATTTGAAAAATATCATCATCTCCACAAAAGGCCGTGTAAAAATAGCGTAGTTTACCACAAAAAATGTTAAAGATTACGCGAAGTCTTTTGCTCACTCAGACGTACGATTTCAACTTTATAGGTTAACTTAAAGGCACTTTTTTGCTTGAAATAATTATCGAAATGAGTGCAAGGACCTAGCAAGTCTGTTTGCACAAGCCACCTTGAACTCGCCCTGGTTAGCTTGCGAGCCGCCCAGCAGGACGTGTAGACAACCAAATATAACTCCATGAATAGCATTGTATTTCCCGAGGCTATAAAGACACACACTTTGGTAAGGCACATATAATAAACGTCTCCTGGGGGTTAAATATGCAAACGGCTTCTAGACTAAGAGCTGCCGGCCAATTTAGCATAATCAAGCCTGCTTTACACACAATACCCGACTGTCACTTGTAAAATTTGAATAAAGGGGAGTGAGGTATAATTGAGCATTTTAAATAGGTCTTTTTGTCAAAACGTCCCGCGCTGACAAAGGACGCGGCTTAAAAATTTCTAATAACAATTTTCCGTCAGTGGTAGCTCACTGGATGAAATGCGTTTTTTGCAGCATACGAAAGGAGTTTAACTTCGCAAACTGTTTTTCAAGGAAAGATGGCAGTGAGGGTGAAGACAGACAGAGAAAGTCACCTCTCGTATTGTACAGGGGCTTTAGGGAAGGTGGATTCTCTGCAGCTACAGAAAAATGCTTCAAATGCTGAAAGTTTTGACCACGTCAGACAACAAACGAGCTTTGTAGATGAAACTGCACAAGGTAGGGAAATAGTGATTCAGAAAATTTGAACCAATTAAAAGCTTTTTTACGTACGTGATAATGTGACCGGCGGATACGTTCGAGCGGCAGATAGTTAGCTTTAGGCTCTAGTCGGCCAGCTGGTTTCTTCCTTTTCAGCTAAGCACAACCCTCGTGAGAACTTAACTCAAATTTCCTCAAATAAAAACTGTTGCTAGGGATGGCTGACTTAAGGAGGCTATAGTCGTTTAATTGCTTTCATTCGTCATGTGCCAAACTTGTGCACAATATGATGAAAGCGAAATTAGGGCCTTAAAATTCACAATACCGCATGAGGTAATAAAAAGCCTGAGGCGTTTTTCGGTTCCCTGAACAATTTCTCCTCTGTCACGTTCACATTCTCATTCACTGCAATTCAACAAAAGACCTATCGAATTGGAAAATAAGAAACGAGTGTTTACTCATTTTGCATCTCAGTCTTTTTACATCAATTATGGTGAGTTCGTGATGAAGCCAGTCAAATACATCTGAAGACAATACAAATACTACTCTTCCTAACATTTTGCTGTTCTAATCTATTCCACGGTAAAAAAAACACGCTCAAAAAAAAAAACAACCGCTTTTCTAGGTAAACATGTTTACATGAAAAGCAGATCTAGACTGGAAAGGGTAATGAAATTCCAAAGGTACCGTTTTAAGTTATATATTCTAGATTGTCGTGAAATGAAGGACACGGCTGAATTGTGCACTTTTCTTGCAAAATATCTGGCTTCCGCACGACTGTTAAGTAGATAATAAATCAAAGAGTTGTTTATTTTTTTCCTCTGGAAAGTTCGCCCGTGATTTTGGTTAATCTTATGACTCCAAATATTTCCTACAAGGCCATAAATCTTAATCACGAAGACATTCATTGTATGCTAGCTTGAACTCGACACGTTCGTTTACTGGAAGCCTCTTAAACGGAAATCACTTGTTACCATTCAGCTGTCTTAGTAGTGAAGCTTTTTACATGAATTAGATATACGCTAAACTGAGTACCTATATACAGCTTGTCTCAGCCATAAAAGATCATTTTCCTTTCATTTTATAACCAACCGATTCAATAAAAAATCGAAGAGAAGTTTCCAGTCGTTCGAAAGCAGAGATATTCTTCAACTGGAATTATAGTGCGAGAAAAGAAGAAAAGATTTGTGAACATACTGCCTGATCGCATTTGAGGCAACTTTTTGTCTCAGGAATTCATTACTTCATCAAGTTTGGCGTATCTTTTTCACAATGGAAAACAAAGCTTAAAATAGAAATTGTAAGCCTTCCATTATCTAAGCATTAGAAGGCCATGTTAACGAAGCGTAAAATGATCACGCACATTTTGTTTTCAGTTAAAGCTACAGTTTTAATGATTAATTTTGACCAGATTCATTTCATTGCTAAACAAATTTCAGAAGATAAATTGATAGTATGCATTGAATTCTCTGCTGAAGTGTTTTTCTGTAGATATATAGGCAATACCTGCTTTTGCTGACAAGTTTAACAAGTCTAAAGGGAGGTAAAGAAACACCCTTAAACAGCTTATTTCACTTCGTTCAAAGCAGTTTTCAGTTCTTGGCCTTTTTAAGGATCTCGAACTTGATTAAATTTTCCCATGCCGTGTAACTCAACTATGGTGCCACAAACTAGTACACATTCTTACATAGGCTTACCAATAACAATGATTCCTTCTCTAATAACCGCATACTACATAATGAAATGATCGTGTGCGCTTTTCACAACATCAGTAATTTAAATTTAATAGCATATGATATACACATCGTCGACAGGTTATCGTCAAGGTTTTGAAATAATCTGATTTAAAAACTTTACGTCTGAAATATATCGTTCACCTTTATCGTGCAGACTTCTGTTTCAGTCTCGCTTGAACCTTCATGTAACGCACTGTGAAATGTATCTGCATCTACGTAAGTAGGAGACCTGACTTTCAAGAAGAGGAACAAAAATCTAACTTGAAACCAAGGAATTTACAGCAGAAGCCAAAGCCAACGCGAACAAGAAAAACATTTTTGACAACACAGATCAGTGAATTGTGATCCATGGGTCGTGGGGTTTTAAGCAAAATTTCTTGTCAATATTGACAGTCTGTACTCTACTGTAGCTTCAGTTGCCATATCAATGTGATAATTTATCATATTTTGCTGAGCTCGTTTCGTCTAGTCTTAATCAAACAAATGTACGCTTTGCCACTAATATTTGCTCTCACCTTACAATAGCATAATGACCCCCAGATAAGGGACCACTTTTAAAAAACAACGTGTAGGTCGGTACCATTTAAGTCGGCTACAAACTAATTGCCTTTCGATGTATAAAACTGGACTTAGATTGCAAGTATTTTGTTCACAACTGGCAAGTTTCTAGCTTTTACAACTGACATGATGTCTCCTTTGAATTAAGCTCGAGAGGCACTGGATCAGACAACTCCCATCTCTTTGAGACTCGTATAGATTCTAACACATGTCTTTGATAATAATAGATTCTAACACATCACTTTACTCAAATAATATCACAGATGTACTCACACGACCTTTGACTTTTCCTTGACAAACCACGGTTGAATTACGAAGAACGCAGATTTTATCAAGTCTAAAGGTGAAAATATTATGTCTCCATCCTTTGGAATGCACTTAATCGAAATTCCTTAATACTCTAAATCACGCAAAACATAGCTTTAATTTTCATTTAACTAGCTTTAGTGGTCAAGATTCTCCAAAGTCTTCCATTCCCCTTATCGACCAGACGTGAAGGAAAAGTCAACACATTAGCTACCTGCACAAGTTTTATGTCTCATTTAAGCTTTGCTCTTCACAAAAAAGAAAATTAAACCTACTTTGAACCGCAACTTGCTCCTTAAATTTTGTAGATTTGAACTTGCTACCAGGTAACATCCCCACTCATTTACGCTTCTCAAACCCGAAATGTAATCTTGGTTTGAATCTTTCAAAATATTTTTCCCGGGACAATATCACTTACATCAGTTTTACGTAATATGGAAAAAATTCAGGAAAACCAACATAAAAAAATACGATCCACGGGCTTAAGTCACGAGAAAAGGTGCCAGGTTGCTAAGGAAACCAAAGTGCCTTTGACAACCTTAACTTCCTGCAGATCTAACGGATGTATTTGCCTCAGTATCTCCAATTTAGATCAGTTGTTGACTTGAAGTGGTTGAGTTGCCTCATATGGAAATCAATTCACTATTACTGAGACTAACTATACAAACGTTTTATAAATATAGTAAATAGGGAACAAACCATTTTACGCATTCGAACGACAATACAGCATTTTGTTATTTTTATCAAAAATTGTGGACATAAACACGCATGTTTGCGCAATTCGTCGAATCAATTTATTGGTATTGGTATATATTGTTGGTATAATTAAATACCCTTTTTATTAAATTTTATAGAGAGTACACTTAAAGAGAGTACATTTTGAAAGGTGTATTTCTAAGGCGCTTAGGAATCAAATGGCATGGGTTTCGTAGAATCTCATGAGATACGAACCGCTCCATGATATCGGGGACATAATTAGATTTTAATGGTCTTCTTATGGCTCTTCACGGAATCCAATTTTCAGAAGCACGATATCATTACTACAATCTTGCTCAAAAAAGTGTCATGGGCTATGTATAGCCTAATTCGAGACATATGAACTCAAAGCCAAAGCAAACGACAGTTTATCACAGTCACTTTTCAAGCACGTGCGTCATTCATTTGCTCCATAGAGGAGAGGGTTGCCTGCCGACTAAAAAAAAACCCGCCAACGCATGTAACTATATTACATCGTGAGAAAAATAATAAACGTGCCTTAGTATTGGTGTGTTCCCATTGTTAAAACTTTCTTATAATAAAAACAACAAAATCAAAAACAAGAGAAAAATTACTCATCCTTTTTTTTTCATTCAAGAATATTCGTCTTTGTGAATGATATGATATGACTTTCATATATTCTTAACCGAATATTCGTCTTTGTTAAAACTTATTTCACATATCCTAAAGTAACATCAACGAAAACTAAATTTTTGTCTAATTGCGGTGGCCGGGAAGCAAACTTACCATTAGAAATTATTTAGGGAATTCAGTATGGGTCTACTATGAACACACGACCAACTGGACAGTTAAGGTTTGTAGTTCACAGGCCTGGCACGGACTCTGCGAGGTCCCAACATATAACTGAACGAGTTTTAGTTAATTGTTCTTGTTTCTCTCTTCTCAGGGAACGTGTCTTTCTCGCAAATTGATCCTCACCGGATTATAAAACAAGAAACAGACGAAAACTACAACATTACAACGCCGCCTCGCTCAGCCAGGAGCCCTTCGCCGAGAGGAAACAGGCGAAGTAAATCGCCCCAGGATAATGCATCACCCCATCAATTCACCGAGAACTTCTCGCCAGACAACATGAAAAAAGAATATTCAGAAGATGTTTCCCTACCTGGGAGCGCGGCTCGTTCACCAAATTCTCCCTTTTTTGAGAGGAGGTCGCATTCTGAGGCCATTGTTGTCTCAAACACAACCTTACACGTACCGGGTTCTCGGTTGTTCCGACCGGACGAACGAATGAGAAATCTACATTTCGAAGCGCTAAAAAACCATCAAGGTTCGACTGTACATGCTGATGATCTTCCTTGCACCTCTAAGAGGGTTTACAGCCATTATGGTTCAGTTCCTACCATGGTTTCACGTTACCCGGAAAATTTTGTTGTTCCACGTTTTAGAGCACGAAGCAACGAGGATTTTTTGCGCCACGAGTGGCAACAGTCCTCTCTGTACGAGGTTAGTCATAGGGAGCCTTCCCTTTACAGAAACGGTGTTACAAAAGTCTTAAATGAAAGTGAACCCAGAAGCAAGAATACCTCCAATGGTTTCCAAGAAGAGCAAGGGCCTGAAGTGAATGGCTCATCGCCAAACGACCCCAAAACGTATCAAAACGGGGTCTCCGCAACTGGAATAAATTCAGAACAGGGCGCTGTCCACAGGAAGGACGAGGAGCCAGTTTGGAAGAAATACCAGTGGTACAGAGACCGGAAGCGACCACATTCTCAGCAGACTAAACCGCGTAAATTAGAGCAAACCATTTTCATGCAGTACAACGAGATCCGCTGCAGAAGAGTACAAGAGGGAAAGGTAGTGAACGCAGGGAGGAGGAGATCGTCAGAGTCTTGGTTTCTCGGCGACGGTAAAGAAGTCAATCATTCGCATCCTTTGTCTCCTAGAAGGGCTCGCACTCGCGAGTATTCTTACGGAGAGGCGCAGTCCAACATTGCCGTTGTTGAGCAACTACGTTCCCCACCTCCACAAACGCTGGGCCACGACAATTTGGAGCGCGCAAACAAATCGTACGTTCTGCCCAGGGGTAACCTTACTCACAACGTTGACGAAGACAATTTGGAGAGATTCAAGGACGCGGATGAAACCGATTTTAACAGGACAGGAAACTTTTATTGTTTCTGTGGTAGGGAAGGCTGCATTGAGCAACAAAGATCAGCTCGGCCTGTCATCTTCTGCCATGAAGAACTAAAAGCAAGAAACCAAGACTGCAGCACTAAGTTTAGGGAAGAGACAGGCGTTGAAATCGTTGGTGGCGAAGAACGAATGTCCCCTGACCTTGGAGATGACACTTTTGAAGGGATCAGCAGCCAAATAGATAATGATAACACAGAGGTTCTTCCCGAGAAATTGCGTCATTGTCCCCAAGACGTAGCAAAGATTCTGCGTCTTAACAGGATCGTAAAAGCCGTCGCAAATGGCAGGAAAAGGGCTATTACTTCAGATTCGAAAAAAGAGCTGCAAACAGTCATTAAAATGAAGAAACGCGAGAACAATCACAACTCGACCGCAAATGGAGATGATGATGAAGTTACGTCTATAGGAAGACTCGAAAAGCGGATGGAAAATCTGAGCGATTCTGAACAAGAGAGCGACCAAAGATGCGACAGCGAGAATTTAGCGGAGAAAACGATAGAGGATGATGACGATGATGAAGAAGAAAGAAATCCTATTGGAAACTACATGGATTATTTTAGCTACCCTGAGAAAAAGCCTCAGCAAATGAGAAACGAATTCGATAACAGTTCTGTCTTTCCGCAGTCTGTTTCCGATCAAGAACCGTTTCCAGTTCGCAAGCCAAACGGTGTTGAAGATATACCTGCCCGTGATGACGACGCCGCGGTATGTCAGGTAAACGGGCTTCTTTCACTGCCCGGATTCAAAGAAACAAAGTTTAACATCAGCCTCGGAGAGCTTAAAAGACGGATGAACCCGCCGGAGACACTAACACGAGTTGAAATGATATCATACGTGAGACAGGCCAAGTCATCGGGGAGGGTTCTCCTGGACAAAAACAACATCGTCACCGCTAATCGTTCGCGCCCCACTATTCTTTCGCGCGTTTGCGAGGGTGAGGCGCAAGTCTTAGCCGAAGGAATACAGAAGATGAACAGGGACTATCTACCGCTTACAGAGCTGGCTCGTAAAACGGTCGACGCTTATAAGGACGACGACTGTCAGGTAGAGAACTGTGAAGACTGCAGACTCAAACTCAGAAGAAGAATTGTGGATGTTGAAATAACAAGGTCAGTGTAACAAATCGTTGAGCAAATCGATCAAGTATTAACAGTAAGCATTTCTGAGACAGTTAGGGAATGTATTTAGATTTGGTTATTGGAATAGGGGAAAATGACATCGTATGGAGCAACCGCTTCAACGAAAAGATGATGTCTTGTTTGTATCACACTCATCGCTCACCTGGAAATCATCACAGAGACGGTTCAGGGTGGACCGTACTTTTGTAGAATGCTACTGATATTTCAAGGGGTTAAATTTGAAACTGGAAACGTACGTTACATGATGGCAAGGTAAATCTTCAGCCAGTTGTGCTGTATCATATATAAAAGAAACACCGTGTATAACATATCAGATATCAAACACTGCTCGAACGACGAGAATCGGGTACACTGCAAAATATCAAAAGATAATTGCGCTTTCCTATAAAGAGCTAAAATTTATTATCATTTAATTACCCGGTTTGAATAACCGCAAAGGGTCACCCTTTTAGTTCAAATGTTTATCAGCGTTTACATGAAAAATTTTCAAGTCGGATCAAGCCTTTCTGTTGGGTAACCCTTATCGAAATGCAGGCTGGCTCGAGTAGAAGGGTTCAAAACTTCTTCAATTTATTCATGTTACACGGACTCAAAAGCCCAAAAGCTAAGCCGGAATGGCAAATCCACTCAAATAAGCACCTTTATTCCGCATTTCTTGCTTAAAATCATGTCCTTGATCATCAATTACTATCATTCCGTCCTACATATTCGAGTTTGTAATTTTCTTGTTTTTGAAATCTTTGCGGCCCATATCGTTTGTCTTTTTCGGCGTTAAAAATACTGACCTAGGTATGTCTCAAAGCAACCACATATCGTACTAACAGCAACCCGGGATAGCGTAGAGTGTTTATTCTCAGCAATCTTTGCTATGATTCAATCTAGGATCGTGTTAAGGGTCCCTCCGTTTGATTCTCTCTTAGCTTGGTATGATTAGAGATGGCTTTTCCCGATTTTCAGCCTCTATCATCCTTAAAAACGATAAATAATACAAACATACTGTGGCTAAACTCTGACATATTGATTTGCTTCTCTTGTTTCAACTTTTCTACAGAAACTCGCTGAAAGAGCTGCATAAGACCATCGAAGACAGTAGAAAGGACGATCTACTTCATACATTTGAGCTTGCGTCGCACACTTTTGGGGTGGCAAACATTCTCAACCATTTATCTCTTCTAGATGACTACTTTAAAACTTTGTTATTGACGCTACAAGACGAATGAAACGAAACGACCGCGCATAGAAATTAAACACACTCACAATCTCCGAACTGAAACAACGAAGACTAGAAAAGTAGTTATTCAACTCAAAATAAGAAATTTCATAAACCTTCTGAGCAATTATCGCGGTGAGTGACAGGCCAAATAGCCAAATGATCGATTTGAATTCGATTTTTGATACTTAGAGGGAAAGAAATAATTAATTTTTTTTTCTATTGTGTTTTAAGAAAAAGTGAAAAAAAACAACTGATTTAAGTGTATTCAATGATTAAAAAAGAATATTTTACTAAAAAAACTCATTTTAATTCATTTACTTTTATTTCATCACTATCGAACTGAGTGCGTATCCTTTAAGGCACCCAGATATCTTACGGTACGCGGGAAAATTAAAATCCATGGTGGATATATACTTAAGCCCGTTTAAAAAAGAAAATGCCCTTAAACCAACTACCAACATACACGCTAGGTAATTTTGCAAGTCCGTTACGTCAATTTTGTCAAAGCTAACATATGGTTCTCTAGGATTAGATATCTACAAAAAGAATGAAGTTTTTCCCACACTTTTATTAGCAGTAGAACCGGTTGGAATTTTCTTTTATGAAAACAGTTTATTTCAAAGATGTTTGATGAATCAAGAGCTTCCTTTATTTCATTTCAGAAATCTTAGATTTTATTTCGTCAGGTTGCATCGTTTTTCTATCCACGGCTTCAACTTATGGGTGCCTTAAAAAATTTGCTCGATGTACAAACACCTTTTCCAGATACACTGAAAGGAGTATCCTTGTAGCATGCGATCCCTACATCGTTTGTACGAAGGTGAGGCTTAACTTGCTCCCAAACCTACAAAAAATATAAACAAACAAAAAAAAATCAGATCCAATGAGTTAACTATAAAACTATCAAACCTGACTTGCAGGCCACAAATACCTTTCTCTTTGGATTCAACTGCTTGTCTGGTTCCCCTGGAAAGCCATCAAATGTGACCCTGTCGCCAGGCACGCTGCCCTCGGGCGCGTTCAGTAGTTCAAACGACGATCTGTCATCGGGACTTGCACACATCACCATGGCTTGCGACGTGATACCGCGCATTCTAAAATCACAAACAACATCGCAGAATAATAGATTTACCTTTCAACGTAGGTTTGATTTCGTCTGACATCTGATCAAGTCATTGGTTCCCTTAATTTATCAAGCCAATCAATTATGCAAAGGCAAACTCAGACATTCTGGATTGGTTGGATATTTCATGTTTCACCAATCGTTATTTCATCATTTCCATGCAGCATTGTGTTCGATATACGAACTCACTTACTTTACTGGCTTAAGGTTGCACATCACGATTACAACACGATCCTAAAAGAGCAAAAACGGAGAAATTAGACTTCACCCCAGACATGCGTCTTTGTATCAGCTACTACATGTTCTCCAAGGTACTACAGGTGCTCTCTCGGACTGAAAGCTATTATGCAGTGCAGGTAACGAAAGTGATTTTATCTTAAGATAGCGACAGTGTGAAAACCAAATTGAGCATCAGACTCACGCCATAATTTAAGCTATTTGAAGCTTTCAAATGGAGCTGTCAGTTTTGAATGCGTACTTGGAAATCTTCCCCTTACCCAGCCATCCTCTTTTTATATTGCAATTTACAGTACCATCGTGTCTTCTCAAGTTTTTTTTATAGTGTTTTTCTATATCATTTCAGTTTTTAAGTGGCTATGCCAAGCTTAGAACATCTTGAAAATTTTTGTCGATATTAATGAAGTTCATTGTTTGTAATCCACGTCAATCTTTCCTTGTATTAACCATCATCGTTCCTTTTGTCCTCCTTCTTCAAATTTTTATGTTTTCGTGAGGTACCGAAGATATTGAAAAATAAAATCCTCTCAGGAAAACCACTTAACAATTGGCTCATACGTCAGCGTGCGTTCATCGAGATATGAAGCACGCGGGAAGTTTGGAGAGCACGAAAGATGCGTAAGAGTTGCTCGAGGCGTAGCTGAGAGCAACTCTAGCTTCTTGAGTGCTCTCTAAACTTCCCAAGTGCTTCATATCTCGATGAACGCACAGCTGACGTATGAACCAATTGTTTTATAACATTTTCAACACGATGGAAAATTTTTTTTCACGAGGGATACGTTTGCTGACGTCATGAGCGTGCTCAATAAAAATATGCAGCACGCTCGCGCAATTGAATTTGATGAGACAAATTTACTAGCCATGTTATGATTCCTCGTAGAAGCCTTACACATTAAACAGTTTAGTTGGCTTTGACTGATCTGCACACTGAGCAGCACCAATCTTTTCTGATAGTAGTTACACGATGAGCTGAATGTTGTGTGCGCTGTGATTGGTCGCTGCCCATGGTCTATAGGAGTACACAAATATGGCTTTTACTGCCTCATCCAACATGGCGCACAGGCAACTTTGTTTGTGTGTTTGTTTGCTTGGTTTTTTTCTGTTAAATGTATAAAAAAATAATCTTATTTTCGGGGTTTCCATTCTGTTAAAGATCACAAAAATCGTCTGTTCATGAGACATTCCTCACACCACATTTCGACGTCACATGTGATCTACAACTGACCACGGCGCATCCCTACTGCGTACATTACCTGAAGTTCCTCTAGAGGCACTGATCCTACAAGGCCACTGCAAACTGTTCGGGGACTTTCTTCTCCAACATCAACTGAGAAAAAAAAAAGTACACCAGAACAAATGTTAAACCAAGGGTTTCATTAAAAGCTGGCCTACCGCTGTCCGTTTAGCCTGCTCGTAGGCTCTCGTGTTTGGGTTTCGCCTTACGGCACCTTTTCGGGCACAGCCGCCTATCACACGATCGGCAGCCGAAACTGGAAAAAGGTATTGAAACCCCTTGTTCAACGCGACACATTTTCAGCAAAACTTCGTCAAAAAGAAAAAGCGGCTCAGAAATCGGGGGAGCCACTTTTGGTAGCCGTCAGCCGGCACGCAGGAGGACACTGACTACTTACTTTCTTCCACAAACAGTGTATCAGCATCAGGGTGACGTTTGGCGGACATTATTTTACCCACACGGAAGTCAATACGAGACACATCAGGTTCCACAGTGTTGGCTGCTTCATGGGAAAAAAGAATTGAAAAAACAAATGGGAAAAAAAACTTTAAAATGAAAAATTGTTAAAAATCCATTTCAAAACTGAAATTAACAAAAATTAATTTAGTCAGTTAAAAAAGTGTAAGAACAAATTGTCTCGAATACCCAAAAACCACATTAAAATGAGAAACACATTACGGTCAGGAGAATAAAGAAGTCAAGCAATTTCAACTGAATGTTGAAAAAAATCCAGATTTGCATTGCTTTTGCTTTAAGTTTCTTTGGAATTGACCCCAAACTTGTGTTACTCAGTCAGTCGCATTTCTCTGCGCTCTAGGTACACCGGTCTGCTTGTTTTCACTTTAAGTGAACCCCTTATTATGCTTTCCTTTGCACTAGGGGGGCCTTTGTTACAACCATGTGTTTGGTTGAACCAAACTCATCAGGGGCACTCTACAAATAAATTCCAATTGCAAAGATAACACTAAAATAATTTTTGAAACAGAAATAAAAAGCAAAAGTACATAGAGCATGTAGGCTATAAACATGTACATCTACTGTCATTCAGCACCTTCTACAGCTTTTGGTTTCTCCTTTCCTTTTTTCTCTGCTTTCTCTTTCTTCTGTTTCTTTTCCATTGGCTTCTCTTCTTTTGCTTTTTCAGGTCTCACTTCTGCTTGTTCAGTGACAAGAGCTTCAACTTTTTCTTGTTCAATGAAAGATGTGCCTTGTGCCTTACCTGGGAGAATAACTTGTTTCACTGAAAAAAAAAAAAAAAAAGCCAGCATGGCCAATTTCAATTCAGTGATAGAACAGTTACAAAAGAAAAAATGCAAAACATGCATAGGAAACTCTGAACTTACATCCATTCCTCACTTCCCAATATTCCAGCTCTGCTTTAAGTTTGTCAACTTCCTGCCTCAGGTGATCATTCTCTTGTTTGAGAGCTGAAATATCCTTCACAAAAAAGCAGCAGAGCTTTAGAAAAGAATCTCAAACTGGTGGGCTCATGGTATTAGGACTCCATTGCAAAAAGTATAAAAAAAGAGCTCCATAGTCTAATATCAAAATAATATAAACAGCTCTGCTGCATTAAAAAGACAGATTGTTTTTTAAACACAAACAAAAATCATGACATTACAAACTGGCTCAGTCCAGTTTAATACAGGGGGAGGTTTTGATCCTAGTATTAGTTTTTGAGCAAAGTTTGACTTATTTCAGCAACTGTTCAAGGAGCGCACACTGTGTTTGTGTTGGTATCCAATCCTAATCAATTGATTGGTCCTAAGATGGCTGTGCTTTCTTGCAAAATCACTTTCTTTTTATGGGTGATATTGTTGATGAAAAATACAGTGGTACAGAAATCACCATTTGACTCTAATTATTTATCACACAAATTATTCTATCAGCTGACCTTACTTCCCAATGAATTTGTCTTCTTCTCTAAAAGGGAATTAAAATGCAGAGGTAGTTTTAGAAAACAATTTCAAGTAAAAAAATCTGGTGTTCTTGATATGACGAACCAAAGCTTTCAGATAAACATAGGCTACATTAGATCGTTTGCTTCTGCATTAATTAATTGATAGGTTATTTATCATGAATTAAATATTTGTTAAATATAGGAGTCTCTAATTTGCTCCCATGTTACATTGGGGTACTAGTACCTAGTAAACCTGCTTTTAACTACTTAACCTCTTGCAGTGATGAGTATTTCATTTCTCACAGCAGTATCACCCCTAAATCAAACACTAACGTCATGAGAGTAAAGGAAATTAGCATAGTTGCTCCAGTGATTATAGAGATGCACGTGCTCTGATTGGTTGAGGATCACCAACTAAGGAAGCTTTGGTCTGTTAAACAAATTCTACTTGTCAGCACCCTAGGAAATGTATAGAGAACAGTATGGACACATACATGATATATTGCTAATATAGCCACCTCATACCAGGTGATTATAGCAGGTGTGATAAATATTAAAATGGCTGCCTTGTATTTTGTCAGTGTTCTGAGGAAGTGATGAACCTAATGATCAAAAAAAATTCAATTCCACAGAGCACAAAAGATGCTATTAAGTTTGGTGTAACACTTTTTAACAGAAAGATAAGAAGTTTTTGGTGATTGAATTAAATGAACCTACCCACTTCAAGGGAAACTGACTTTTTATCCAGATACGAGTTATCAAAACAATTGAAACAAAATGGTTTCAGAATGGATTGCTATTCAAGAATTTCTGAAGTTCTTTCACTTGTACTGAGCAACAAATAAGTTGAACTTAAATTTAACATAGTAAATTTGATACTGTCAGAAAAATACAATCTCTGTTTTTTTTTTTGGTGTTTAAAATATCCTCTTCATCTCCTCCGAATCAAAGGCCTTTGCTAAATTAAATCTGGGAATTTGCCCTGTGGAATGCCATTTCACAGGATGGGGTGATGTTTCAAGTTTCCCCTATGGGTACACAGGCAAATTTAAAATAGATTTTTGACCAATCAGACAATCAGACAACCATATTGTGTCTAAGTTATGTCATAATATTGAACACTCCCCTCAACTTTGTCTTGGGAATTACTGAACAATAATCACTTCACCTTTGGCAAGTAATTGTTAATTTCATCCCAAACTCAAGAAGCTCTTGATTGTTAGAACATAGGAAATGCATAGAAAACAGCATGGATAACTTGCTTACTGATGTTAAGGTGTAAAGGGTTAATATTTGGCAAAATGCAAGTAGGGTAATAATACATTAACACTAATTGCGACACAAGACTATCCTTCCAACAAGGAAAAATGCAATAGAAATGAAGCTGAGGATAAAACTACAAAAGTACGAACAATTAGTCCTGTTGATGTCAGTTACAGTAAATTTTTTAATGAATGAAGTTTCATAAATTCATTAGATACACAGTAAACAAAAAACATAGGCATATGTAGCATGCAAGAGTTATTTTTTTGGCTGAACAGGTTGAGATGGGACAGTTAGTTGCCTCAAAAATACAGCTCCAGGTAATTTTTCCAAGAAAAGCAAACTGAAACTCTGTTTAGTAGACCCTAACCAAAGTTATGTAGCAATCTTGAATAATAAATGATTGGGTATGTTCTGATAGGACTTTGGATGTTGTTTTCATGGTATGTGATGGAATACAAGTTGTTTGGTAGGTGCAGAAAAAACATGTTTTCACTTAAAAATTATACAAAAAGGTTAAATGTTAACCTTTAACATCCCAACAGATCTCAACCTCAATCGAGGAGGCTCTCACGAAGGCCACAAACCATTATACTTATCAAATGAACCCAAAATTTCTGGATAATGTCATTCTTTGTGTACAGCCCCCTTATTCAATGACATCATTTGCGCAAAAACAATACCCAAATGCTGTAATTGGTGTAAGATATCCAAATGCTGTAATATGATTGGTGTGAGATACATACCCTAATGAGGCAATTTGATTGGTGCAAGATACATACCCTAATGTGGAAATCTGATTGGTGTGAGATATAAACCCAAATGCAGTGATCTAGTTGGTGTGAACAACATATCACTCTACACGCTAACATAGTTTTTTGTTATAAAAATAACTCAAAAATGAGTTAAATACTTAACCCTGTAACTTCAAGCATCTGATAATTTGTTCTCCCTTTTCCCTGCCTCAGTTTCCTTAGAAAGTAGTGCATAGGATTTGGTGCTACATCCAGAAACCATCATCTGTCTGATATTTTGTCTTTTCTCGTCACCACTTAACTTGATATTTTAGAAATTGAGAGTAGAAGTTACATTTCTCTTTGGTTACTTCTAGATGTTAAAAGTTAAAGGGCAACATGACAACATAACAGTTCTGAATTAAAGTTCTGTGCATAATCTCTATAATGTTAGTCAACCCACATGAAGGTTACACTAGTATCGGAATCTTCAGAATGAGTTATCACAATCTCTAACCTGTTGCTTTCTGTAAAAAGTACAACTGAGATTTCAACAGGGAAATGGTCTCTTCAGCTTCCACTGCACGTTTTTCAAGTCGCTCTATAACTTCTCCACCCGTATTCATCATAATTCTCGACTGAAAAATATGCCTCAAACTGTTACTCCTGAAGAAAATGCCCTTATTTCCAGACCAACAATTAAGCCCTCGAAGCATTTACTTCCTCGAGGAGATTAAAAATTGAAACAGGATGGTTCTCAGCGGCTATCACTTAGCTTCATATATGAGACATGTTACGACGCACAAGCTTGATCCCATTCTCCTGTTTATTTCTTGTTGCCAGAAAGGGACGCCTCGCTGAAAACAGTTTGAAATCCCGCGGAATTTTGTGCTAAATTTCAAGCAAGTATAAGCTTAGATTTTTTGATAGACATGGCTGATATTTTAAAATTTATGACTTTAGTGGGTAAACTTAAAACTACTAAACGTACTGGTTGGGTATACCGCGGGGTGAAATCGCCAGAGAGCGTTTCAGATCACATGTACCGAATGGCTGTGATGAGTTTTCTCTTGAACAGTCGTGAAGAAGGTTCAAACATCAATCGAGATCATTGTATTAAACTAGCGCTGGTTCATGACATGGCAGAGTGCATCGTTGGCGATATTACACCATTCGATGGAGTGAGCAAGGAAGAGAAACACAAGCGTGAGAAGGAAACTATGGAGCATTTATCGAGTTTGGTTGGGAAGGAAGCAGGGAAGGAATTTCTGCTATTATGGAAGGAATACGAAGCCCAGGAGACTGAGGAGGCCAGATTTGTGAAAGATTTGGATCGATTTGAGATGATTTTACAAGCTCATGAGTATGAAGAAAGCGAAGGGAAGACAGGAACTGGATGGCTTCAAGAATTCTTTGATTGCACTAAAGATAAATTCCAGCATGCCATCGTGAAAGAGTGGGTGGAACAGCTTAATCGATTAAGGCACCAGCCAAAAGACTAAAATAAAGTTATCATATTCTTTAAGTAACATATCTTGTGATAATCTGGTAATGTACAGGGTGGTAGTTAGGTTATGGTTTAGGGTGTGAATGAAAAGGCTGAGAATTGTATAGGGGAGGTCACTGACCCACATAAGAGATAGGTTTGGATGTCAGATCTTTTGAAAACATCACATACAGTGTACCATGATGTTTGTGTTGGACAAGCCTTAACTAAATTGTTCTGTGGCTAATAAAGGCTGCAAGCCAAGCTTTTTTTGGTTATAAGTGAACCAAATTTCCAGGATTGACTGAAGGGATATACACTTGCAGGTATACCCAGGAGAAGGTAGCCTTCAGCATGAACAGCATGCTCTAATTGATGTTGGCCAAGTTTCTACTGAGGGGTGGTATTAAATCAATAGAGATACAGCGTACCACACAAGTCCTTTTCAATGTAGCAGAAAGAATAAAGACAAATACATAGAACCCTAATTTAATCATCTTTGTCCAAGATGATTAAAGGAAAAATGCAGAGTAAAGAAAGCAAAGAATTCAAAAACTAATCTGAAAGTAAAATAATTTTATTTGAAGTAATCCACTGAAAATAATCACAACTATATGGAATTACATTTTTGGTCCTGGCCAAAACATGTTTTCCTATCCTCCACCCATTCTACATTAACTGAAGCCATTGACCATACCCACAGAAGGAGAGCCAATTTCAGGACAGCCCTGCTTCTTGGCAAGGCTTATGAAGAAACATTCCCCAAGCACTACTCACTAGTGGTAAATGCCCAATAAAATGTAGTGTAATACAGGCCTGGGGCAAATTTAAAGCAAATGACATCTTTTTTATAGTGAAATAAATATTCCTAACAAACCTAAAATTCCCTTCCCATCACCAACGATCAAGTGATGACCTGTGATTTACCATCTAGAAATCCCTCACCTCAGTTCCTCTGGGTTATCATTGCTACTCAAAAAAAAAAAAAAAAATTTCAAAACTTATCTAGTAAAATCTTAAATGATGACCAAGAAAAAGTTAAATAAAGTAAGTAACAGTACAAGATTTGGTTCTTGTTTACAATTGAATAATAATAATAATAATGATAATAATAATAAACTGTCCTCAAGCTGTCCAAGCAGAAAAATATAAAGATAAAATTTTCGGATTTTTTTTAGCACTTCTTTGCAAAGAAGGGCAAATTGTATGGTATTACAGCTTTTTCCTGATAATACAAAATTTCGCATCATTATTAACTATATAAAAATCATATTCTAAATAACTTAGTAGGTTTCCATGCAGCAGCACAGTATTTTGAGTTTCTCCTTTTCAAGTCAATGCTCTTTTTTTATCTGTTCTTTGAAACAATAAGTATCAGAGTCCTAAAGAGTTTCAAATACAGTACAATATCTATTTCCACCTCTTTCCACACTGTCCATTGAAGCTAATTTCCAGGAACAATACCCATGTACATTGTAAAAGCTTTGCAAGAACATTGTTCAAATATTGCAGAGCAAAAAATTGACAATCTTAAAGTACACCATTATGTACATGGAAAGTAGACTGATGTTTTCTGGAGCATGACTGATGACCTGTTATCCTTAAAAGTAAACCTTACTTCTCTAAATGATGAGATTTAACGACTCAAAAATAAGCTCTTCCTGTACATATAAGAAAGTAATGGTGATAAAAGTAAACTTCATCAAAAGTTAAGCAGGGGTAATTTGCTGGGTGCCACACATAAAATTATCAAGCTCTGTTTCACTCCTACACTAAGTAACATGAATGCCAGCAAAAGCAACTAACTACAAGCAAGACATTCTGAAACTATCCTCAAACTGGCAAGAAAGAACATTACAAATAAGTATAACAACATGTTTCGCAAATATAAGTCTGGACTATACAGAGTTCAGAATTGTGCTGTTACAAAAACCCCAAGAAGACCCTCAATTTTTCATGTCCTTGCCAAAACGTTTGAAGTGTGGAAGCTGCAGAGGTGGAGTGCTACTTTTTTTTTCACAAACTCCTCCCTGTTGTAAATATTGATCTATAAAACAAACCTATGAAGTTAACATACAATGTCTTACAAGATGATCACAAAATTGGATCAGAATTAAAAGCATTAAGAACATGACATAATCTACATAAATGTAAAATAGTGGTCTACCATTAGGGAAGAGAAGAATACATTCCTCTTACTAACTAACCAAGTTTGAGGTTTGCATTGTAACTTACAGTACCGACCAAGAAAACAAGGCTAGCAAGTTATTTACTTTTTCTCTGGTTGCAAATAGAAGGGGAAAATTTCAAAGCAAACAAACTCTTCAATTTAGTAGGATGTGCAGTGAAAGAGGGCCTGGTACTTAGGCCAGTTACAGTATATGTACTAATACTATAAGAATAGTGAATATGATTCTTAAATCAAGCAGTCTCAGTTGTAGACTCTCTTACACAGTAAGTAAGGCAAATTAAGTTAACACACACATGAAAGTTTCTCTGTGCTGGAAATCCAGAGATAAATTAACTACAGCAGTAAACGTTCTAACCAGTCAGCTTAGAGAACAAGCTGCAGTATGAGACCTGTTTTGAGTATCCTACTGGTAAAAAATAAATATTAATTTAAGTAAGTTAGGGTCTAACACTTTAATTACTTAAATAAGTTGAATAGTTAGGGGTTGCGCTCCATTTCCTCCTTTTTTCCACTTTCCACTGACTGCACATGTAAAATATGAGATTCTAGGGCTTGAATCACCTTCTTTTGGGCATTGTATTTTTCTTCCAAACTCTAAGCAATGAGTAATAAAAGTAAGCAAAATGTAAGGTCAAACAAAAAGTGACTACATGTACATGATTTGAAGGTGTGAACACTTTTTGGTCCCAAGCTCATGACAGATCTCTTAAAGTTAACTAACTCTTTAACTCCCAGAAGTGATTAACATGAAAGTTTTTCCTATAATATCCCCAAACCAACCCAATCAATTAAGAAAAGAAAGTGAATTTTTTAGTGTGATTGTTTAGCAAGCTCAAAGATCTACTCAGATGAGTATTGTGTGGCTTTTCAAAGATGCATTAAGACAAAGGGTTGGATAAGCAAATGGACCATGTTACATGTTACATGACCAGAGTTTTGGAAAGCTCAAGGCTAACCTCCTACAGTACGTGTACGTCTCGTTATGAATCCTGTAAAACAAAGAACAGGAGAAACTGCAAACAGATGCAAACAGATATTATGGACAACCTTCCAAAAATTCCATCTCAATTAAAGTTACTACCCATTTGAAAATTATTGTGTAGGAATCAACTTTGAATTTGAATCTTGTTGCTACTTACATCATTTGTTCATAGCAAGTAATTTTCAGCTGAGCTATCATAATTACAATATCGCTGATTAATTATAATAAATCTAATGTAAATAAATGTACAGCCACAAAACAATTACAAAAAACAACAACAACAATGACAGAACCGTTCTCAAAACGATCACCTCTATTTTTCCATTGTAAGTTCCTTTCAACAGTTCAGAGAATTTCTTTAATTCTCTGATTTCAATATCCTGCAAAGATGGAGATCAAAACTGTATTGATCAAGTGTCAGAAATAAAAACAAACAAAGAGAGAGAGAACATTAAGATAATTGCTGATCTATTATCCAAAAGAGCAATGACACTTGACAGCTGAAACTGACTAGTTTCTAAATTTACATGTGTATCTTACTGTACTTCATTCTTTACAAATGCCTCTACATATAATGTACATTGGACAAAAAAACCTCAGGGATCCAAACGTCCATTAAATAGATAAAAAAATTAAGCGACTATGTTGGAGAAGAATGACAACTTATTCCTTTCTTTAACTTCCTGTACTCATTTTCACTGTAGGTTGACAAAAATGTTAGGCACAACATATCTGAATACCTTGCTATTAGTAAGTGATTCTATATCTGCAAGTTTTGCATTCAGAGCTTCAAGTTCAGCTTTCTGCCTTTTCACTGTCTGTTTGGCAGCTGAAAGTAAACATACATATAAGATGCAAAAACCTTTGGATCAGGATTCAAGTAGAAGTACCTTACCAATAGTCTAAAAAAATTTTCAAATACTGTAATTAATAACTCAACCTTTTGTGCCCCATAATTAGTTTGCATATTCTACTCACTTCTTATAGTGCTGACAAGGAGAATTTGTTTAACAATCATTACTTTCTCTCTTTTTTTAAGTTGGCAACCATTTTGTTTAATCTCATGACCTTCATGTTTGATTTAGGGATGCCTTAATGATCTACCTGTTGAGTAAAAACTCTAAATATCTTGTGATTTAACGAACCCCCAATTATCATCAGATGTCTCAAGTCCAATAATAACTGTCTTTGCACAGTACCACACTATCAGTATCACAGCTCTAAAAAACAGCTTTCACATCTTTACCTCCTAGTTCCCTGTGACAACTATGTAACTGCATGCTGCTTTCCGGATTCTGTCCCTCAAGCAGACTAAGTTTCTTAATTGTATCTTTCTGTTGTTGATTTAATTCTCCCATGATCAGGTGTTCCTTGACAAGGTGATCCATCTGAACATGCAGCAAAGAAAATCAGGGGTAAGTTTCTAAAGAAACTGTGGTGCTGCAGGTAATTTAGTGTTAAAAACTGAGTTGAAAACGTAAATTGGCCACCGCAAAGAGTTAAAAAAAGCTGACATTTCAAGCATTAGCCCTTCTATCACTCTGACAAAGGGCTAACGCTTGAAACATCAGCTTTTTTACTGTTTGTGGTGGCTGATTTACATTTTCAACTCAGTTGTTAACACTAAATTACCAGCAAAGAAAATCAATTTCTCCTTTAATAATTTGAAGATTTCTTGTTAGTTCAGTATCCAAACATTTCCCCATATCTACAAAGGTGACAGGTTTTTACTTCCTTTTTCAAATGATGCTAATAAAAAGTAGTAATGGCAATACAATTTAAATAAACAAAAAAAAATAAATTCAAATTAAAAGCAAGGACGTTTCGAAAAACAGAAACATATCATCCAAGTATTCATTTCATCTTTCCAAAGCAGAATTTTAAACACAGTTAATAATCAGTTTAAAGCACTGCAAACAAGGATACTAAAATGAATTCAAAGAAATGTCATTCAAAATTTATGATGCAAAACATCATCATTAGAAAAGTAAAGGTGATAAAAAAAAATAAACCAGCAACAGATGGCAACAGTTAAAGGTGTCATGTTAAATACATTTGCTGTACCTGATCTGATAGCCGGTCTTTTTCTGCTAAGCATGTTTTCAGATGATCTAACTCTTTTTCCAATGTGAATATTCTAGCTCTTGCCTGGTTAACCTCCTGAAATTACATAACACTCTTTGTCAACAATAGCAACAAGTGTATGTATATCATACATAACATACAATTAATGGCAAAGAGTCATTATGACAGGGCTAATTGACTTCTAAGATTCAGGAAAGTGGTCACTTTGAAGAGACAATCCCTTTAGAGAGGCCATCCTTTACTGATGTTCTGCTCTACCCACTGTGCTGCTACTGGGGCAAAAAAAATTTATCTCTTCCCATGCTGAGGTCTACTTTATTCACACCAATAATGGGGTAACTAATAAAATTAGTATCTGAGGATCCAGAAATAAATGTCAGAGAAAACAAACTTTCCACTATGCTTGCATAATGAAGAGTTTGTGCGGCATTTAGAAAGAAATCTCCTTCGCCAAGTTAATGAGTTAGTCTTGACCCAAAGTCTTATCTCTTACAGTCCCTGTTTGATTAGTGTCACAGTGGTGTTTTCGCTTTCCTTTTCCTATATACCTCTGTACCTTCAACGAGTCCAAGAAATCAATACAAACTTTAGCCATAACATGAACGAGCTGGCTCCAAGAGCTTTTTTTGTTGCATTCATATGCAAGCACAAGAAGCATTCAAATTTAACATGATCACCACTTACAGTTTGCTTTGTATCAAAATCTTTCTGCTGCACTTCAAGCTTCTCAAGGAGTTCCCTTTGCGTGTTTTTCAACTGAGTATTCTCTTTCGACAAATCACTAAAAGGCACAAAGTAAAGAAAACATGTTTATGTTACATGAGAAATAGTCAGAGCCACTCCAATCCTGGCTGCTGCATAAGAAGGATAAATAACAGAATAGCATATTATACTCTTCTGTTATCACATGGATGCTTCTAGTTAAGCATCCTTTCTTGCTCTTTCTGTGTTTTCCTCACCTAGACTGCCACCATTTGTTTACCATTTTGTATCCAACTATTTTGTTAACCATCAAACTCCCAAGATCTGATCATTAATTCTCTCCTCTAGCTGCTACACATTTCCTTGTAAATTTGTTATGAGAATTTGATGTTAGATCAAAAAAACAACTTCAACCTGATAAGTTGGAGTATTCTCATCACTAGTTTGCTGGATAATGTGTGGATATTACAGGGAGAAATTACATGTTAATCACTTCTGGGGGTTATAGGGTTAAATAAAAATTAAAATCATATGGTGATTTATTAAAATCATATGATTAAGCTTTTCTTGTTTGTTCAATTCATGCAATAAAAGATTCACTGCCCCTAGCTGCTGAGCAAGTTACATTTCCACCAAACCCAGTTTACTCTTACTACAACTGGAAACAACATGCCACTAACTCGTACAACATCTTTGCTCATGACTGACTCAGGTCCCTGTGAGATAACAACTTAACCCTTAAACTTCCACAAGTGACCAAGACAGAGTTTCTCCTTACTATTATCTTCACAGTACCATACAGACAAGTGAGGAGAATAAGGAAAAATATAAATTATGGGATTACTAATTGATCTGACACCAAATTCTCCAAACTAACATAATGAGAATCATTTGGCAGACAGTAAGGAGAATAATATTACTTATGAGATCTTGGGAGTTGAAGGGTTAAAGTAATTCTAGGTCTTGTCTCATGTCAGAACTTTTTTCCTACAGAAACGGCTAACATCTCACCTCAGCTGCATCCGTTGTTGTTGATCCCATGCAGAAGTGATTCCTTTAAATTTCCTGCTTGTTGCAAAGGAAATAAAATGTTTCGGACATAAATCTCTAAAACAAAAATACTACTAGAGACATTATGGGGGTTTACAACTGAAAGTAATTACCAGATATATGTAACAAGATACTTTGATTTCATCAGCTGTGCTGTTGATGTGAATAAACCACTGCAAGGAGATTCTAGAATCTCTTTATGGTGGCCAATACATATTATCAACTCAGTTGATAAACCCCAATTATCTTGAAATACACCTTTTGACCCAGCACCAGTTTCTTTAAGAGACTAACCCCCTAGATGCATGTATGTAACTACAACCAACTTCATGCCAAACCTGTTTTCTTCCACTTTATTATTGAGTGCATCAGTAAGTTCCCTCATTTTATCTTCCTGTAGTCTCAGCTGATCTTTCTACAATTATAACACAAAAACAAGTACAAGTAAATTACATGTTCAATATAGGTGCACCATTTCCCTTCAGTTAGTGGTCCCAGGCCAGACAGTCAACAACTTCCATCAAACATTAGGATGGAGGGGCAAGGATAACTCTAAAAACTGCATTTAAATGACTTCCCCTGTTTCATCCAGATCACACATTTTCATTCAACATTTTTTTTTTCACTAGCAGAGTACCTTCCACAAAGGTAGCAAATACAAAAGCTACATGAACTTAGTTTCAAGACCAAAGTTTGCTTCCATTGAATGTAGGTGTCCCCAGAAAAGTGGTGAATGTAGAGAGATGAGCGTAGGTGTCCCCAGAAAAGAGGTGTAGCAAAGAGAGGCTCCACTGAGGGTCTGGACACAGTAGTTCGAAGGGCGGATAACATAATCCACTGGATAAATCTCTATTCAGTAGACTGCCAAGTATGTTTTGTTAACACTTATCTACTGGATAGCAATTTATCTATTGGATAGCATTATCTGCCCTTTATACAACTGGACCCTATATTTTGAGAAAAAGGGAAGATCAAAAACATACCGTGGCCTGAAGTTCTTCCTGATACTGTACAGCCTTGAGTGTCTTCCCTACAAGTCTCCTGTTACGGATAGCATGAAGATCACACTTGTGTCGCTCAAACAATAGCTGATTATGAAGCAACTTCACTTGTCCTCTCAAGATCTCTACTTCATCTACTGGAGGATCACCTGCAAATTTAAAAACAATATCACTGTAGCCATGATAGCAATAAAAGGTATAAGCCATCATTGGTTATTTCTGTTGGGAATGAATTAATTCACAATTAACCAGAGGAAGTGTTAATCTGGGAAGTCACTGATCACTAAACCAGAAATGTAAAATCAGGTTATACCTCCAAAATGAGTCCAAACTGTACCAGCTTGATTGACAAGAGGAATCCTGTATAATAATCACAAAATTATCAACTGACCTCAAAATTAAAATTATATCAAAAATCCTTTTAGTTTTGCTATGCCTGAAAGTGACTGGCAACAGATACTTTGGTGACCTTAAGACAAAGAAATGCAAGGCTTCCATGAAACCAATCGCATTTTCCCTCACAGTTTTCTACACTGTTTTCTCTTTGAGTTGTCTCACCTATAGTTATCATAAAATCTATCAACTTGATTAACTACTGTGGATACCAATACCTTGGTTATGGCATTATCACATTCAGCCAGAGAGTGTTCTTGACAGGAGGGGTGTTGGAGGAAGTGGGAGTAACACTGGAATGGGAGGAGGTTTTTAAAAATCCAGTACAAGATGGGAAAATTTATGATAGAAGTTTCATGGCAAGATAACAATCAGAACAAAACGTAAGTAGAGATGGACATATTCTTACCTTGTGAGTTCACCATTGTGTATGCCCTTGCCTGTTTTCAGGTAATTGTCAAGAATCTCAACTGGAGTTATACAATGCATCTGTGGTTGTGTTCCCAAGTCCTCTCTGTCAGCCATAGTACTGTTAACAGTCTGCTCCTGTTCATTTCTAAACAATGGCAACAGCTGTGGAAAAGCTGCAATCAAGTCCCATGCTTGCAATGGAAGGTGGTCCTGCAGCCCAGCTTGAATTAGAGCATGTGGTTTGGGAACATTTAAGGAGCATTCATCCCACTTCAGGCTTGTTTCATTTTCGTCCACTTCTCCCAACTTTGTTTGCTCTTGGTGTACATATAAATCAGGTACAGTCACTAAAGACTTTCTTGCTTCTTCACTCATTGATGAAACATTAGGGACAGCACGAGCATATGATATATCACTACTCTCTGTGTCCTGAACTTCTATACAAGAACAAACATTTGTGGATTCATTGGTTTCATTAATGGGTGTGTTTGATAATGTTTCTGCGTCTAAAGATCGACCACATACAGGGGTTAATGCATCTTCCATAACATCACTACACATAGCATCCTTCCATGACTCAACTGTATCAAGTTTTCTTGCATCTGGATCACAATCCTTTTGGTCATTAGAGTCTCTAAATTCCTCCTTAGGAGAAATAATTGATAATTGAAATTGTTCTGTATTTAAAGTCAAGGGATCCTCATTAAACATCTCTTCATGTACTTCATCAGCATTTGGAGAAGTCAATAAATTTTGTCTATCAGATAGAGCTGCATCAAAGTTGTCTTTCTCACATTTTGTTGAATTCCCTGGCATTGATGTCTGTTGTTCCCCAATGGCTGCAGGGGTTGAATCATAACTTTGCTCAGCTAACAATGATATTAAAGTTCTGGTTAATGGCCCCTCTTGAATAGCAGCCTTCCCACCTTTAACTGAATTCCCCTTTCCATAGTTCATCCCCCCTGAAGTCACAAACTTTCCTCTACTGCCAGCAGTCACTGAAGGTGAGCTTGAATATCCTTGTAAGTCTTCCCCTAGAGATGTTGTCGGGGATTGCCCTGGGGTGTAAACTATTCCTGGGGTACTGCAGTGAGACTGGATAGGTATGGATGCTACTAGATCGGGATAGCTTGTTGAAGGCGACATCTGAGATGATGGTGGGGTGTTTAACCCACAAACATCAGAAGGACTCCAGCCAGGAGTTGCATTTAACTCAATCCTGTCGGTAGCAATAATTGGCAAACTTTCAGACCCAGTGCCACTGTCACCACTTTGTAGAGATTTGCCAGTCTGTGTTGCAGAGTCTGACATGCGACGTTCTTTTAATCTGCTTGGTTCAGGTCCTTGACTATCACCTGATGTTGTCAATACAGAGCTGATGGATTTGTCTACAAAAAGGTCTTGGTGACTATGCTTGAAAGTCCATGACGACATTAAACTTCCCTTCTCTTGCATTCTGTCTACTGGGTCCAGTGACAGCTTCATGCATTCTATCACAATATCGTGAGGCTCTTTTTGTCGCCACCTGGATCACATGGAAAATACAGTCAGAATGAGAATACACCACTTTGTAGCCAACAGTGATGTGCAACACAAGTTCCTTTTCACTACACTCCTAGACAAAATTAGTTGGAACACTTCTTCAGATCAACACCTGTGATCTTCTTTCACCCCTCACCCCTTCCAATGTTGTTAACTGCCAATGTGTCCATGCCATCTTGCAGACCAAAATTGAGACAAGCAGGGGAGGCACTGCATCTCCCAAAAAATGAGTTTGGGAGTATACATGTAGGTTAAAGGGAAATTCAACCTGTTTCAGAGTTTAAAGGTTTAATTCCACTCTCAAAAATGTGACATACCTTGGATCAACCTTTCAACCCTGAGATATAGGATATTACAAGTACCTGCAAAAATAGTACGTCAAACCAAAAAACCTGTATGCTAAAAACTAGTATCACCACTGGTTTATTCACCAGCTAACCTGTGTTTTTCCGTCTCGGTGTGCACAGTTTCTGTAATAATACATGGGTGAAGTTTCACATGCTCCATCATTGGCTAAGAAGATAAAACAAAAAGTATGTACCAGGTTTTTATGTACATTTTTGTTATGGGTATTAAGATCTGAAGTCAAAATACACTGTCAACATTATATAGGGAGATGGAAGTGGGACTAAATAAGGTGTATGCTCAAGAAACCAACCACAAATGTAATCAAGCTCTGTGGTGAGATCTATTCAACGAAAGGAGTGATGTTGATCCTGGTAACACCTAGAGGAGTCCTACATGTGACAAGGCAAGACAACTCTTGAGACAACAGGGGAAACTCTCTCAAAACAGGGTGAGTTGAACGGTGGTTTCCATGGACCATGCTCCAATGGGGTCATAAGTGGAATAAGTTACAATGTATGTGAAATAAGTTGTCTCTTCTTACATATCTCAACATTTTAACTCACAGAAGTACTTAACTTTTAACTTTCCCAATAATAACCATACAAAATCCAGCATATAGTTCATAAGAATACCCAAACTTATCTTGTAGAAGTTGTTATCTTGATCTAACTCCAAATTCTTGTAACTAATTTATAAGGAAATCTGTAGCAGCTTGAGGAGAGAATTACTTATCAGATCTTGGGAGTAAAAGGGTTTTGAAAGTTGATGACTAAAGTTGCTGGAAAAAATTGTAAAGCAATGGAAAGGTTGGCTGACTACAGACTGTTTTTCAAAACTCTGTGGCTAAATGAAACTTAAATTTTGAAGAAAAGACCCAGACTCAAATTAAGATCCTCACCTTGATTGCCTTCTGGAAAAGTTTCTGTTTGGAAGGCTTACTGTAGGTTGCTCTCAGATATGCCAGGAAATTGTTAGGATACATGGCATACAGACGATGAAAAAACATGTATACTGCGACATGAAGGTGGAGGAGGTGCACTTCTGGGGCATTACCTGGGCAATCAACAAAGAAAGAATGCCTTGACTCATTTTCATTACAAAATGAAGGGATACATGCAGTTAAACCTCAAGTGACTTTTGCTGCGAATTAAAATCCTCAATTTGTCCATCAGCACTCATTCAGGCCTTTATCAACATTTTCTAGAAACACCAGAAAATGGTGTTTTCACTGGCTACTCTTTTTCAAAGTGCTAGCTACTTAAATTAAGCCAAAACAGTTAAATGCACATCTTGAACTGAAATAATGTTTTAACCTTTGCTTAATCTTTGTAGGTACCCAAAAGGATGGTAGATACAAGCATAATAAATAATTTATTGATACCTTTCAAGCATTCATTTGTCTCCTGCCAGCTAATGCTACAGTGCACAGCTGACAGCTGAAAATCTCTGAAAAACACTGACTTTTTTCCCTTGCAGTCATTAAATGGATGTATTCATGACTCAGCTTTTAGATGTGAATAGAATATACATAGAAACACCCATCATAGCAGAATATGGATGATCTGATTGCTCATTTCAAAAACCAGAATATTTTCATGCCGTAGATTAGGTTGTGAAAAGATAGTACCAGTCTCTTAGTCATTATGAAGTTATTTAAAGTTGTTAAGAATGATAGATCAATCTGAAGGGTTGTGAGGGTGGAATGTGAGAGTGAATGGAATGTGATTAGTATTTTCCCTCTGAACCGTTTGTGATGCTGACTGTCAATCAATCTGTTGGGTGTGGTGGTGACTCATTCGAATGACAGAAACAGGATAAGTATGTTTGCTTAAAATCACTTTTACCTGATTATTACTCAAAACTACATGAACTGCATTATGTATACAGGTAATTATAAAAGCATTGTACCTGAATGACGAACTCTAAAATAGGACAGTCTGGAGAATATCTCAAACAAATCCTGTAAACAATGACCAATAGAGGCTGGTACCAATGGTAACAAAGTTGTAATGGTTAAAACACCACTTGTTAAAACCAACACATCTTCATCTCCCTACAAGTGAAATAATGAATTTCTTCAGCCAATTTACAAGAACCTTTTCAAAAACAGCAGATGGTTTGAACCCAGGGGTAACTTATGATCTTGCAGTTCAATAGTTTGGGTAAGGTAGTCCTGAGAAGGACTTTTGTTGATTGTTGACTCGAGGATGACTTCTGCTCAGATTCTGGAAAGATCAGACACTAATACCCACAACAGTCCTTCTCAGGACTACCCTCGCCCAGACAATTAGATCACATGATCACTCTAAAGAATTAACACAATCAAGTGACATGAGTTTGACTATAGGAAGACTCTGGGACTAAGACAGCTTCTTAAAGGAATCTTGCTTCTCCTCTTCATTATTGAAACATCTTGAAAGCCAAGTGGGAATGTTCCCCAGATCTTCACTTGAAGGATCATGCTCAAAGCAAGGCCAATAGATGACATGGTTAAAATTAGATTTTAGGGACAAAGTACTGGAAATCCTAAAAAGAAAAAACCTCTGTCCTAAAACATCAAACTCTAATTTTATCCCAAAAATATTCCTCATGGTGATAGAAAAGTTTCCAAGTGAAAAAAAAGGTACTTTTCTAAAGCCAAGTGATGCCAGCTAGAGCATATCCCATTTTTATTATCCTGGAGTGACAAGGAGTATCACCACCCCCCTCAACCTGGATGGGATGCTTTTCCATTGTAAAGTTACCAACATTTCATCAGGCTTCCCTGACAATTTGGCAGTATCCATTCATACATTTATATTCCTGGGTGAACAGAGGCACTGTGAGAGTAAAGTGTTTTACCCAAAACACAACACATTAACCCAGCCAGTTCTCATACTTGGAACTCTCTGCCAAGAGTGCAGCAAATTAAGCATTATCCCACTGCATCTCCCAAACTGCAAAGTGAGAAGCGATGCAGAACAGTAATTATTCCTGGTGAAGCAAGGGATGTGATGTATTTTGGGGACAAAAGATTGCCTTTACCTTCATGCACTTCAAGAGACTTTCAAACAAGGATGTGTCTATAATCTTGTACAACCAGGAAGGCTGCAATGAAATGCAAACTTAACAAACTCAACATTTTGTGACACAAACATAAATAACAATTGATTCATCATTTTCTTAGTAATAAACAATTCTATACTGAAAAGCAGATACATCTATATTTTTTGGGAATATTTTCTGAATAACCCCATGCTATTCATAAAAAAGAGCTCACTCCCAAAAGGTAACGTTTTGAATTGTTTACTGCAATTGTTTCCTGCTGTCAAAGAAATGTATCCTAATGAAGTCTTGGGTCCTATAGAAAATCTTGCAACTTTATGCAGAGATACCATCATGGTCAGGGATTTATATAGAGTAATTTGTAAGTTTTAGGTTTCTAGTCAGATAGCACAGGCTGCTTTGTCCACTGATATCTTGCAAAGTGCAGTTTTCCTCACTATAACAATAGTTTTTCGTGTTCCTACTGACCCAAAAATTCAATGTCCCTGACTGTGACAAGCAATTGAGAAGTAAGCAAATAGACTGCATGTTGCTGTACATCTGTTCAGCATTAGATCACAGATGACGTCAAAATGTGGTAAGTGCAAAAAGTGTCACACAAGGTACAGCCAAATGTGTCACTGACATTCTTACCACATTTTGACATCGGTTTTCTATTTCAAAAGTAACTGTGAAGATCCATGGCAACAGGAATCATCTTGAGAAAGATGTGTTTTGTCTTATGACAAGCAGGGGACAAAGAAAAAATTCTGATTCTCCAAGACAATTCGAACCTCAGACCTTCAGATTCCATGCTCTGATGCTCTACCACTGAGCCACAGAAACTCTGCAGTCAGTGAGGTCTATTACGAAGTTCATATGACAAACGTCCTGCATACTGCTAGGATCAGCAATGTCAATAGCATCGTGTTTGTAAATAGAAGAAGAGAGATGGTAAGTTTTTAGTAAAGAAATTGAGAAAAATGTCACTATTGTGGAACAAAGAAAAAATTCTTGGCCCCCATGACGAATTGAACCTCAGACCTTCGGATCCCACACACCAATGCTCCACCACTGAGCCACAGGGACTCTATACAAATACTAAAAATAATAGTGACACCTCTTCCTATCTCTGTAGTTTAACAATTTGCGGGATTTAATGACAAATTTTGAGCGAAAATCAACCAATGACGATAGTGCACGAGGAAGTAGGTGTTAAAAGAGTGATAAAGAGCAGGCAAGTTGGTAAACCAAACGTGATCCCAACTTCCGGATCGTAAACTAATAATAGACCTAAATGCAACACGTGTTTCAGTTTGCAAAGCTACCGAATTCTATTTTTCATGGATGGAAAAGACATCTCTTACGATTCCAGCATGACTCTATAGCTATTTATTTAATCTAAAAAACTAAGGATACGTTATTTCCTGAGGAAATACTTTCAAATTCCTACCATGGTTACCCTTACCTGCCTTCGCACAATATGACCTAGTAGCGATAGGGTGTCCAAACGGGACGGCGCATGTTTCAGGCATTCGTTCATTTTCTCAAATAATGCCTTTGAAGAGAAAACAACATACAGCTAGAGCACATTGTAGAAACAGATATGCCAGCGGATAACGAACAAAGCCTCTCAGAAAAAAATTCAATTGTCGCAGATCAGTTTACCTGAGCTCGCGCTTCGTGGATGCCGCTCAAAATCTGCAAACATGTAGGGGAACGCGTTTTTAAATAATATTCCATCATGGTATTTAACAACCCTGAATCACGAGAAGAGTGAAGGTTTTCCTGAATCCGCTTTGTAGTCTCTTCCACAGTTTTAATGTTATCTGCATCTAGATCGAGCAGGGAAAACTCTCCCTGACTTGGAAGAGTCCACGTCCCCTCGGCTGCATGCATGGTACTGAGCGACTGAGCTTGTCTCGCGTTCCGTTGTAATCACGAGAAAGAGAGGTAAAACTGAGGCATTGCTCCACGGGGCAACACTTTCGCTGCCTTCATTCATCGCCAAAAGCCCAGGACATTTGAAGCACGTTCGCTGTCTGGATCATCTTCGGTCGCCATTGTTGTTTGAGTTTTTTCCCCTAGTCACGTGCTGTCTGTGCACACATTCTGGGTAAGTACGTCATGTATGGGGAATTATTATGTCCCCAACACATATTATGTCCTATACTTTACATATAATACCCTACACACACAAACAGCGCAAAACAAGACAAAATACAACCATACAAAGCTATACAGAGCTATAAACAGCTATACAGCGCTATAAACAACTATACACAGCTATACACAGCTAAACAGAGCTATACATAGCTATACAGGGCCATAGAAGGCTATACACAGCTATAAAGAGCTATACACAGCTATAAAGAGCTATACCCAGCTATACACTGTACAGGGCTGTACAGGGCTATACACAGCTATATGGGGCTATACACAGCAATACAGAGCTATACACGGATAAACAGAGCTATACACGGATAAACAGAGCTATACACAGCTATACACAGCTATACGCAGCTAAACAGAGCTATACACACCTATACAGAGCTATACCCTGAACCTAAAACCTATACAGGGCTATACATAGCCATACAGGGCTATAAAAAGCTATACACAGCTAGACAGAGCTATAAACAGCTATACAAGGCTATAAAAAGCTATACAAGGCTATACATAGCTATACAGAGCTATACAGTGCTATACGCAACTAAACAGAGCTATACACACCTATACAGGGCTATACAGGGCTATACACAGCCATACAGAGCTATGCACAACTATACAGAAAGATGCACAGCTATACATGGCTATGTAGGGCTATACACAGCTATACACGGCTGTACAGGGCTATAATAAAGGGGTAAATTTCTAAAGAAACTGTGGTGCTGCGTCGGTGGGAGAGTATAGCAGGTAATTTAGTGTTAACAACTGAATTGAAAACGTAAACTAGCCACAGTAAAGGGTAAAAAAGCTGACGTTTCGAGCGTTAGCCCTTCGTCAGAGCAATTGATATTGTGATAGCGATTGATAGCGATAGGTCTATCGTTCTGACGAAGGGCTAACGCTCGAAACGTCAGCTTTTTTACCCTTTACGGTAGCTAATTTACGTTTTCAACTCAGTTGTTAACACTAAATTACCTGTACAGGGCTATACACTACTGTACAGGGCTATACATAGCTATACAGGGTTATCCTCCGCTATCCAATACGTGACTCACGTTTACGGTTTTGTTCGGACACGGGTAGGGAAGACTGGCTCTAGTACGCGTAGCCGGAGAGCAGAAAGCCTACGGAGTTCCTCACGGGGCATTCTTCTTCCCTTCAAGTTAGCAAAATGGTTCCGCCCTGTTTCTGACATTTGGAGATTTCGAAATGTTCCGTCCGATTTCAGACGCTTCTATCCGATCTCAGACGCCTTCGTCGGAATATAACGCAGCTCCGTTAGATTTCGGACGCTTCCATCCAATTTCGGACTGTTCCGTTTGATTCACCTTGGTTGGTTTAATTCAATTCTATGAACTACACACACATACCATCGTTCTTAACTACGTTTACAGCCAATGGATGGAAAAGATTATTATTTGGGGTTCAAGAAAAAGCATTTTTTACATGTGTAAGAATTGAGAGATCTCAAAACTCTGTAAATATCTACGACTTTCAGTCATGCCGTGATGCATGGCCGAGATTGGGTTTTCCAATTACAATAACCCCCACTCTTCTGCTAAAAGAAAATCAAAATTGGTTGAAAAAATATTGGTCTTCTCCCCAGATGAAGTTATTCGAAGCAGTGCTTAGTGCGCTTTAAAATAACCATCTGCTTATTGCGCAATCAGCCCTGAAAATTCCAAGAGTCTATAACCATGTCTTGACTGCCTATCAGATTTGTCATTCCTAGGGGTCTTTCGATTAGAGTATGAAAAATTTGCGAGAACTTTTTTTAAACGGGGTCAAATGTTTTGTTTTGCTTCTTTTTTTAGAGATAAAAGAGCAAAGGTCGCAATTTTTCAATTAAATATCGATCGAACCACACTTACCGTGTTAATTACGAACCTCCTTAAGTCTGCAGTCCGAAAAAGTCCCATTTCGCGATCAATATTTGTTACATCTAAATGGCATCTACACCAGAAAATTACATCTCAACTGAGTTAATCATGACCTGAATTATTAATCAACATCCCAACTATTCCTAGCTTTTTCCTAATTACGCTTCAAGCCATTTCCCTAATTGGTTACTATAATTGCTACCCGCTTAATTTGTAAAATCCGCATACCCAGCGCTAGATAGTTGACATGACCTAACATAACCCGTAGAAAACGTTTTATATGAGGACTTTATCATGCAAACTTGACAGCAAGTTTCTGAGTATCCAAGAACATATGTCTTAGTTTCTGAGCTTAGCTGTTAAAAACTTTACGTCATCACTGATCGAGGTGCATGTCGGGAAAATCCAGGCGATCGGGGGTTTCACTGCTTCTTGACCGTTCCAGATTTTTCCGACAAATGAAAACTCGAAATCATAGAGATCCCCGACTGTCTGGGATGGTTAGCCACAATTAAATTGGGAAAATTGAGAACGCTTTTATTTTTTCCCGACGCGATGATCAGCGTTCATTCACGATAAATCAAACTTCAATTTTCATCGACAGGGACGTCGGAGATAGTTTTGGCTCGCTACCAGTCCTCTAGTTGCTCGAGTCACAAGTGTAGAAGAATCGTGCGGAAGAATCTGGGGAAAACGTCTGTGGATCTCTTAATATAACTATATCGGCGATCGAGGTAATCGGGATACATGAAATTGCCGATCTTCAAGGATACTCCCGAAATATGAAAATAATACCTGTGATTTATATTTCAATTTGTAACATAAATTTAAGCAGGTCACGGAAGTGCAAAGTTTGTATGTAAAAAAATTTCTAAGTATGCTATTCCTCAATATCTGTCATGGTTCTGTAAATGACACAAACTCCGTTTTTTTGGCATCAAAATTTGATAACAGGCAGAAAAATGTTCTGTGACCCCGACTTAATTAGCTGCACTTTCAGTACATAACTCTCAGGCGTTACTTCACTAATTTTCTTTATTGACTATAGTAAAGACGTTGCCGTTATAGAAAGCTAAGCAGGGGTACCATGTACCCCCTGCCATTTCGAAGGTTAGAATATTTTTCTGGTAGGAAATGCTGACCAGGAAGGGGGGATGGAGCAGTGGTGAATGTGCTGTCCTCCCATCCAATTCCTGGACCCGACGTCACATGTGGGTTGAAGTTTTTGTTGGTTCTCGTCCTCGCTCCGAGGATTTTTCTTCGAGGGTTATTTTGGCAATTTACACGCTGTCAGGTATCCGTTGTCGTTGTGGGGAGGTAGTTGTCGTAAAGAGAGGAAAATAAAAGTGATGGACCGGCCGGAAAAAATTCTGTGCGACTGTTTGTTGGGGCCGCATGGAACTGTGAGGGGTTCCTGGCGTGTGGCCCGAGAAAAAAAAGGACTAGGTATAGGGCAAGGAGGCTGTGCAACTGACCCTGAGTAAATTTTAGGCGTTAAATTTCAAATCAGGTGTAACCAAAGAAATTCTTTATCTTCAAATTCCATCACTCGTCATTTCATATGCAGAAAACCTGGTTCTATGGCCCCTTATTTAAGCTGAAACTTTTGTCTATCCAGTCTGAAATGCAAAAAAAAAAGGATGGATTTCGCGAATCCTTGAAAAGAAACTCCCAAGAAAATCATAATAAAAAAAGGCTAGATAGCAAAGGTACCTTTAAAGAACGATTTTTGTTGTCTGCGAGTTTTCGTTAAATTCTTGTTACGATCGAGGAATATGAACTTAAAGTCAACGGATGATTGTTCAAAAGTGGATACAGGCAGGAGTTGGAAATGTCCTGTTGTCGTGCGCCCGTTTCCAGGGTTCCGCGAAGCTTCGATTAATTAATGCTTTCGATATGTTTCAAGTTGTTTTTAGATTCACTGTACATTTCAATATTAATTAGGATTCTCATTTAAAAGAATTAGAGACTAATTACGCTTCTCTCGGACGCCTCTGATCTATTCAAAAAAACACAAACACGGAATCTTTTCCTGCTGATTGTTAGTTATTTTTAGTCTGACTCTACACTTAGATCGGAAAACATCTATAAATTCAAGATTTGGAGAATGATTAAAACGCCTATGTCAAGGTATTTCCAGTGGTATCCGGTCGTTTCGTATTTACGGTCATTCATGTCCAGTCGTTTCGTATCCAAATGCAGTCGATTCTTACCCAAGTTTGAGCCGTTCCGTACTCAAACCCCTGATCGATTCATACATTTATTCGAAATACCTAACGCGCCAGCGCGTGAACAGATGTTAATCGTTGCAAACGACAAGTAAGTAAAGTAAGGCGAGTGAGATACAAACAAAAAATCTGTTGCGCATTCTTGTGACCTTCTTAACAGACGCAACTTCACCTTTTCCTGGCACAGGGTAGGTGAAATTTTTAATGAAAAAGTCTATGTTTTATACTTGTGACCTTTTTAATAGTTATAGCATATGTTTGTATGATATTTTTCTCTCTAATTGGTCACGTGGAAAACAAACTTTATTAGTCTGGGTTCGAAACGACCGAGTTGGGGACGAGACGACTGGGTACGAAACGACCGGTAACCCCTCTAGTAAACTCAAAACAACTTATGTTTTTTTTTAGGCTGGATCGTGAAAGGCTGCCTGTCTACTTGCAAGGCTCACATCAGGCATTATGTTCAAGTGCCTTCCTATCTTGAAAAGTCGCAAAGCAAAACGTTCATGCGTGAAAATATCGTCGAGTGTTCCGCATGAAAATCCAGTGAACTCCACACTCCAAAGAGTAGAAAGCTCACAAGCGGCCGCCCAAAAGCCCTGGGTTGTTTTCACCTTTGAAAATCAGGAACACCCCCTGAAGAAGAAAAATAATAAAATCCGTCACTCCGATACAGTGCAAAAGGAAGAGTGCAATAATGGTCCGAAAATGTTATTTCCCATTGTTGTGGTGCTTGGCTGAAATTAATGAGAGAAATTCAGGTGGCAAGATGGAATATTCAGTGTGCCAAGCAACTGAACATCAGCGTGATCGGGAATTGAGAAATCTGAACTTGGCATCTGCTGTGGGTAACTGTTTGTGACATCAAAAAGAACAATTTTAGATTTCCTGAAGAAAAAAATGTTTCCCCAATTTTTTGTAGCATTTATGGAGGAAAGGAAAAAACTGAGAATTTGTCGAATGCTGTTCCCGTCAGCGTCAAGTTTAAACTATGTTCAAGTTGGTCTTAGGTTATGTTCAAGCATAGAAACCGTAGGGTGTTTGTTCAATGTTGACGCGTGCACCAGCATAATGTTTTCCTAGAAAATTTCAGTTATGTTTTCGCTTTTCAAGGTCACTAAAAGCCATCAAAAGGCAATGAGCAAGGTTGGGACTATTGTTTGCAGTAGTAAATATTATCAAAATTAATTTTTTTTGTTCTTAAATTAAGGCTCCACAAACGAAGGCGCTCGCTAGTGATAATTAAGCTTTGCCTTTGATTTTTTTCAAATTGCTTCGGGGAAATCTCTCAAAATTTTCACAATTTGTTAAAATTGTTCTGCCGATCATTTAAAAGCCGAAAAAATAGGGGTTACTTAGGCAGTTTCCCCGCTATTTGCAATTTTGTGTTTTCTTCCTCTATTTCAAATTTGGTCTTATGAATTTTTTTTTATCAACAGGCACCAGGAAGGGCACAAATATGTTTAACGGTCCAGCAAAAAAATTGCAACAAATTATTAATGAAGGTCAGGGTCGTAAGTGACTAATTGGTGTTATTTGTCTCTCATATGTTCAATACTCCTTAATTAAAAGGCCAATCAATTTAGCTCATGTCATTAGCGACGTCTCGTTTTGGTTTTGACTGAGCGGTGGTTCCTTTAATGTCTGAAACCTTTGTTGTTTCCCCAAGGTAGATATTGGCAATGTTGATTTCTGTCTCGTACTTTCCACTTCCATTGCATACTACGGCCAGAGCTTCGAAAACCAACTCAAATAGAGGATATTGCAACATTATTATACCTAAAAGGGGATGAGTTTTTAAAGAAACTTTGGTGCAGCGTAGGTGGGGGAGTATAAAAGATAATTTGGGTTTATCAACTGAGTTGATGATGAAAATGAAAATTGGCCGCGGTAAAGAGTTTTAAAGCTGACGTTTCGAGCTAAACTAAAATGGTTGCCCTCACATCAGAATTGATTACACCCGTGGGCAAAGACTTTGGTTCCTTATCATTAAGAATCTTGGTCAAACGTTTTATGAGCCAATGTTTGTCGCTATCTCACCTTTACGGAATTTTGAAAAATCTGCCTGAAGTTATCATAGCAAGAAGAAATCTTTCCCTATCTGCTAGGGAGTTTGTAACGTAAAATGTATAATCTGATTCATATCCCTTAATGGCAGCTTTTGAAAATTATCATATTCATTCGTCGTTAGCGTTTAATGTAAACAGCCCTAAAATTGTAATTTGTTTCGTTTCTATTCTCCTCCAATATTTAAAGAGTGTTGGGAATTGAGTATAGTTTGAACAAGGTATGCAAAAGAAGTGACCAGAAAAACTTACAGGGACGCTTATTTACACAAAGTCTCACCTACAGCATGGTTTTATGCAATCAGTGGGCCTCAGTCCTTCTCTATGAGAGGGTTGATTTAACTAAATAAATGTCATTCCACTATTAGCTTTCGGCCCTCTTGCCATTTATAAAAGGTTGTTTAAATAGAGGATCGGTTAGGACGTGCTTTTGTTTAAACAACAGTTAAACTATGTTTAAATAACCGGCCCACAAAGTTTAGTCAGGCTAGTAATTTTCCATTAAAATGCAAGTTAGTTTGGTAAACAATGGTGATATTTTCGCTGGGGACAGAAGACGCGACCAGAACTCCGCCAGGGCCCATACCCACGAAATCACTTCAACGTCCGAACAGGTCAGGGAAAGTTTCATGAAAGGGAGGCGATACAGGCCAGGGCGGAGCCTGATACAGGCTGTACTCAACCGAAGCTGCAGGACGCCAGTATAAGATTGACGTCTAGTAGGAAAATTTTTTAAGTGGCAGATTTACTACTGTGATCGAAATGACGGAGAGGACACCAGATGTTGAGACCGTCACGACATGAACCTTATTGAGGTGAAGGACGTTTAGAACCCAGCGTGAACACCTTTACGTTTAGAAGTTCCAGGTTAACTCAGGAATTAGGAGAACATAAAATCTACTTCGCGAATAGTCCTGTGGGAGTAGTCAGATCTAAATACAAAACCGAAATTACATGTAAAATGAGGTTGAAGTAAAACTGGGGAACGGTATTAAAATTTGTGTTCATTGTTCTAACAGGAACCCCAACAAAAATTTTTTCTTCAAACCTAACCGGGGAAATCATGGTACCGTCTCTTGTTACTTCTAAGTTTTTCTTTGTCTGTGATCAGCATTGCGATTTCCTTTCATTTTGCTGACCTGATATATCGTAAATTTTCGGGCTCGCTTCAAATCAACGACGGTTTTGGGCTGTAACGTCTCTCCAGGAAAGAACGGATTACTAAATGAGCACGGTTCATTTACGAAAACACTGTAGCAGTAGATGCTCAAAATCGTGCAGTATTCATGACAGTACAAAGCAAAGGCCATTACACTGGTACCCAACCATCGCTCCAACAAATGGACACCGGTATCCGGTCCCTTCACCGGAAATTCAACACGCCGACACCAATACTCAACTCACTGACACCTTAGACCAATTCACTGACAGTCGTCTTGGATACTGAAATCGAGAAATTAATTAGTAGTCTGACTGCAAGGATCACTTCTTAGCTTAAACTATTGTGTCGGCGGGTGACCAGTGGTGTCGGCGAGTTGACCAAAGGAGTTGGCGAGATGACGGTAATCTGGACGTCTTCAGTTACGAGTCAAAGTTGAACTGAATAACACTCGTGTAAACGCGTCAAGAAAGAGGAAACTTCGACCAAGTGTCGAAGTGCTTTTTTTCTACCTGTTTACTTTTTTGAAAGGAAAGGAAATTAAAGCTGGTAGGGCGGTTTCTGGGTTCAAAAGTTATGGTAGGGTAGGGTTATTCAAAATGAAAAAATCATTTTACCGTACTCTTGAGATTTAACCATGGAGAATTTCACCGGCAACAGCCATGTTTTCAAACTTAAAGTAGTTCTCCGAGTTTGACTTAAGCGAGGCAAAGTAGTATCATGAATTCCAGGTCTTTACACTCTATGTTTACACGAACATGACAAATGACAGACAGATTTGAACTTTCATATGTGGCACGAGCATTTTGCAGGTTTTACATCGGCAAATTGTTCCCGTTTCACAAAAAATAAATAACCGTAGAAGAAAACCCCCCAAAAGACTCCGAAAATTTTAATTCTTTATTTCAACCGCAACTATTAATTCGCCAAAAACAGATTAAGTGCTGTCAAATGTAATCTGCCACTGAACTATTTACTTCCTTCAGCAAGTGATCAACCAAAGAATAAATGTCTGACAAGAATATCCTTTCGTGCTCTGCCTGTGTTCTTTAAACCCTGCCAGTTTCTTGAGGTCAATTATCTTTGATCAGATGGTAGAGTTACGTGTGGATAACAAATGCTTATAAATATTGACTTATCATAATTACCTAACAGTGAATAAATAAGAGCCCAATGGTTGACACTAATTTGTGACATGAAATTATGATTTCCGTTAATAGTCACAGAATTTTAGAAGGCAACTTGATATACTGATAACCAAAATTCTATCTCGAGTCTTAGAATGTACACTCTTACTGATACTGTCATGGTTGGCACCAAGCAAAGCAAACACTGTGACAAAAAAAAATTTTACAAATTAATTCTTTAAACCCCAAGAGTGATCAAAATATAACTTATCCCTATAATATTCATAAATCATACAGTAAACAGGTAATAAGAATACTCAAACTTATCAGGTAGAAGTTGCTAACTTGATCTAGCACCAAATTCTTGTAACTTATTTACAAGGAAATGTTTAGCAGCTAGAAGGGAGAATTGAAAATCAGATCTTGGGAGTTAAAGGGTTAAGGTAAGTATGCTTTGTTATAAAACTACTTAAAATTAATATGTTGTGGTAATAAGTAATTCATGCTATGCTATCATTAAAATTCATCCTGATGCTTATTCATCCTCAGAGAAATGTAAACAGATCATGAGTGGGGAGGGCTGAAAAGGAAGTAGCATATGCAGGAGGTAAGTCTGTTCCACCCACCCTGCTGGAGAATACACCCTCCCTTCACCCGTATAAAATAAATTTTGTCTTTGCTTGAAATAGGGGTTCATAGGCCCTTCTGCTCTCCCTGACTGAGCTAAGTACACAAGATGCACAATTCATACTGTGGATCCCTCTGGCAGAAAAACTACAAAATTATGCCTCAAGAATCTTAAGCATATTGTCATGGATTGTTTAAAGTGAGATGATACAATTAACCCAGGATCCAATGTGTAACAACTACCTATCTTGTTAAGCTTTCTTCTTAGTTACTAAATATTTGTATATCTTGACTTTCAGCTGAGGTGATTATTACATTAATTTCAGCATACTTTATTTCAATGGTCGTTTTGCATCTTTCATATCAAAAAGAGTCATATCCTCTTCTTCCTCATCAACATCTCTGTCTAGTGGCTGCAATTCCACGGATGCTGCCCCATGGATTACCCCGTATCTTGTGAAATTAAAAAAAAAAAGGGAAAATGGGATATGACATTAAAGCAGCTAAATCATGGTACTTCAAACACACTTAAGTTAGTGAATGGGTATAATTAATAGCCTATGAGCAGGTTTTCACTGGTATTGCTACACATGTACCTTTGGGCTTCTTCAGAAGGCTAAGAGAATCAAGTCTGTGACAGGCACAATACAGAGAGAGGGTTGGGTTTTTTCCTCATGCATTTCCCTTTATTTTAAAGGTATCAAAATTGGAATTTCCAGTAGGGCCCCCCCACACTTTAAAGGCCCAGTGGAGCCCAGTGTGACAGGTCTTGGCAGACCCCTCACAAACCTTTTGCCAACAGGTTGATATGCCTACTTAACTTCAGCTGACTAAGCAAGAAGCCTACAAAAAAGTGGAAGGATTCTATCCTTTCAGAAAAAAGTATAAAATGAAAAGTAATGATGAGAAAATGGATCACATGCCACAGAACAATTAAATAATGGATAAATTAAAAAAAAGAAGACAAATAGAATTAAAATGAAGAGTTATTTGCTGAAGCTTACTTCTTAGCTTTCCGTCTTCCTCTTGTTTTAAGGGTTCGGACAATAAAGTAAAGTGCAACAAGAGTACTGATTCCTATGGCCTGCAAATAAATTATTTTAGGGGCTTAATGTGAAAATGAATAGAGCAAGGATAGACTAGAGTAGCATTAAATTCCAAACTGATTTTAATTACTACTAAAAATGATATAACCATCAATCTAAATCAAGAGGGAAGCAAAAGCCTCTTCATATGATATATCTTGATAATAAAAAAAAAGAAAAAGGTTACCCCATGATATTCCCTTAAAAATCATTGAATACTGAAATTTTCTGCATACTAAAATAATATCAAAACCATACATAATATATTTAAAGCTACTCAAAAGCCACAAGCAAAAAGGGAGGGAACTGGGGGGGGAGGGGACAGGGAGTAGGGGGGTACTTATACCAGTTTTAAAGGCTTGGAAAGTCCTGGAAATTGTCAAACTAAAATTCCAGGACTTTCCATTTTTTAGTTTTGGTGTGATTAGGGTAGAAGTCATGCTTTCTTAGTGTTACATACAGTGATGGAAAAGCTTAATTCTTCATTACAGTGCTTGAATGGAGGCAGGATAAACAGCTCATTGTTTAATCTGGACCTGTGCTTTTGAATATATTCTACTCACCACATATAATGACCTCTGAAGCATACCATTAGTAGAACCACCACTGACATGGTAAGTAAGAATCAAGGTTGAATTCACTTCTTCTGTGCTGTTAAAACTTGTGGGTGTAGAAATTCTGGTTGTGGAAAGTGTGGCTGTAGTAGTTTCATTTCTTACCAAGGATTTGGATGTAGATGCAGGTTTTGGGGTTGTTGTGTCATTGACGTCCTGCACATCAACGTCTGTGTACACAAGAATAAGCAATGGCCTTGTCTTGCTTACAGATATTATTTTCAATTAAAAATATAGCTTTGGTTATTTCGCTCACAAGAAATGCAATGGTTGTCATTATGAATGCATGTGATATTTCACTAATTGTGAGCAAATCATTTACACAAAATTACAATTTTGTCGTCAGAGAAAAAAATTAAATGGGAAAAGAAAATGGAAAAAGTTCGTAAATTGATCATTCAGATTTTGAAGCATATATTTTAGAATCCTTTAGAACACAACAATTTAATTTTTCTGCATATCAATGTTCTTTTTCAAATCAGTCTCACGTTTTAATAATAATCGTGAAGATACGAAATATGAGATCCATTGTGGGTCACGAGTGTGGTTGAAAGCGAAAAGCATTCAAACAACTAGTATTTGAGCCTGAAGTAATGTAACTAAAAGCAACTAAACAAACCAACAGATCAAAAATCATAGGCGGTATTTCTATGTACATGATGATAAAAACACAACGTCTGTTTATTTGACAATTGATTTCAACATTTCATTGAAGTATTCAACCCCGGCTTAATAAAAGCAACCAGAGTTTATAATCTCGTAAAATCACTGATCCTTGATATGAAATAAATGTGTTCCAGCTTCTTATCGAAAGCAACAAACCATTTGATGTTTTGTATGAAGAACGTACCACTGACTGCTACTAAATGAATAGAATTTAAACCGAAAGGACCATACGCTCGATTCCAACCGAAAAGCTCTTGCTTTTTGTTGATGCAACTATAAAAATTATACTAGCTTAGGGCGTTTTTAATACTAAAAAGATATAAATACTAAAAACACGTTTGTTCTATTTCCCAACCTTCATACTTGATAGCGTTTTAATTATTCAAATTTACTTGAATTTCAAACGACGTGTTGTGGCAAGTGCAATACCAGTCAAATTGATTTTACCCAAATAAAATTGTGTTACCTTGTGCAGGAGCTAAAGAGACGCAAACGGCGAAAATCACCAGCTTCAGTAAGATGTTCATTTTACAGACACCAGTATGTGAAAGCGAGATAGACCGTCGTGTCCCTGAGATCACAAGACATTAGAAAAGCGCTCGATTTAGACGTAATATGCTAATAGGATAAAAAAGACACGATAATCGTTGGGAATACTATGTAACCACCCCTTATTATAATGAAGACTTGAGCTTTTTGCGCTTACAATGATCTCTGGGATTTCACAGATGCGACTGCACCCAAGCTGCGCATTTTTCATTTTACAGTTTTTTCTTTTCCTTTCTTTTTTAAACGTGTTGAGATTTATATAATAACGCAAATGAAAGTTTATAATCAAATGAGGCATCATATTTTATATCAAAGAACGAGGATCAGCCTCTTGGTAAAAGGTCTTTCTAATCCATCTTTTTGTCCAAATAAGGACACTTCCGACTTTTTTCCACTTTTTAAAGCTAAATTAGATAAAGCTTTGGAGTAAGGAGCCAAACGAAAAAACAGAAAGAAAAGAAAAAGCTTTGGAGTATGGAGGTAAAAGAGGATAGCACGTTCTATCTAGGATCGGAATTCGAATTTTGATTGGGGACATAAGCACTTTGCAAATCAAGTGAGAAGGGCAAAGTTGCTGAATGTGTTTCCCAAAGACAGCATCAGCACTGAGAGGATAATTTGATAAATTTATGGTATGAAAATTGTGATAAGGGAGAATATAGCTAATATCTACGCCTGAAAGTAAAGTTTCAATAGCCTCTAGCATTCATTGAGGGCGTTTGATGCAATGGGCGAAATAATTAATAAAAAATAATTCAATGAACAACTATGTGGTATACCTTTATGAAGCTCTAATCACCAAACATTCACTTTTCATATTGTTTCACAGGTTAGAACTATAACTCTTTGTGCGACGTTCTTCAGACACAGCAATTGTTAAAGTAAGAAATTTATTGCGGTGAGTAATAAAATGAGTTGCAAATCCTCAGGATGCACGACCTTGACAAAAGGATAAAACTAAAGACACAGCTTACTTGAATGAGCGTTTAAAATTATGGCTTAAACACTGGTATGGTTTAAAACCAGTTTAACGGCTTGCTGGGCACGGATATAAATAATTAAAAGAGTACAGAATATACAAAATAAAGGTGCATTCGGGGAAGATGATTTTCAGTAAGAGCGCATTCCATTGATTGTCCCTACTATAAAACCAACACCAAAGTAATCACAACGGCCGGTCAAAAGAGAGGAAAAAAGTTACAAGGAGCAAATGAGAACTCAAAATAAATACAAGTAAAATTCCTTAACTGCAGGAAAACACAGGAGATAAATTTAAGTCTGTTTTCCCTTTTCTTGGATGTGATTCGTTAGGAAGGTGGCGCTAAGTAATGGACCGATCATTCTTTATCGAGGAGGAAAAGGAGGGGGGTCCGGAGAATTTTGGTTTTATCACAATAAAATTTACCTGACTCCCTCTAAGGCTCTGTAGTATTGTCTATCGTGCCCCCTTAACACTCCGTTGACGACCACGAATCCCCTGTTCCCCCTGAAAACCATGTGACCCCCCCTCCCCCCCCAACCCAGGTGATAAATAATAACTGGTTGCTAAGTTTTCCAAGGTAATCACTAGGCAAAGTTCTGTAAAAGCTATGCATTCTCTGATTACTTTTGACACTCAGATGTAAAATAGCTCCAAACCTGAAGTCTAGACCAGACTAAGCATGAGTAAGTATGACAAAGTTACGACAACTCACGCAAAGATCCTTGCAACGTTAAAACACATTTGGATATAAGTGTTAACTGTGGTAGCACATCAAATGTTCAAAAGCTAAACCTAGAAATGTCTATATACACTGTAAACACAGTTCTACAGGCTAGCGTTCCATCCATGTAGTGCAGATCTGCAGTGACTTGCAACTGATGGATTCCCGCTTTTCCCAGCTTCTCTTTTGTGAATATGACCGCCTGGTTTCCAAGCATCCTGATACCGAACGGGGATGGCTGGGTTGAGAATGTATACTGAAACTGGCAGTAATATCGAAGCGAAGCCATGTATGGCGGGAAAAATGGGATCAGACGGGCAATGTCGGTATCGGCGGGAAATCCAAGCGGTAGTGTAAACACTTCCTGGCGCGTTGCTTGAGCCGTACAGTAGTAGCCTGGGGTCGAACACTGATTTACGCAGAACCTGAAGTTGAAAAAGACTTCTTCTAAATGACAGTGTTTGATCCTGAAAACTCAGACAAATTAAGGAAAACCTCTAGACTATCAAGGCAATTACAAAGCCGACCTCATAGGGAGTATACTGAATGAAGGTAATATCCAATGAATGTCGACGCCTGATCGGAAAATGATGCTAAAACGATAGGAGACCGTTCGGAAAAGGTCGAGTTACTTACCCGCTTCCGACGTTGTTATAATACTGTGGACATGAAGAAGGTAGACATTGATAACTGCCTCTCGTGTTATAACAATGATTCTGACTGCAAGGTCCACCCGTCAGCGCACATTCATCAACATCTAATGAATCAACAAATATGCAAAGTTAACTCCCTAAAATATGATAAAAACCTTTATGCTATAAATTCACGCTATCTCCAATAGCGCGATATTTACTCTCAATCATTTGGTGCATAAATAGGACAAAAACGTGGCATAATTAAGGTATGCCGCGGTGAAATAGAAAAGGGGCCTTTTTGCGAGAGCATAATTGAGTCCATGGACATTCCTTTACGTTCATCATCTACAAACTATCAGCAGTGAACAACATCTCTTCAAAACGAAGCGAGAAAACGTCTTGAAAGTTTAAGGCAAAGGAAAGGAAAAGCAGAAAAAAGGAGTTAACTTCAAAACATTGCGTCACTCATTTCACGTCAAATAAAATTTTAGGGCGAAACTCGACTTATAGGCATAAATAAAAAATAAAGAGCGTTCACGAAATGACTCAGTCATAGAAGGCGGATCAGTTTACCTTGACACTTCTTCCCATCAGCACTGAGATGATAACCAACTGGACATTCACATCTGTAACCTCCCAGCGTGTTTATACAGGTATACTGGCACGAGTTGGTGCTGTTGGATGAACACTCATCCACATCTGAAAAAGAAAGATGAGACAAATGTAACAATAATTACATAGATATTAATCATAACTTAGTATTGTTGATAGGATAACAAAGACAAAAACCATGGCTTCTTCAGTCTTCAGAACTTCCCCTCGCTTCCTCTTTTTTTTCTCTTTGTGTTAGGGCATTTACCCTTTAGACTCGCATGAAAAACGCAAATACTATGAAGCGAATTCTGCAGACTGAAGGCCTAACATCAGTTAGGTTAAGTCGTTTAGTGTTATGGACATCAAAGATCATTGCTGGTCAGAGAGATTGCATAGGGGTACATGTCCGCTTAAAACAATACACACAATACAACATTTTGATCTGTTAATTTCGTACCCACACAATCTTGCTTGTTGTCAGCAAGTCGGTATCCACGCGAACAGGAACACTTGTATCCTTGTGCAGTAAAGTCACACTGTTGTTCACAACTTAACTTTTCAAGGGCGCACCCGTCTACACCTGTGAGACAAGTTTGGGATCGTTTGTACCCCTTGTTGTAATACAAGATCAAAAATCAAATCTTGGTATCCACTTACGTTGAAACAAATCAATAAAAAAACAAACAAAAAAACACAAAACAAGATGGTAGTTTTTTTCGTCCTGTTACCAGCGTGGTACAAAGAAAAAAGGATTCCGAGTCCTCATGGGAAGTCGATCCTTAGACCATTATATTTCGCACTCCAGCGCCCTACTACTGAGCAAAAGAAATTCTACAATGGGCAAAGCCATTATTAGGTTCATGTGTGACAGACGTTCTGCGTATTGCAAGGCTCAGCAATATCAGAGGACTGCGTGTGTTTATAGAATAAGAAAGAAGTGAATTGAATCCAACTCAAAAGTAGACACTAATGATATCAGAAAGCACTGCACCGGGTATCGCAGAGGTCATGGCTTCAAATCCCGTACAGGCCTTAATTTTCTCAGGCCTTATTTTCACTACGGCTTAAGTAGAGTGCATTATTGCGAAGATCACTTCCAAATTCACGATGATACCAGGGTTGAACAATGTTTGTTGTATGTCCTTACCTGAGCAGGTTCGTTGATCGGGATTCAGGATACCACCACCAGGACATCGACACTCGAAACTGCCGATAGTGTTAACACACTGATGCTCACAAATGCCTTGAAACTGCTTACATTCATCCACGTCTACCAAGAAATTATTTATTAGCTAATTTGTACAATAGTTATTATACAGTAGCTGCTTCAGAACTGTGGTATAAAGCACTGGAGGAGGTTTCTCTTCCAGAGAGTTTTTAGTGTACAAGCACTCCCTACAGGAAAGTGAAACAGCGATAAAATCGAGCCAACTTGAAAAGTCCTCTAGTCATCGCAAACCAACCTTTAGAAGCTAAACTGACACTTATAAGGGATACTCTTCTGCCACAACAAAATTCGACTAACGATGACAACTTTGGCGATAAGGATTGGTGTTCAAACCGTTGAAAGCATCAAAAATAACATATCAAAGTCGCCTGATGCTGTTTTCTTTTTGACGCACAAATGACAACAAACACTCAAGTCTTCCTATGTTTAAACCTCATGTGCTTTTTGTTTCCATTTTATTTGGAGAAACAGCTAACAAGTTGCAGTCACTCAACGTTGCATTGCACTGTTCTTACCTTCACAAGGTGAATTGACCGTCTTGGCTGAATACCCTCTGGGGCATACACAGTAGAAACTGCCATATGTGTTCATGCACATCTGGTTTGACTGGTTTTGACAGTTGTGTCGGCCTTCATCACACTCATCAAGATCTAAAAATATACGAAATTCAAGAAGAAATGTAAATTGAAATTTTAATTTACTGCGAAACGATACGTCTGCGCAGAGAGAGGCAACTGGTGGAAATACGGCGACTTTCGCAGGTTCAAATTTTCTTGCAAAGGTAAAAGGATTCCACTGACACTGATTTACTGCATCTACTGAGAAAGGTCTCTCTGATCTATTACCTACTTAATTTTTTTTCAGAGGTTTAAATTTGTATTTGATAATTGTAAGACTATATTTATTTTTCCAAATATTGTTCGAAAAGATAGGCTTACGACCGGTAATGATGAAAAGACATATATTCTAAAGTTAAGACGGTTTTATGACTAACACTTTATCTGAAATAAAACTAGTCCAACTACTTGGCTGTGAAAACTTTTACCCTCCCTAACATCAGCATGTACATTCTCCATACTGTCCTTTATAAATTTCCTATGGCACTGACAAAGAGAATTTAATGAAAAAGCAAGAGCTTTCAAAGTTTATGATCATTTCCTTAATTCTCACGAGCCTACTCTCTCATTCAGCAGTGATACATTTGTGAGAAATTAGATGCTAGTCACCTTCAGAGGTTAAAGGGTTGATACTTTCACTCTCAGCTTGTAACCAAAGAAGAATTTTTCCTTAGAAGGTTAATATAATTTCCATCAAAAATGTGACGAACAGGAAGTTTCGTATCAACGAATGGATCCTTCGTGATCTAACTCCAAATTCTCACAGCCAAACTTATACGAAATGTAGGAAGGACAGTACTGAGAATAAATAGTTAGACCCTGGAACAAAAAATGGTTGAGACGTTTTAACACTGCCGATTTTTCCCTGGTAAGTGGGCTTGTCCAGAAAACTGGTTATCCCTATCACTGCCGAGATCTAATCAGTAATTCTCCTGACTGCTTCCCAGTCAATTCTTACGATGCTAATTCGGAAAATTTGGTATTGGATCAATTAATAATCCCCCAATTGATATTTTTCTTTATTCTCATCATCAATTGTCTGCTTCATATTGTAAGGAGAAATTATGTCTTGGTCACCCTTTGAACCATCGACAATTTCCTGCACCTGGGTCCAGATCAAATTAGCAACTTCAGCAAATTTATGTTCGAAAAATTCAATATCCTAGACAAGAGACAAATGTGTCAAACTGGTCGGGGAAAACCTAGTGTAGATGCTGTAAACAGCCCAAGATGAGATTGAACAGTTATTATTTAAGCAAAATAGGTCTTACCCACACACTCCTTATCATCCATGGTTCTTTTGAAGCCCACGTCACACTTTCCTAAACACTGAAAGCTACCGGGTAAGTTCACACAATGAAGATTGCCACAAAGAGTGCTGTTCTCGGCACACTCGTTCACATCTTGACGAGAATAAAAAAAAACAACAACATGAGAAACATTGATTTTCCACAGCGTTACCCTTTTTAACTCTTTACACACTTACAACAGTATGCATAATCTTCATACCGTTCTCTTTACAATTTTTTTAAGACGCTGAAAAAAAAATTTCTTTAATTGGTGATCATTTCCGTTAATTTCGTGGCCTAAAGTTTGATGTAGGATTGATATTGTAAAGGGAAATTAGATGCTAGTCAGTCTTAATGGTTAAAAGGTTTTAAAACGTGCCGTAAAGACATTCAGTTATAACATTTTCACCTTAATAATCATCAAGCGGCATTAACTCACCCACACATTGGTTTTCAGATACGTAGCGATATCCTTGAAAACAGAAGCATCTGTAGCCACCTTCGGTGTTCTCACATCCATGGTCACACAGCCTGGTGCCGCACTCATCAATGTCTGTAAGCATATGCGTTAAACAGGTCAAATTCTGATTGAGTATTGTTGCGTCAAAACCAAGGTAATCACAACGGCCAATCAAATGGAAGGGAAATACCCTTAAGAGCCAATGAGAACTTAGTAAAAGTTCAAACAAGTCAACTGCCTAAAGCGCGGGAAAACGCTGGCGACCAAGTCGCGATTGGTTTTTAGCTTTGCATGTGATTGATCGAGAGAATGGTACAAGTTTTCTGGACCAATCATAGAGTGGAGTAAAGCAAAAACAAAAAATCCCAGATTCATATGCATCCCCATTACAGTTTTAATGAATGAGGCGTCGCCCAACAATCCCTGAAAACTGAGCAACAGAACTTGACGTTTAATCCCCTTTGTAATGACACCTTTAAATTTGAACACAACCTTTTATATCCTCTTACTCCATCGTACTAAAGGTTTTTTCTTTAATAATAATGACTTACAAAACCTACAGAAAGCAGGGAATTTATATTTAGTTGGGACGGGTAGATTGGTTCTCCCAAATCACCTCGCTGCTGCAATGAACTGCTGATCATATTCACTTTATTGTTATCATTTTAATGATGTCTGTGCTATTGAGGTACGATTCTTTCGTTCTGGGAGATTAAAAGCTATGGACAGTGTCCACGGCATACTCTTAGTCTAGTGAGGGACGCCTGATTGCCGATTTTTATCACATCCATTTTCTAAACCACTGATGATCCTTTCAATCTGATTGGCTCTCATAGGTGCGATTTATTCACGAATCGCTCTTTTTTTGCTCTACATTCCATCTTTTTCCCAGCCAATGAGGAAGCTCTACTAAAATCACTCCACTCAGTTCAATTACCATCATAAATGATGCTTCCTTAAAATAAGAAACCAGGGGTCGATCAAGTGTGTTCATTGGTTCACGTTTTAATTATTGTCAGATCACGTATGGCTTTGCTGCGTAACAAAACTAAATAATATTTTTCAAACCTTCACATCGGTCTCCCTTCAGGTGATATCCGTCCTTACAATAACACCTGTAGGATCCTGGCAGATTATCGCACCGATGTAAACATGGATCATTCCGGTGAAGAGAGTCCGATGAATTCGCAAACTCGCACTCATTCACATCTGAGAGAGGAGAAAAAAAAAGAAAGAAACATTCAGATAGAAAAACAAGAGCCAAATCACTCAAAGATAATTCCAAACTTTCCAAGCTAATCTTCTCATTAGTGGGTGAACGTCACGTTCTGACAAGACTGTTGAGACAATTACAATTTAAATAACTCCTAATTTTCTTTTTACATCCTACTATTTCTTCCCCCTTTCCCTTTTCCAGTGTTATTAAATATTTTAATTTTCCTCGCGAAAACATAGCTGTTTTGTCATAGCTGTGCTGACATGCGCGCAAGGTCAAACTAGAGAAGCACAAACATTACCGACACAGGTGTCATTCGCAGTCATTAGAAATCCTTCGGCGCACTTAACACGACAGCGGTATGAGCCAGCAGTGTTGACACATTCTTCACCTGAAGGGCACGAAGCAGTACCCAGACTGCATTCGTCCACATCTGGAAGAAAAGATTAAGAAATTTTGTCTCTAAGGGGTTATGCACGGATGTGTGAAGTAATTACAAGCATAATAATATGAATAAACAATCATTTAACCCTTTAACTCCTGAGAGTGATTGGCACATTATTTCTCCTCACCGTATCCCTCTTGAATCAAACATTAAGGCCACGAGAATAAAGGAAATGATCACCATCAACCAGAGAAGTTCTTAATTGTTGAACAAATTCTCTATGACAGTATTATAGGAAATGTAAGGAGAACAGTAGGGAGAATATGCATATCAAGTTTAGGGTTTATAGCATTAAATTTTCTAGGATGTTCTCTGGAAACGAGGCGTAGGTCCTTCAGGGTTGATTGGTGTTGTTAACCAAGAAATACCCCGTAGAACCCTGCTGGGCCAGCCCACACAAACTTGCGACAGATGGAAGACTAAATTGGTGAGAGATGTGTGGATAGGACGATTTTTTCTTCAAAGCTGAACTACCCTTCTCAAAAGAAAACATTGTACACCATAAAAGATCATATCCAGGAAAATTACCCATCACCTCTTTCCCCCTCCCCCACCTTACAGAAATACACAAAGTAAGTGAACAGTCCCTCCCCCTTCCCCTTCCCTCCCCTTCCCTCCCCTTCCCCACCCTTCTGAAACACACGAAGTACGCCGTGAAGAGACAAGTCACACATTATTTAAGAATAACTAACCTTCACAAGTTTTATTGTCTGAGGAGAGAGCATGACCCCCAGGGCAGGAACAACGAAAAGATCCAAAAAAGTTTTGACAAAAATGAGAGCAAACTCGAGGAACAGCAGCACATTCATCGATATCTAAACAATGAACAAAAGGACAGCATTCAATACATCACTGAATGATTAATTTAAAAGGAAAAAAGAGACAATCGTTTTTATGAAGAGTGAAATGGGAGAAATTTTATCAGCGTTCCCCAGTCAAATTGTCGACTAATTTTGTTAATAAAAAAAACATTTGTGGCAATAAAGCGGGGAAAAACATTTCCTTTCGGTTTTGCAAGAATTTTCACAACTTCTTAACCCTTTAACTCCCATGAGTGACCAAAAAAGAATTTCTCCTTTCAATATCAATACAATATCGAGCAGACAAGTGATGAGAATAAGGAAAAATATTAATTAGGGGATTATTAGTTGATCCAATACCAAATTCTCCAACTAACATCACAAGAACTACATGGCAGACAGTAAGGAGAATTACTAATGAGATCTTGGGAGTTAAAAGGTTAAGTTGTGTTTATAACCGTAACCGCAATGATCTTTCGTCCATCAAAAAACAAAATTATGACCACACGACCAGTTAACCGAAAACAACAAGGACAATTACAAGCGCCAAAGTCGATGTTGAGAAAAGTAAGCAACAATAGACATCGGAACTTATCACTTGAGTGTCAAACGTAACCTAGGATCGGATTGGCTTTGCTTCATTTTGCTCCGCGATTGGTCCGCAGATCACCCACTCAACCAATAACATTCGAAGGTAAGAGCAAACGCGACTTGGTCATTTGCGTTTTCCCGCGCTTCAGGCGGTGTGCCAACTGTCACCTTAATATCAACCATTTTTCCCAACGGCCATTATGTTAACATTAATTTTGGTCGCACAGAGCTCAATAAGAATACGCTCTAACGAAAGCTTTACCTTCACAAAACTGACTTGTGGGATGAACAGCCAAACCTTCTGTACATTGATCGGATACTGATGCTGTAACAAGGGAAAAAAGACTGACGTTACACTTGACTGTTAGTAATTCTTACCGTCTTGTAACTGGAATCACGCGGTAACTTAGGTAACCATTGATTTTCTCTATTTTTCTCCATCATGTTACATGCATTAATTGTGATTTTACTTAAAATAGCTCGAACTCTCATGACTCAAAGATCCTGCAAGCTTGAAGTAACTATCATCAATATTAGAAGGTATTGTAGTTTCTTTAATCACTTGTTTCTTTCCTGTTGCTTGGTTTCGTTAACAAACCATCGTTCCACTTGTAATCCTTGCTGTTTGATGAATCCCATTAAACACACAATCATTACTCGTGTCAGTCACTTCTCCTCATCCCCAGATGACTCCAATTCTCCCTCTAACCCGAACATTTTATCACTTTCCAAGTCAGCCACAACGAGTTAACTGCACTCCAGGGTGATTTTAGCATAAACGCAGAGAAATGACAGCGTACGTACCTCTCTGAATAGATGACCTCATATCTACCTTCAGCGTATCAGACTGAGGAAAGCTGTAATCCACAGCAGAAACTTGGACGGTCTGAGACAGCGACCTGATTCGCTTCTTATCATCAGAGGAATAAAGTATGGAGGAATTACACGAGAAAGGGAAAGGCTTCCCGTTCACATTCATTACCCGCCTGCGAAAAAGACAACGATTGGATAAATTAAATGAATGCGTGCGAAGGCACACAATTTTTGGAGACAAACTAAAAAGGGTCTTAAACTAAAACGGCTCTTACGAGAGTCAACAGTTAGCCTATTCGATACTCTCCGTCGTTCGGCAGCCGCTTCCCTGACAACCTAAGTCACCGCGCGTGCGTTTGCCTACCATTTTTCACGCGTTGCTTTTTTGCTCGTCTGCACTGACTATTTTCGCGCACCGCTTTTCCCTTTTCCTTGAACGATTATTTCCTCGACACATAGCACTAAGCGTGTCTGACCACCAGTCGAGAAAATTGTGAAAATTTTCCAAAGTTTCCGGAGTAATAATTTTGAATAGAACTCTCTGTTCCTTTTCCCTTCCTTAGTTTCATATTCTCATCGTTTCACCAATCATGTTCAAAGACCTTGAAATTGAATCTGAAGTCGACAAGTACACTGGTTTTACTTTTTCATCTTTATGTTGTTAAGTTTGAATTTTCGTTAACTTAAACTTGTTGTTTCATTTTGTTTTTGGAGTTCAAGACTGTTCAAAAGATTTCTTTCCACTCAAATGCATTCAATTTAATACTTCCTGTACAAAGCAGTAAACGGAGTTTGGACTCTAACATCTTAAACGAAAAAAGTCACATTGATAATTTGAAGTTGAAATAGGAAGGTTACAAAAGAAACTTACTGTAATGCAGAGCTTATTTCTCCAACGCCCGTCTGAACAAACGTTTCTGCAAAGTCCGGAAATTTGACTTCAGCATTAGATGCAATCTTAGGCGTTTTTCCTTTGATGTCCACATCCACCACAAACACACCCTTTTCATTAACCCCTTTTCCATCGTGTTCAATAAGCATGGTTTCCCCTGAGCTAAAATGCACCCAAGTCTTGTACACAAAGCGCCCTTTTGTGATGGTAAGACCATTCTCCGCATTAGGTTTCTCTTCCGCTGTAGCCCAGTAGATTGGGGCGGTTAATGGAGTTGACAATGTCTTGAGCCAGTTTCTGATTGGTCCAGGGAGTCCGCTGATAGAACACGATACTTGAGTCTCATTGGTTGGTGTCTCAGTGAGGTTAGCCAATAGGAAAAGGGTTGGTAACATCACGTTATTCACGGTTCCGTGAACTTGTCCGATAACGACTCCGACGCCATCTAAAAAAGAGGTTATCACTTAATAATTACTCCTTTTGCGGGTGACAACGAACAAAACCACATCAAGCGCCATTAATTTGCACGCATTCCTCTCAAGCAATGTGTTGTCCGCCGTGGTGAAAATGAAGACAGCTTGGTGGGGGCAGCTTGTTAACGCTTACGATTGTAATTTCAACGAATAGGGCCCTGTCTGCACAGCATGAAAACCAAAAGAAGGAATACAACTTTGAAAGAGCGTAGGATTACGAGGTGTAATCCTTCTGCACGTAAGAGGTTGTTTATCATTTGTCAAAGACCTCGTTAAGTTATCGCCTACACTCACGGTCGGACGTTTTCCTTTTTTTTAATCCAAAGTGGTTATTATTATTTTGTCGTACATTCAGAAATGCTTTCTTTTCCTGCGTCCCTGAACTGTCTGCCACGTAAGTTATGCACGTAAAACCTACATTACAAGAAAATCTTTCACAGGTATTGTATTACCAGGACATGCGAAAAGGTTACAGGGTCTTGTTTCCTGCTTATCTCCCAAGCAATCATTACCGCCGTGCTGTGGGGCTGGGTTATTGCACTCTCGGGACCGAGTCTGTTCACCGCCATTACAAACTTTTGAACAGAGTGTCCATTCGGTCCACGTGGACCAGTTTCCGTCCACTGAAAAAGAACATCCAAGAATAAAAAGCGAATGGCGAAAAGTATAAGCATGAAGATGAGTGGCAGAGAAAGTTGCCCGATGGCTAGCGCCTTGTGTTGTGTTCTTGCGTAAGACACTTAATTTACTCTCCCTGTGCCTCTTTCTACCAGAGAATCTGTGGTAACACAGTTGTGTTACCGTTGTAATAACTACGTGGCGTACTTTCACGTTGTCAGAACCAAGTTTTCTCACAAGAGTTAAAACCAACCACGCGAGCTACAAAGTCAGGGTGTTTTAAAATCGTACGACTTTTTTTCTAATAAACTCCAAAACAAATCAATAAATTAACTGGATGCCTGTAATTAAACAAAAGTTTTGTTCAAGTTTTGCTTTTTTTTACCGAAACATTTCTGAACATTTCAATTTTATTTTCGCTTAGTATGCGCGACGTTTCCAACGTTTCCTTAAGAAATTTTTGGCGGGAAATTGGAGGGCGGGCGGCCAAAATAGATCCCATCGCGCATGCCCGACGTTTGACCACGGTGTAATAAATGGTTAACAACGAACTGTCAAAATACCTGACGAAAAACCTTCGTCGTAACCTTGGCTACACTAGAGTCTAATAATGCTAAAGGCTTTATGCAGCGGATACTGGATCTAGCGCGACTATGCGTGTTTTACCTTTACAAGGATGAGCAAAAGAAAGCCAGAGAAATACTACGAAAAATAGTATTTACAATCACTTTTTACGTCGCTTGTATTGACCTCTTTGTATAATGGCGCTACGAGTTTTTTTTTTTTTTTTTAATCACCCTACTAGTAAACCCGGGAGCTTTGTAGCCTTCTTGTGAAAAATCTTGTTATGTTAGAGTCACACCTTTTTCTACTGTCTTGAATGTTTCGTTTCTGATTTAAAAAGCAACAGGCAATCCATACACCAAAGATTACGTCTCCCCATGTGTTCGTACTTACACGACTTTAACACCGGCTAAACCACCAGAAGAGCACTTTATGAATGTCACATGTAGCTGTTCTCGTTCTTGGCTCATGCAATCCTCCACTTGCTTGGGTGCGTGTTTATACTTATGCCTTAAGTTAGGACCTCTGATCAAACAAGCCTTCAGTAAAAGTAGCACGACAATGACAGATCTCATTGCACTTACCCGGACAGGATTTCACATTACAGAGCTGCGACTGTACATCATTCCCTGAGCAAAATTTACCGCCGTTACTGGGCGCAGGATTATCACATGACCTGAATCGAAACTGGAACCCAGATCCACACGAACTACTACAAAGACCCCACTCTTGCCACTTGCTCCAATTCCCATTCACTATGAAAAAGAAGAATAAATTTAAAAAATAATAGCAATCTTATCATAACAACAACAACAAAGGAAGAGTCACAGACAACGAAAAGAATACGATTGATATAAAGCACTTTTTAACGATAACATTTTCATTTTTTAATATTGAAGAATTTAATCAAGACTATGACCAAATCATTTAAAAAAGTGAAAAAAACATCCTGGCTGATCTCTTTGGGAAAACCTTAGTTTTATCGATTATCGATTTTAGTGGGAAAGCTGTTTTCTTATTCAGAGAGAGTGTCTCAACATTTTTGCAACTGGTTGTAGCTGTATCAAACGAAAAAAACGGAAAAAGAATCTCACCTCGAACTGTGAGTGTTGCTTGAACAACGCGAGTACTGACGCCATTATCGGCCCGACACCGATACTGTCCTCCATCTTCAGACTTAACACCTCTAATTACCAGACTGTTATTAGCCAGGACACTGAAATGCTCAAGCTGATCCACAGGCTGTCCATCCTTTACCCAAAATAACACAGGGGTTGGTTTTCCTGTGGCTGTACAGTCCCATACAAAAGTTGCACCTTCATCTATTATGGTGTCCTGAGGTGTATCCACAAACTCTGCAGAAATAAGTAGGTCAATTATTAACAAACACAGTCAAATCTGTATTTTCGGACAACCACACTCTCTCTGGGAGACCTTTGGTGATGCTGTTAAAACGGAGCATGTAACAAAGTTTTTTTTTTTCTTTCTTTTTATCACTGTATCCTTGGAACGTTTATTTATGACTATTATGAGACAAGTCTTCGATAAAATTTTAGAATTAATAATAACAAAAGCGTCAGGCTCAGAATAAGATGACCGAGAAGCCCGAGCAGCCCTCATCACAAACGCTGCTGGACGCGCATTTTTCCGCCCGCGGGAAGATTGGAGACGAGTTGGGGAGAGTAAAGAGGTGAGTTTCTAAAGAAACTGTGGTAGTTGGGGAGAGGTTTGACGGGGTCTGGCACTATTAGCGCCAGGCCGTTTGAAGACCTCTCGCTGGCGTGCTTTGCTCGAGGCATCATACTTTCCTTCGTGCCGAAGCGCTATTAATGAGAGTCTGCTATTTAAGCCTTTGATCTTGATAAGAAAAAAATTTGTAACAAATTAAATATTACCTGGCCCTCCTGTTTGGGCAACGTTTTCGTCTTCTCCTACGAAACATAGAAATAAAGCAAAAATGTGCATTTCAAGGGCAACATCTAGCTCCTAAGCAAAAGAAAATGAAGGAAACATTTCAACTGAGGACAAGATTCCAGTGGATTAACGCTTTCGCTGTTAAGATCTCATTAGTAATTCTCCTTACTGTCTGCCGCACAAATCTCATAATGTTAGTTTGAAGAATTTGGTATTGGATCAACTACTAATACCCTTATTGATATTTCTTTTCATTCTCATCACTTGTCTGCTTGACATTGTCTTGAAATTGTAAAGAGAACTTCTGTTTTGGTCACACATTGGAGTTAAAGAGTTAATGCGATATGTCATGACCGCGCATAAACTCTTTTCAAATCTTTTTTTTCCAATTTCAGCTGCTTACAATTGTCTTTACAAATTAAGAACAAGTAAATCAAATATCGTGTTTCGTTGAAAAAGCATAAAGCATAAGTATACTGATGATAAACTTCAGTAGCTTCGAAAATTTTTCAAAATTTTACTAAACTGAATTTTCCTAAACTGCGAAACGTATGTCAGTAGCACTACAGCTAAACACTTCAAAGTTATAGTAGTTTGCATTGTACAGACCTTTCACTGCAACCCAAGCACTAGCCGTAACATTCCCAGCCGGATTCTCAGCCTCACAGCGATACATCCCTTCGTGTTCTGATTTTCTAGCTTCGGTGATCTCCACCAGCGAAATATTAGCCACCACAGTACTACCATTCCGGTACCAAGTGATCCGTGGCACAGGGAACCCACGCGCTTCACATTCCAAAATTATGGTGTCGCCCTCGTTGATGGAAATATTTTGAGGACGCTTAATAATCTCGGGTGGAACTGCAAGGAAAAAGGAAAGCTTCCGGATATTGTAATTTTAGGCAATGTTTCAGGTGCGTCATTTCTATCCCTCCTAACATTTTCATCTTTAACCCTTTCACTCCCAAGATCTCATTAGTAATTCTCCTTACTGTCTGCCATATAATTCTTATGATGTTAATTTGAAGAATTTGGTATTGGATCAGCTAAATTACCTAAGTGATGTTTTTCTTTATTCTCATTACCTGTCTAATTAATATTGCATTGAAATGGTGAGGAGAAATTCTATCTTGGTCACTCATGGGAGTTAAGGGTTGATTATCCTTGTTCCCCTCGGAGTTTTTCCCGCCTCTTTGTCGTTTGTCCATCTAAAGAAACTTTTACTTCCAGGCCACCTCCATACAAACCATCTCAAGGAAAGAAAGTTCTTCTTCTCACCTTGCACAAAGAGTTCCACTGGCTGCCGAGCCACACCGAGCGGATTGGAGGCCACACATGTGTATGTTCCACTGTCCGATGGTTTTACTTCGAAAATACGAAGACTTCCCGACGGTAGAACGAGATACTTCGGGTTGCTCGCACCGATGGGAACATCTTGTCGTAGCCAAGTCAGTTTGGGCTTTGGGTTTCCACTTACATTACACTTCAATTCCGTCCAACGTTCAGAGGTAACTTTCACAGGAGATATGGGCTCTATACTGGGTGAAGCTGCCAATAAATACAATACAGGAGTATATGGTAGAGCATTTTCAATTGAGTACCGAAAGTAATACGAGACCGCATTGGTTTTACTTTAGTTCTCTCTGTGATTGGTCCAGAAAACTCGCGCCACTCTTTCAACCAATCAGAGGTCAAACTAAAAACGATTATTACTTGGTCGCCCGCGTTTTCCCGCTTTAAATAACCAGTTTGGTTGTTTCTCCTTTAAGTTGCCATTGGCTCTTAAAGGTATTTTCCTCTCTTCTGACTGGCTCTTGTGATTACTTTGGTTTTGGTTTTACCTCACCTCACACGTTTAACGTAAGGCGCTCTAAGTGATGTAACGCTTAGGTACTTGAGGAAGACACGATTGCATGCATGAATATTGATTAACAGGCTGGACTTCACACCCAGTGGTTCCAACCCTAGTCGAGTGAACTGTGCATTGTTCTTTTAAGAGACACTTTATTCTGACGGCGTGGTGGGGGGGAGGGGGAGGAGAATCCATAAGGCTCAATAATATATAATGTTCTTATGACCCTCCCCGGCATTGGCAGTTAATTGGCAGTCAATGTTCAATAGTCTTCGTTTTATAATCTGTTTGCAATGACTGATTCTCCCTCCGTTCCCCCTGAAAACCACGTGATTCCCTCCCCCCCGCCCTGCTCCTAGGCAAAAAATAATGAGTGGTCCCTAAGCACATAATTTTATAGGTACTCACCCATGACAGAAAGCGTCGCAGTAGCAGTGTCATTTCCAGCCATATTCTCGGCAACACATAGATACACCCCAGTATGTTGTAAAGATAAGCTGGCTATTTCAATCACAGAACCATTGTATGGAAGAGGTTTATTGTTCAAGAACCAACGAATACTTGGAATAGGAAAACCTCTTGCAACACATTCCATCAGTATGGAGTCTCCCACGTCTACAGTCAGGTTTGGCGGCGGTCTAATAATCTCTGGGGAAACTAAATGAGACGAAGAAGGAAGTTACGAGCCATACCCTGATGATTCTTTAAGGTCCCTAATTGTTTCGTCTACCTTTTTTAAGTTTTCAGCGCTGAAACTACGAACAATTGTTTGAGTTCGCCAATTATGGAAAACTGTGAAAAATTAACTAACAAACAAGAGTGTTTTTCGACTAAGTATCAAATCAATGTGGGATTGCAATGGTTTTGCTTTATTTCGCTCTGTGATTGGAAAACCAGCATCACTCGGCTCCCAACCGATTGGATGCAGTTCTCGCTGGTTCTTTGCAGCAATGTCCCTGTTTTCAATGGTCATTCATTACTTTGGTTCTGATTTTAGGACACTCAGTCGAAATCCCCCTTAATAAGTTGGTAATATTTCACTAAAGCCGCTACAGAGATGATTAATCGTAACAGGATACGAACCAAAATGAACTTTAACACTCACTGTACACATAAAGGGTGAGGATAAGAAAATCTTGGCCAGTGGGGTTCTTTGCAGTGCATAGGTAAGTTCCCGAATCAAAAGGTATTAATGAACTGACCACCAGCGACCCGTCATCTATCTGTTTGAACTTGATGCCGTCCATGGAAATCGACCGACGGTTCTTCTGCCAAGTGATAGTGGGCCGAGGGTTACCAATTGCAGGGCACCGAAGTCTAACTGTTTTACCTCTGTCGGTAATTATGGTGGTCGTGTCTGGTTTGATAATTGTAGGTGGTGCTGAGGGAATAAAAATGAAGTACAATGAACACACTCCAACTGAAAAAAATAAACTTCCAATAGTAGGACACATCATTTGCAACTTCAACAAGAACTTACAAGGTGATCTGCGTCACAGATTGTATTTCCTGAAAAATTGGGTGTAATTTAAAATTTAATCCTACAAAGCTAATGTTTCGAAGCTTCCTTTGAGTTGTTGGTAATTTTGTATGTCACAGAAAAACGACCATCTTTAAATAGAGAAATCTTTCTTTGGCTTCATGCACAGTGTTTCTCCCCAATGGAGAAGATCGTTGCATTATACGCCGATTCTAATTTTGGCAAGAAAATTGCTGCATAAGAAGCTGCAGCCCGAGGTCATACATATTAAAATTAAAGATTGCTTCTTATTACCTGTGATACGCATAGTGGCCTGTGCACTAGACTTCAATGACAGCTAAAGAACTGATAGGAAATAGCCTTATACTAAAATAAATATAACAAACTTACTGAGTCCCGTGAGAATGAGGGCGACTTGAGCTGAATCTCTCCCCAGACTGTTCTCCGCATTGCACACGTATCTCCCTGCATCCTTGAGTTCTATATCCTGTACGAACAAGTCACCTGACGGCAGAACTGTGGCTCGAGGATCGGTGTCAGCGGCAATTCCTAAACTGTTCTGCCAGGTGACGCGCGGTTGAGGCACTCCTTTCGCTCGACAAGTGAATGTTACATTACCGCCAAAGGTAACTGTTTTATCTGAAGGTCGAGTTGTTATACTTGCAGGAACTGGAACGTAGAATGATAGATTAATTGACACAGAGGAAAAGTGGAATCCTCGTTGAATACGCTAGTTGCCCGCGAACATATTCCAATAAGTTTGGTGTTATTTTCAGTGAGGGAGTTGTACAAGCACACAAACTGAGGCTTCGACGGGATTCAAACCCAGGCCTCCCGGATACTAGTTGGGCACAACTACCTACTGAGTTACGAAGCCTCACATTGGGAGCGAGGCAAATTTAAGAGGGCTCTTCTTTCCCGTAGAGAAATATGAGAAATATGATAACATCTTGTAATGAAATAAACTTCGTGTCATGGCAAATTTCCGGCATATCGCTACGATCAGCTATCAATTTTCTTTATAAAATCAAATACACTCCCTTCATACACAAACCTCCTTCTCCCCAAAGAGTAACTAGCGCTCTATCTGTTCCAGCTGGACTTCTCCCAACGCAATGATACTCTCCTACATCCTGTGGGATAGCAGCCCCTATAATCAGTGCTCCATCATCAGTGATGTTGACTCTGTCGTTTGACCTCAGGGGCTTATCATCCTTCACCCATGTGATGGTCGGCATTGGTACACCGACTGCTGCACACTGTAACACCAATGTTTCTCCAAGAATCACAGGAACCTCATCATAGTCGACTGATACGCGTGGAGGAACTGTAAAAATAAAGAAAAACTCAATGAAACAGTCACTCTCCTCAAGAAATGATTTTGGTGATCGTCTCGTTTCAACAGACCCAGGGGAGGATCCAAAGTTGAGGCAAGTTCGTGCTCCCATGGTAAGGTGTTTACGCCGTGACCAAGACTGCTCAGGAAAAGTATTCGGATTCATTGGCAGGCAAACGTCCAGTGAATAATCCAACATTAGTTAGTTTCATGACTGTGCAAGTATACTTCAGCTTTGATCGATGCATGCATGTAATTTGACATCTCACATGCTCCTTGAGAGATTTCCCTTTTCTCTAATTGGCCTTTGCTACTGTTACATCGATTTTGATTTTACTACACCTGGCATCGGAAATCTATCTGTCTAAAATCTATCTACCTATCTAAGCCCATCGCTCCTCCTAAGGCATATACGGTCAACAAAAGTCCGCCAAAGACCTCTGTTCTGGGCCATCGTTTCTCATTGGCTCCATGAGTGGCCGGTCATTCTGATCTCAACCTCGAGGTCACGATGCCAGGTGTTCCTTGATCGCCCTCTTTAGCATCGGAAAGCTCTCTACTAAATCCCCAAGGAAAAAATTCTCAACTCACTCTGCACTTGTATACTTATAGTGACCGAGTCTTCCCCAGCGGTATTGTTACCAAGACACGTGTAATATCCACCATCCTTCAACTCCACAGCATTGATAACCAGATGTCCCTGGCTGCTAACAGCAATTCGCCTACTAGTAGTGATTTTGTCTTGTCCCTTATACCACGTGATCTTTGCCCTCGGTGTACCATTTGCTGTACACTGAATTGTAATGGTCTCACCAGCGTTAGCAGTCACTTCTTCCTGATCTACGTACACCGAGGGTGGTACTTCGGAGAAAACGAGATAAAACGTTACCTAGATCATTGTGGACACTCCGGTAAGTCCTACTTCAGTAGGTCTCACTCGCTTTCTTCTCTGTTAGGTGAAATATGTCCAGAAATGCATGCAGTAACGAAAATGGCGAAAAATCGTCAAAATCGTCAAATTTCGCTTTGACGAATTTGACTAAACATTCGCCAAAATCCTCAAATACATGAACATTCACTCAGTTTGACGAAATTTCGTGAAATCTGCCATTTTCGTTGCTGCGTGCTTTTCTGGACATAAGTGTCTTAAGCCCCAACAAACACTCTAAGAAAACGCATTGTCTACAACTGCAGTTTGTCTTTCCTCTCCTACTGAAAATGTAAAAATACCATCAAAAAGCAAAACATTAATGAAGCTGTAATAACGTTGGGCAAACGTCTATGCTTTAGTGTTACTATTCATTACGGCTTAGGAGCGTTTTCGTATAAATTGTAAATATATTTGAGAACCTGTGTCTGTGTTTATCAGTAGAATAAATTTGTTCTGCTCACAGCCTTCATTTAAGTTGGGCGAGAGTTTAGCAGAAGAAAAATTACTCACACTGTGGCTCTCAAAGGTCTTTTTTTATTAGCCAAGCCTCATTCCCCCCTCTCCCTTCTCCTCCGAAAGTCTTAGTTTGGAAGCTCCCCTTCAACTTCCACATGTGATTAACATGAAACTTCTCCCTATAATATCCATACATTATCCAGCAAACAAGTAATGAGAGTACTCAAACGTATCAGGTAGAAGTTGTTATCCTGATCTGACACCACATTCTCACAACTACTTTAAAAGAAAATGTTTAGCAGCTAGAAGGGAGAATCAACAATCAGATCTTGGGAGTTAAAGGGTTAAAAGCTTCCCCCACCACCCCTTGAATGCGGATCAGAGCGATTACGGCATTTTACCTTCACTTGGCATGCAACCAAGTTCCACCTACTATACAATCGTCTTACCTGTGTACATCAGATTAACAGAGGCTTGGCTCTGCCCTGCAATGTTCCACGCAGTGCATTCATAGTCTCCTGCATCAGACAGTTGAGCATTGTTGATGACTAACTCGCCACCCTCCTTAACAATAATTCTCTCACTTAATTGCAGCGGAAAACCTTCTCTATACCACATGATGGAGGGCGCTGGAAATCCATTTACCCGACATTTGATCGATAGACTATTTCCTGATTGGAAGGTCTTGATAGGCGGGTGAATTGTAACAGATGGTTGTTCTAAGAATGAAAGAAGAGAGAAACAAGAGTTTCAGATAAAATCATATCTGCTTCAAAACTGTCCTGGGAAAACTCATTGTCATAGGTACAAATTCTGAAATGTTGAAAAACAATATGACTTACACAGGCAGCACATGTACATACCAGTGCCTATTTAACAAGGACATTTCCTATCTCAAAAAGCTCTTCCCTGTCGACTTCAGTAATCACTGCAGATATCTTTTAAAAGGAAACAGCCTTGAGATAGAAACCGCAAAGAGATCACTAAAGTCTACTCACCATAAACAACTACATCTACGACCAGAACCTCTTCTCTTGTTGTGTTTGTGGCAACGCATTCATACCTCCCACTGTCATTTCTCTTCTGGATGTGAAGCAGGAGAGAATTGTTTGTTTGGGGAGTCAGTTCATTGCCATCCTTTCGCCA